GAATGTTGCTATCTGAACAATGTCCACAGGCAAAGAGTATTTTGAAAACAATTAAATAGCATTTTCAATCACCATCTCCACGCACGAACGCTACATTAACGGTCAACAAAACCAACATTTGAGTTTGACCCACATCCTCAATTAAATATTATGCGTTTTGTACTTGGTAATCATATATATATATATATATATATATATGGCTTATACATACCATGATTTAATAAATAGTAGTTCCACACGTCATTTGAATTGCACTTCTTTAAGAAATTCGTTCTACAATTGTTATGAACGCAGGAACGATGAATCCATTGACTATGTGGAATACCGTAAAAAATACTATATACTCAGTCCCAAAATTATTGTTCAATTTAGATTTTTAATTTTAATTCAGTTTGTACTAAAACTGAAAATTTAAATTGAACAATAATTATGAGACGATATACTACTTCCTCCAAATATGCGAAAAAAAGAGAGAAGAAAGACTCAATATCTTTTTTTTTTTTTTTTCTGTTGTAAATCTTCAAATGTAAGGTTGGTTGTAGAATATATATATTTATGATCCACTAACTAAATACTTCAAATCGGTATTAAATTATTCAAACAGATAAAAGCCTGGAATCTAACATATTCATTGTGCTTTTCTTAGTGTTTCTTTTTTTCTTTTTTTTTTTGGATAAATCTAACATGTTTCGCAATTAACCAAATGGGACGAAGAAGTAGGCTGCATGGGTGTATGAATAGAAGAGCGCATTCGTGACAACCCTGAAGCCCACATCGCTTGGGCCTTAACCATCTTCCATTGGGTCAAGAATTGTATTGTATTACTCTACTGTAATCGGAATTATGGATTATTATTAAGAGAAATGAAATTGCTGAACTCTTTCTTCTTCCCCGATTTTTCCTTTTCTCCTCAATTCACCCTTCCCTTAATCATTAAAATTCTCCAATTCTGCCCTTCTATTTCTTTCCCCTCTGAACTCTGAACTCTACTCTTTATTTTGAAAGTCACGTCATGACATAGAACATCGAATAATATTACGAGGTTAATCGGCCAAGTCATTTGCCACCCCGCCACCACCCCTTTTTTTGGTACTACCATAATCTTTTCCAAAGATTTCCTTTTTTGGGTTAATAACCCAGGAAAAGATTTCCTTTCTAGTCAGCAGAATGGGTGCAGCAGTGTAGTAGCACAACAAAGCTGTTTTTACGAACCTTGTCTTGAAGTATAGTACTCTCTCTGTCCCATAATTATTGTCCAGTTTGAGTTTTCATTTCTAGTTTAAATTGGACTAAAAGTAAAATCTCAAACTGGATAATAATTTTGGGACAGAGGGAGTATGTCATTACATCAAAATGATTTTAACAATTGCATATGGTTAGACATGACTAGTATAAATAATAATGAAGAGAATATTAATACTTTAACCAAATGGTAATGAACTCATTTTGAGAATTAATTAAACACTTGCGGATGATTCAACTAGTGTCATCGTGTGCAACACAAAAGTAACAGAGAAAATTTTTGTCCCCCAATTGGTAGTTCAAACAAATAATCAACAATTTTCAAAATAAGGTAGGGTTATTTACGTATCACATTGAGATGGTTGTGATTTAATCGAATTCTAAATAGATGAAATTATTCAATAGTGCATACTTATACTGAGACAAATGCAGTAGTCAATAGCTTGGCACATGAAACTTTTTCGAGTCACTCAGGAATGTACAAGGAGCACTCTAATTTTCTAAATTTTTCGAAAAGTCTTTTGATTTTAGAACAAATACCGTTTTCATATTTGCGTAGTTAATAAGTTTGCTTGTTATCGGTAAATCTTTTATAGTAGCTACCTAGTAACCATGTTTTGTGATTTGTATACGAAAGGTTAGTCGATAATATGTTCTATTGGATACTTAATCTTAAACACTACAAATTGAATTCTATCTTCATCACAGATCGTTCTGGCTCAACAAACAAAAAAACTTATAGATTTAAGAAAAGGAGAAAACACAATTAATCCCTTTAACAAGATTAAGAAAAAAGAAAGAGATATTTCAGCCTAGTCTTATGAGATTTTTTTTTTTCCCATAGTAAATATGGCATTGTCACGTCCTTATCTTAAGACATTTTGATTTTTAGTAAATTTTATTTATTATATTCTTTTATTTGAAAATAAAATCTAAAAATAAAATTTTACATTTATTATGTTCTTTTAAATACTGTAAGTTTTTTAAAGATTTATTTTCAATTAAAAGAACATATTAAATAAAAATTACGAAAAATCAAAATGTCTTATAATAATACCGAGAGAATATTAGTCAGGTTATTAGATGTGGAGGAGACATAAATCTAAAACCAAATATGAGCTATATGTTTTCAAAGATAAAAGCCCAAAACATCTTGGCCAATTTAATCTTTTTTATCCTTTGTTCTCTCTGTTTCCCATTTTACTGATATTTTTATATTTTTTTAGCCATACAATCTTCTTCTTCTTCTTTTTTTTTTTTTTTTGAAAGAAACAAAAATATAACACCAATAGGAAATTATTTTATACGGTGCACTACTTGAAGTGAGCACAAAGGAGAATTCACTCTTCATTCACAGTTATTAGGAAAATACAACCAATTCACGTTATGACACTACTATGGTTTTTAACATTTGATTTACTACTATCAAGCTGAATTCATCTACAGGTAGATTGTCAGCTAATTCGTTGTCCCCTTGAACGGTCAATATGCTGCATGAATAATTGTTGTCATTACACTGTGTTGTCAAGCAACACCACCTCGTTTCCTTTGGATATCTCCCATTTCTGTGGAATATACGTGTATTTGAATGATGCTCTATCAGCGAGATAAAAGTCAGTTCTACACAACATGGATCACCATTTGAAACATACCAGAGTAATCCATATTGGTTTAAGCATTGATAGTAATAGTAATTACATGAATAACAAATGCGAAACTTATGTAAAACCACAACATTATCAAAGTGGATCAAACGAGATCCTTTTCTTAACACAATTTGCACTCCTTAGTCCATCTCCGTAGACACATGCTTGATTATCTTCAAAATTAAACATTCACAAACAGGTAAGTCCATCCGTATTATAGTTTGTGTTACTCAATTTGTCGTTTATATGGCAATACAATGAATGATATCTAGTAGTTTATACAATTTATTTTAATGAGAAACTTAAGTTATAGATCAAATTTTAGAGGACAAACACGGGAAGTTAAAAAACAAACTTCAAGCTGGTACAATACAAGAAAAAGTTATGGACTGTTGCTACCGGTGAATTTGAAAAAAAAGTTCATATTAAGAATCCTTCTCATTAGTCGGTTGGTTTTAATAACCATTTTTGCTTTAGATTATTTCTAAACTCAATCTATACTATTTAGCTCTATTGAGATATTTCTTTTCCTAATACAAGAAAGTTTTTCTAACCTTCTTCAAGTACATAGGATTTTAGATAATCTTTGTACGATAGTTCTTCCCTTTGGATAAGTCTTAAGCATTGTCCTTTCTAATCTTTCTTTTAAATTAATAAAATCGAAGGATACCTGCTAAGTACCGCTCTGGTTCTCCTAAAAAAAAAAAGAAGAGAGATATTTCTTTTCCTTTGTAAAGTCATTTGACAAATGAGTTAGGATAATATCTTTGTCATAACCTTCTTGTTGAGTAAACTGGGAATCTTAAAAGACTTTCATCCTTTAGTTTAAGAAGTATAGAAAGTACGTAATAAGGATATTTTTTATATTGTTTGGTTCCACCGCAAAATATAATGGAGGCTGTATTAGGTTATTTAGAAAGTATGTTTCAAATTCACAGTATGAAACAAATTGTGAATTTACAAGTAGAGTATCACTTCTAAAGAGATATGTCTAAAAGTGTTTACAAGTATGTTTCAAATTGTGAATTGTGAATTTAAGATTTACAATTTAAACAGATTGTGAATTGTTCCATACCGTTTTCAAGGAACATTAAGCTTTACAGATTTATGGGCTATGCAGGATTAATATCCTTGAACAAACAAGAATCTTCAAAACTTTTTTTTTTTTTTTTTCCATGGATGTTCATTCCTCAATCCCAAAAGTTTCAGTCACCAGCCTAATTAACTGGGACAAGATTGGTTGCAGTTTGCAATATTTTTTGTAGATCCGAGAATTAAGATTGTGTTATAAGTTGTTTTAACACTTGTCTTACAACACTTCGCCATTTTATTTTATTTTCTAAGATTTTCCTAATATTATCATTATCGTTCCGGCCGCTTGGAATCGGAGACATACTTAAAGAAAAAAGACAAAAAAAAAAAAAAACCCACGCATCCTGATTTACGAGTTAAGACATATTTCTTGCGAAGAAAGAGAAACTGGACTTTGAACCAAGTAAGCTGTACGTAAGACACATGCAGGATTATGCAGGAGTTAAGACTATTTATTGGAGGATTATGCAAACACTTTTAGTTATACGGACGATTTGATACTCTACTTGAAAATTCACGATTTATTTATTATGATGGCGGACGATTATGAATTTCTTTTTACGTATATAGTATATTCTTTTCAGACGTAATTTTCTCTGGGATATTTGCTAATTACTGTCATTGAAAGTAATTTACTTACCAAGATTGAAATATGAAATTTACCAGTCTGAATGATCTTGTATCATGAACCTGCAGAATGAATGATTAATTATACGGTAATTAACCCCCAAGATTATGCATTAAAATCCCATATCAATCATTCACTCACTGATTATCAATAAATAGATAGATTTTATTCCTTTTTGTTCTTTTATTTTCTCACTATGCATGATTCCTTAATTATGACTTTTAATGAGGTTGGGGCACCATTTAAATGTATATATATATATATATATATATATATATATATATATATATTGTCAGGAAGTTGTTTTGCTCCCAGTTAATCACATCATCTCCTTAATTCTACCAATGCAAAGGTAAAATCATATGCACTAGTTCTTTTTTTTTTTTTTTTTTCCCTTCCCCCACCCCTCCTTTTGGTAATTGTGTTTTGGGGGGTGGTGAATAAAATTTGTCCCAACAGCACTTGTTGAAGACAATGGTTGACGGCCGGAGGAGGCGGAGCCTCCAATTCTGGTGGCTGATGTTTTGGGCTAATATCACTCTCTTGCATAGTTGTTTGGAGCAAAGAGAAGGGTGAGTTCCTTTTCAAACTGTATAAATTAACCTTTAAATTAATTGTCTTCTTTTTTTCCCCATTAATTATAGTTTATTAGTAATATTTTCTGCTAAAGAAATGGAATTTAATCTAAATCGAAATGATGTTTTTATAATGTGGCAGAGTAGCAAGGGGGGTGGCTTTGGCCTCCGCACCGGCAGTAAAGTTGTTGGTAGAGGATGACCAAGTAATTAAACTACACTTTCTTCTTCTTCTTAATTATATTAACTTCAATTTACTTATTTCCTCAAATTCGATTCACTATGTAGCTTCAATTTACTTATTTCCTCAAAACTAACATTCACACTCGTGTCTCTTTCCGAAATTCATGATGTTAAAGGCCCAAACTTTATTTATTATTATATTTTTTGTGTTTTTCCCTTCCCTTTCCAGGTTATAATGCAAAATGGGATTGTGAAACTCACCTTATCGACTCCAAAGGGTCGGGTGCTTGGGATTTCTTACAATGGTGTCGAAAATTTATTAGAAACGCGACATCATGAAAAATATCGGGGGTTCGTAATACAGGCGTTACTAATTATATTCCCACCCCCCTTCCCCCATAAAAAAAAAAGACTAAAACTTGTAGTCTTACATTAATATTGAATTGTATTAAGGCATCCAAGTTTCAACGGGTGATTCAATTTCCGATTTCAGGTACTGGGATCTGGTTTGGGGAAGGCACGAAACGACGGACTTGTAAGGACTCTTGAACCTCTAACATCCCCCTTCTCTACATTTAGGATTTTACACCGTCACGAAGAATCAAATACTCCCTCCATCCCATAATTATTGTTCACTTTCCCCAAAAAATTTTGTCCCAAAATTATTATCCAATTTGACTTTTTATGGATCAAATTACACATTTGTCCTTAGTAAAAAACATTATCCATAAAATCTTAGTGGTTAAACAATTACTTATGTAGGGGTATATCCAGTTGTTTAAGGTAAAATGTAGTTAAGTTTGACCAAAAATAAAATCTTTCATTTTAGTAAAACTGGACAATAATTATGGGACGATGGGAGTATGTGATTTGGGTATTAATTGTAGCTCATTAATAAATAAATAATTCATTCTTATTTGATGCATCCTTTCCAGCATTAGCTATTTTTTTAAGACTTTCTTGGAGCAAGCATGAAAAATAAATAAATAAATAAAGATACTTGGAATCTCTAAATTCAATCGACTTATGTAGATTAGAGGCAACAAGGTACAATGTGGTAATGGAAACTGAGGACCAAGTGGAAATTTCTTTCACAAGGAAATGGAATGTTTCTTTGGGTCACAGAATGGCTCCATTAAACGTTGACAAAAGGTAAATTAAGTATCCCAATTTATTAATTTCTTTCATTATTTTAAAATTAAATAAAAACACATCAAACAGTAAAAACTTTAAAAGGAAAAACGAATAGATGCTTGATGGATTACTTGATGATTCAGGTTCGTTACGCTACGTGGTTCTCCAGGATTCTACACGTATGCCGTGCTTGAACGTCCAAACAGAGCTCCTGCTTTTGACCTCAAAGAACTCCGAGTTGTGCTTAAGCTTGAATCCGACAAGTAAGTAACGACTTATAATACTACTATACTTGAAAACGTAGAAAAATTTATTACTGCCTTTGTAGTGTAAATTAACTGCATTTAACTTACTCCAGTTTACAATAATTGGTGGATTTCGGGTACGAATTTGCAGGTTTCATTACATGGCCATATCCGACAGAAAGCAAAGATTGATGCCAATGCCGGAAGACCGTCGGACAGGCCGGAAGCTTGACTACTCCGAGGCCGTTCTATTAACAAAACCCATCAATCCGCAATTTAAAGGAGAGGTAATGATACAAAAAACTAATCACGCTTTTTTCCAAAATTATTTCAAAATCCTCAGAGACTAAAAAAAAAAAAAAATCTTTTATATGGTTATTTTGTTACAATGAAAAACAAAATTTTTGGATACTAGTTGACTTAAGATCAGGTTGCTGAGTATCAAACTTTTGCTTTGTTTATCAACTAAAAATAAGGGTAATTAGATTCTAGTGACTAAATACCATAGTGGTGAACGATCAGGTGGATGACAAATACTTTTACTCGGTGGACAACATAGCAAATCGGGTATACGGGTGGGTAAGAAGTGATCCGTCGATTGGGTTTTGGATGATTACACCTAGCGACGAGTTTCGGACGGGCGGACCTTTCAAACAGGATCTTACAACCCATGTTGGCCCGAACTTACTCAATGTGAGTTTATGTTACACTTTCAGTAATTTTTTTTTTAAAAAAAGAAATAGACAAATTATGTAGTAGTACAAATAAATTCCCTAAATTTAATGTGAAATTTGCAGATGTTTGTTAGTGGTCATTATGCAGGGGATGATCTAGCTTTGAAATTCAAAAATGGGGAAGCTTGGAAAAAGGTTTTTGGGCCAGTGTTTGTATATCTCAACTCCCACAATAACTCCAAGAATACACCTTATTCTTTGCTTTGGAACGATGCAAAACAACAAGTACCCTTTCTTCTACAACTATTAGCACCTTTCTTCTTACAAATGAAATAAAATGAATTTAACATTAATAAGTGGTTGTGGTCCTAAATTTACAGATGCTAAATGAAGTCTTGAAATGGCCGTACACATTTCCACATTCGCCCGACTTCGTCAAACCATACAAAAGGGCAAGGGTTTCTGGACAAATTCTTGTTCATGACTGGTATTCATTTTAGCATTGTATTTTTGAAACATATTCCAACTTTCTATGACGAATTCAAGTAATTTGAAAGATCTAAAATAACTGCGGATTTAGGTTCGTTAATAGGAAGCCTGTATTCGGTTCATTTGCCTACGTAGGATTGGCACCTCCTGGAGCTCCAGGATCATGGCAAAGAGAAAGCAAGGTTGTTGAGTTTTTTTTTTTTTTCCTTTATATTAACCTTTTTTAATGCACCTAATAGTAATAATTACAAAATTTTCTGCTCCTGTTCCGTAGCATTTTATTAGAAAATTGACGTTAAAAAATTTCAGAGTTATCAGTTCTGGACTAGAACAGACCGATTTGGAAATTTCGAAATAAAAGGAGTAATAGAAGGGAACTACAGTTTGTATGCTTGGGTTCCTGGAATATTAGGAGATTACAAATATGATCCTGAAGTTGTCTTACGCCCAGGTTAATTATAGATAACTTCACACTTTAAAATCTAAAATTTCCCAACTGAATTCTTTGTTTAAGAAAATTGGGTTTTATTTTATTTTTTGGTTTTTTTTTTTTTGGGTATGAATGCAGGATCAAAGATTAATTTAGGTAGATTAGTGTATAGGCCTCACAGAAATGGTAGTACGATATGGGAGATAGGCATTCCGGATCGCAAAGCTTCGGAATTTTACGTCCCGAGCTCTAGGTTTAAGGCTACAAAGTATCATCAATATAGCAACAAAGTCGGTGTGGGCAGGTTAGTTCCGATTGATTAAAGAAGTAATATGAAATACTCCAATTCTTTCTCTTTTTTTTTTTTTGAATTCAAATACTTCCCCACTAATTATACTTTTTTTTTTTTTTAACATTTGGTTTTGGTGCATATGTGAAGCTTCTACACTGATAGATTCAGGCAATACGGATTATGGAAGCGTTACAGAGATTTGTACCCACTTAGTGATTTGGTGTATACAATTGGAAAAAGCAATCATAGAAGAGATTGGTTTTTTGCTCATGTTCCCAGGTGTGTTTTTTTACCCCTTTATTTTTGTGCCCTAAGTATTTTTCTATATTCAATTGTCCAGTAATTTAATTACATTGAGAATTAATAAAAACATAATGTTATTTGGAGAATTATCGAATGCGCATATACATGCAGGTGCAGCAATGCCTATCGTCGTAATAAGAAATGCTTTCCAACGACATGGCAAATTATATTCAATCTCCACAACTTGAGAAGCAATGCAACCTACACTCTCCATTTGGCACTTGCATCAGCAAATTATGCCCAGCTTGAAGTATGGTCCATATACATTTCTTCCCTTTTAATTAAATAAAAAAAAAACTATGCTAATGGCTCTTCAATTTTTTTTTTTTTTTTGATTATCCTTCTCCATGGGTGTCTAAATACCCTTTTCTTTAAAATTATCGTAACATTCTCCATTGGACATTGTAATAAAATTACGACAAAATGTACTTTTGTTATTGCAGGTCCGATTTAATAATAGAAATTCAACACCACCACACTTCAATACAGGACTGATCGGAAGGGACAATGCGGTAGCAAGACATGGCACCCATGGAATATATAGGCTTTATAGCGTCAACGTGACCGGAGATTTGCTGGTCAACGGAAGAAACACAGTGTACCTAAAGCAAAGTAGAGCAACCGACCCTTTTAGAGAAATCATGTACGATTACATCCGGTTTGAAGCACCAGGGTCTTCTTGATATGACATATAGCATCTGATGTAATTTTTTTTTTAATTTTAATATTAGTTGTGATATCATTATAATATGTAGAAAATGTCGTGAGCTGATGAACCTTGCAAAATTGTTAGGAAAATCAATTTATATGAACTTCGACAAGCTGGAAATACTTTGATATATAGTCGATCTAATTATTTTACGCTTGAAAATTACATATTGTGAAATTTTTAGTTGTCTAGCCAACCTGCAAACTTGCCTCTAGATTTCTGGGCCAAATCTGCTCTTGAACTTGATCATATAGAAACCTTGATGAAGTCAGTTCAAGCATGGATCGTTTTACATGATGTTCTTGCCTCGGTTTGTTCTAATTCATTGCTTAAAAGTAAATGATTGAGGTCTCAAATTAAGACTATAGACTCATACAATTATCTCCCATCCTTTTACATCTAAAATACTGCCCGGAACGCAAGCAGAAATGTTTAGACAAGAGTATGAATCATTCAAAGAGAGAGAGGCTTGTATTGGCAGGGGACCTTCATTTTTCCGGACTAATTTTGTTTAATTAGGTTATAAATCATTGATGCACATTTGAAAGTGATTTCCTCACTGGTTATCGAATAAACAAATTGAGCTCCTCCAGATCGAATCTTATTCTACCAAGAATCGGGGTCAAATTAGCACTACGGCAATTAACCACATTTTGCACCAAAATCCCAATCGTCATCCAGTTACTGATTGTAAATGTTGAAAGAAATCAACATTATCATTCTGTTTTTTACACATATTTGTACATATTACAGGGACTTTTTTGTAATTAGCTTAAAGTGTTTAGAGTAAGCAAGTAAAACATGTATTTATGTGTATAGTTTAGAAAATTGCACGTACAGTTTTGAGGATAATACAGTTTTTACACATTCTGGAATCAGGATTTCTCCCCAAATTCTCTCTCCAAAACCCTAAATTCTGAATCTTTCATTGTTTCTTGATGGTATCAGAGCAGGTTTGTCCTGCCTGATAACCGCTTTCCGCTGAACTCTTGACCTCACTTTCCGGTCAATTTCTTGCCGGAGTTATTTGCAGTAGTTGAGATCTGAGAAGATATGGCTGAACGAAGAACCGGAGGTGACGATCGCGAACAAAGAACTGTTCGTCGCACCAATGGAGAAGAAGAAAGGTATTACAGAGAAGAAGATTACCTCAATTTTGGATTGTATGCTCATCCGTTGTCTCTACACGCCTCCGATCACTCTGGAATGGCGATTGTGGGAATAAAGCTTACGGAAGGAAATTACATCTCCTGGAGTCACGCCATGCGAATGAATCTAGGTACGAAGAATAAACTTTGCTTTATTAATGGAGATTATCCTAAGCCAGCTGAATCTAGTCCAGAATATGCTCAATGGATTAGGGTGAACAATACCGTAGTATCTTGGTTTGTTAACTCTTTGTCTGAAGAATTGCATGAAGGTTACATACTAGCTAATGATGCAAGAGAACTGTGGCTTGATTTGAAACAAAGATTTGGTGGAATTAAGGCTTCACAGATTTATCAGCTTAAGCGTGAAATTAGTTCTATATCTCAGGGAAATATGCCTTTGTCTGCTTATTTTACAAAGCTAAAGAGATTGTGGGACGAATTAATGCATCTTGATCCACCAGATATTTGTTCTTGTACCGGATGCACTTGTGCAATGAGCAGAAATGTGTTGCAAAAGGTTGAAAGAGATAAAATGATGCAGTTTCTGATGGGTTTAAACGGGATATATGTGAATGTTAAGAATCAAATTCTTGCAATGAGACCTCTTCCAGATGTCAGAGAAGCTTATGGCATGGTAATAGAGATTGAAAGACAAAGGAATGTTCAGTTGATGTTCACTGCTAATACAGACCAGAGTGCTATGATGGCAAGAAGTACCATGGTTCAGTCACCAAGTTATACCACAGTGCAAACTCCAGTGATTATGCAACCTTCACCAATGGTACAACCACCTGTTATGCAACCACAAAACAGTTTTGTGGTGCAGGGAACTACAGGTTCAGCTGCAAATGTGGCCATGTTTGCTCAAAGGAATAATTTCAAGAAGAAGGATGACAAGCGTAATTTGTGGTGTGAGCACTGCAAGAAGCCTAATCATACTAAGGAAACTTGTTTTCATATTCATGGCTATCCAGATTGGTGGAGACTACCTGATGGAAGCAGAGGAAAGAAGCCTTCAGGGAATAAACACATGGCAAATGTTGCAGAAACACCTTTGGAGATAATGCCTATGGGACATAACACAGCCGGTGTATCTTCTTCTGGACTAGAGAACTTACAGGAAATTATGAGCAGTCTGAATAATTTGCACCAGGAAGTGAGCAGGTTAGCAAAGGGCAAAGGAATCCAATCTGATGCTGGAGGAAATCTGGTCAACTTTGCACACTACAGTGACTTTGCAGGTATGAATCATGAACACATACTTAGTACTGTAGATAAAGTCAAGTCTGGTACGTGGTTTATAGATTCTGGTGCAACTGGTTTTATGGTTCAAGATTTGAAGCTTTTATATTCTTATAATCCAGTTACTCAACCTACCCCAGTTTTTCTTCCTGATGGTAGTATCAAACATGTGGAAAACATAGGAAATGCCATTCTTTCTAAAAACCTTACACTCACTGATTGTTTACATGTTCCAGATTTCAAGTTTAATCTCATTTCTGTTAGCAAGTTAGCCAAAACAGCAAAGATTGACACACTTTTCTCTACGGATTTTTGCATTCTGCAGGACCATGAGAGTAGAAAAGTTGTGGCTGTTGGCAAACTTGTTAATAGACTTTATGTGATAGATCATGAATCTTTTAGTGATAGAGCAAATGTTGCTGTTCCAAGTGTAAACCACATTTGGCATTATAGGCTAGGGCATCCCTCTACAAATGTAATAAATCACATTTCAGTTTTATCCAATAATGATAAAGAACCTCCTTTATGTGATGTCTGTCCTTTATCTAAACAGCATCGCTTGCCATTTCCACGAAGTGTTTCAAAAAGTTCACATATCTTTGATCTCATCCACATAGATATCTGGGGACCTTACAAGCAGTCTTCCTAAACAGGTTGTTCCTATTTTTTCACGATTGTTGATGATTATAGTAGGACAACTTGGACATTCCTTATGACTCACAAATCGCAGGCACTTGCCATTCTTGAACGGTTTAGTAACATGGTTAAGAACCATTTTCAGACTACCATAAAAACAGTAAGGTCTGATAATGGATCTGAGTTTATGAGCCTTTCTTGTCAATCTTTCTTTGCCTCTATGGGAATTATCCATAAAAAATCATGTGTTTATACGCCACAGCAAAATGGTATTGTTGAAAGAAAACATCAACACCTTTTGCAAATGGCAAGATCCTTATTGTTTTAGTCAAACCTTCCCAAACATTTCTGGGGTGAGGCAGTTCTTACAACAACTTATCTTATAAACAGATTACCTTCATCAGTTTTGCAATGGAAAATACCTTTTGAATTGCTTTACAAAAAGGTGCCTGATATCTCTCATTTACGAACTTTCGGTTGTTTGTGCTTTGCCACTAACAACCTTCCTACCAAAGATAAACTAGATCCCAGAGCAGTAAAAGCCATATTTTTAGGCTATCCCCTTGATCAGAAAGCTTACAAGCTTTATGATGTCAAAACAAAACGCCTTTTTATTTCTCGGGATGTCATATTTCATGAACATGTTTTCCCTTTCCAATCTCAACATGTTGATGGTTCTGTTACTTCTATATCTTTTCCTTCCTTTGTTCCGTTTGATTCTAGATACTATGATGATTCTACACCTATTCCCTTTACTAATGATACTCTTACACACATTCCAACCTCTTCTTCTTCTCCAGAAAATGCTCTTCCTGATCCTGATACACATTCCATTGCACCTGATGATCATCAGAATTCTCATGATGATCATTCTAATCCAGCATCACTTTCACATCAAACCCTTAGAAGAAGTACCGGACAAACACACTTACCAACCAAACTGAGGGATTATCAAGTTAATCTTCCTTCACACTCCCATATTGCCAATCATTCCACTGTGATTATCCCTACTTCTTCACCACATACTCCCAACACTTTCCCTTACTATTCCAATTCATGTTTCAGACCTGAATACTTAGCTTTCCTGCCCAATATAGATCAGCCACCAGATCCACTTAACTATGTACAGGCTTGCAACAAACCAGAATGGATAGAAGCCATGAATGTAGAGTTGGAAGCTTTGGAGGCAAATCACACTTGGGATCTCACAGAACTTCCAAAAGGCAAGAAAGCTATCGGCTGCAAATGGGTATACAAGAATAAGTATAAACCTGATGGGACGATTGAGAGATACAAGGCCCGATTAGTGGCCAAGGGGTATAATCAAATTGAAGGTGTCGATTACATTGACAGTTTTTCTCCCGTGGCAAAAATGGTCACTGTCCGGGTCCTTCTTGCTGTTGCTTCTGCTAATGACTGGTATATCCATCAAATTGACATCAACAACGCTTTTTTGCTTGGCCATCTCCATGAAGATGTCTATATGAAGCTGCCCGATGGTTACACTAAGGGACAATCCAATCAGGTTTGCCGGTTGGTCAGATCTTTGTATGGCCTTAAACAGGCTTCTCGCCAGTGGCATTTGGAGTTTGCTTCACAACTGAAATCTTTTGGACTCGTTCAGGCGCATAGTGATCCTTGTCTCTTCACCATGAGCTTTCAAGGTCAGTTTCTAGCTCTATTAGTATACGTGGATGATGTCCTTATTGTCAGTTCTTCTAAGACAGCCATTTCTGCTATTAAGAAGTTCTTGCATCAGATTTTTACCATTAAGGATCTCGGTCCAGCACGATACTTCTTAGGCATAGAAATAGTGAGAAGTAAAGATGGTCTTTATCTTAATCAAAGGAAATACATCCTTGATATCCTGAAACGTACTGGCCTACTTGGATGTAAAGCTGCAACCACACCCCTTCCTAAAGGTCACTCATTTCCTGAAGCTAAGGATTGTGGTGATTTGCTGCTTGATGCATCTGCTTATCGTACCATTGTTGGTCAGTTACTTTATTTAGGCTTCACACGTCCTGACTTGACGTATGTTGTCCAACAACTGACTCAACATACTCAAGAACCCCGTGAGTTACATTGCCAGGCCATGCTGCACATCCTCAGATATTTGAAAGGATGTCCTTCCAAGGGTTTATTCTACCCTGCATCCACCAGCTTCAACTTGGTAGCATATAGTGACTCTGATTGAGCTTCATGTCAAGTTACTCGACGCTCTCTTACAGGTTTTTGCATTTTCTTGGGTGGTTGCCTTATTTCCTGGAAAATCAAGAAGCAAGATACTGTTTCAGCTTCTTCCGCAGAAGCTGAATATCGCAGTCTTAGTGCCACTGTTCGCGAGCTGAAATGGATCTCTTACATCCTTCGTGATCTTGGTCTCTCCTCTTCTACTCCCATTCCCCTTCATTGTGACAACCTTGCTGCTCAACACATCACTGAAAATCCAGTGTTTCACGAGCGCACAAAGCATCTCGACATTGACTGTCACATTGTTCGTGACCACTTCAAAGTTGGCTTCATCCAGCTTCATCATATTTCGACAAAGGATCAACTTGCAGATTGTTTTACAAAGTCTTTAGCAGCACCTCAGTTTTCTTCGTTTCTCTCCAAGCTGGGCTTGATTGATCTCCATCAAGCTCCATCTTGAGGGGGCTGAAAGAAATCAACATTATCATTCTATTTTTTACACATATTTGTACATATTACAGGGGCTTTTTTGTAATTAGCTTAAAGTGTTTAGAGTACGCAAGTAAAACATGTATTTATGTGTATAATTTAGAAAATTGCACATACAGTTTTGAGGATAATACAGTTTTTACACATTTTGGAATCAAGATTTCTCCCCAAATTCTCTCTCCAAAACCCTAAATTCTGAATCTTTCATTGTTTCTTGAGATTATATAGTACATTTTTTTTTTAAAAGAAACCATTCACTAGCTAGCTAGTGAATTATGAACAATTTTATTCCACATTTTTCCTTTTATATTTAATTATAATCGGACCACTTCTCTATAGTTCTAGATTATAAGTATGCATCACCAAACCAAAAATAGCTTGTTCATGCACCTATGACGACTACACCAAACCCTAAGCATATATATATATATATATATATAGAAATCCAACTTCTTGATTTATGCCTTTGAATTTTAAATATGTTTTGTTATTCGCACCAGTGGAAATGGAATCATCCGTCCAACTGATGAAAACACTCGAATGTTCTTTGATGATAGACTAATTTATTAACGGAAAGTCATGCCTCCATTGTTTGGCATCCCACTAGCTAGCTATCAAATAGTGCATCTGCAACTAATTATAATGTTCCCTTTTTTATCTCTTCACAATTTGTTTTTCTGATAAAACCATACAACTTGTAAATGGGACGGTTTTAGCTAGCACCTACCAAAGCTTCCGTACCTCTCATAATACTTTAGCATATATTGTTTCCCTGTAAAAATAAATTAGGCTGCCATTCTTTCTCTCTCTCTCTCTCTCTCTCTCTCTCTTTTTTCTTTTCCCCTCATATTAATAAGAGTATTTACCATTAATACTAATGACTAACCTTTCTCGCAAATTGTTTATTTGTTTAATAAAAAAAGAAAGCTTGTTGTAGGAGACTCAAAATTCGATCAGTTTATTTGTTTCATTCGATCAGTTTTACACCCCCCAAAAAAAAAAAAAAAGAGTCTCCAACAGGAAGGCTAAGAAAAGTGTGCAAATAAGAATGCCACGGGTGTGGTCCTTAAATTAGTTTAGTTTGTAGGTTGATCGATCACATGATGCAAGGAAGACAAGCACTAATTCACAAATCAATTTCACTTCTTCTAGGGGGAAAACAAGGGCATTACAAGTTGTTTCTTTATGCATGGGTCGGCGGCAGTCGGCTCCTTCCATTTTTCCTTTCCATTCCAATAGTAAAATGGAAAAGAGAGAAAGAGAAAATAATAAAGCATCATCATTTTTGGATAATGTTTTCTGATCCTGAAGAACCCATTACTAGCTAGCTACTGACCGTTTTTTACTTTGCTAGTGGATTTTATGAAGTATTATAAGATATAGTAAGAGTTCGATCGACAACGTTAGATCTCTTCAATATTATGGTTCAGTTTGTTTATTTTTAGAAGCTTCTCTATTCCATACTCTTTACCGATTGAGACTCATGTTATTATTTAGGATAAAAACAAATAAGTCACCTCAGATGATCAGGCTTTGTTTACTTTGGATTATTCCTTGTTTAGAATCAGATTACCCAAAAAATAATCAGTATGAAAAAATTTAAAGATACAATAAGTGGCAAAAGCTAAAGTTTACTAGAATCATTAAAACCATTTTCTATAAATCCTTGTCGTTCAAGCTATAGGGATTTGGGTCAGATGTGATTTTATTATAAGGGTTACAGTCAGATAGTTAAAATTTGAGGGTTGAGGCGTAAATTTATATAAGTGATGGCGAAATGAAGATAGTTAAAATTTGAGGGTTGAGGCGTAAATTTATATAAGTGATGGCGAAATGATTGACTTGCACGTATCTGATAAGCAAGTTTTTGATGATTGCAAGTATACATTCCACGCGTATATCCTCCCTCCGTGTTTTGATTATTGTTAGAATGAGATCATAAAACATCAAACAAAAACACATAACTAAAAGGCTGTTTTGTAAACGTCAACACCTAGATCTCTTGATCATGTGATGCCATGGATTAGTATTAACACCTAGATCGCAGATCTACTAATTAGATTTGTGTGGTTTGGAGTTTTCGGCATTGATAAATAATATATCTCACAATTGTATGTGTGTATCTATATAAGTTTATTCACTATACATATAACAAGATGGCATCTTATAAATTGTGTCTGATTATTTCTTTGCACTAACAATTGTAGCTAGATGATTTCCATTTCCAATTAATGAAAGAATTTTTTTCCCCAAAAAAAGAAGCCAATATTATACTTTTTTTTATTCTAGTAAATTTGTAGCAAATGATGTATATTTGTATACTTGTATGAATTTCCCGTTTCACTTTGTTATTTATCCCCTTAAATTTGTAGCAAATTCCAATAACTAGTAAAATTTTTCAATTGGAAAAAAAAGAGAGAGTAAGTTTTTCAATGGTCACTTGGCCAAGAGGGGGAATGGACTAATTAACCACATGCACTAAATTAGCAACATTGCAATGCATTGGTCCAATTCTTGTTTCCTTTTCAATTCAACACCGTTCGACATTCGGTCATTTCATAAATATGTGTGTTGACTTCATTGACAGCTATTTCATTTACGAGTTGGTAGTTTTGAGCTATAAAACAAGTCAGCATATTTATGGTTTTAATACGTAAACGTATGTCACCACCTCCAAAAACACATAAGCTCCCAAAACAGCTTCGATCAAAAGGAAGCAAAAGGGAAAAAGAAGAATTAAATTTAATAGATAACTTCTTTGTAGAAAATGATCAATGTCATATTCCACCATCCACCCAACATGGTTGCAGAAGTCAGCCATTAGTAGACCTAACACGAGCACAAAAGAAGTAAATGAAAAAAAGAATTAAGTTGTCGTAGGTTACCCATATTCATAGTGCAAACGGGGAAAAAAAGTCATTGAATTAGATTTCATGTCCCAATTCACAAGCGCACTTTTTGTTTCAAAGGGGGGAATTTGGGAATAGGGATCCTTATAAATAGAGGGTTTTGGAAAAGCATAAAGTGTACTTCTTGGGAAGAATCATTTTTTCTCTCTATAATCACCGGTAACGCTTGGCCGTAGTCTTAGATTCACACCTAAACCACATTCTCCAATCTTTCTACACTCCCAGACATTTTATGTTACTAAAGATAAGTATTCAACAACTCCTCTCCATTTCTGCCATTTGCAGCTTCTGTACAGGTGAGCTCTCAATCAAAGACATGCATTTTAATTAATTTCTTGGCTGAATTCTTTTTTTTTTTTACACATGATTTCTTCTAGAAAAGAAAACGGTTTTTGGTTTTCACTTGGAGAATTCCAATGTGCAAATTTATTCATTTGTATTGCAATGCAGGTTGATTAAAGGGGGAGAGTATATGATGATGAGGAAGAAGGTGGTGATGAGCAGCAGCCAGCATAAGAGACGTCGGCAATGGAGTTCTTGCAGTTGTTTGGTGGGGTGGTTTGGAATTATGCTTCAGTTAATGTTGCTGACTGAATGTGCAGTAATTACAACTAATCAGTTAAGTTTTTATCTTCTTCTTCTTCATTCATTCATTCATTCATTATCTTTTACTTTGCGTCTTCATCTTCTCCATCGTTTGCTTCTTTAATATTACGGTGTTTTATTTTGACCATTTTACCATGTCACCAAATAATTAAATGCTCTTCTTTTTGAAGAATGTGTTTTTTCTTCCTTTTTTTTTTTCTTGGTGGGGTGAGGATGTTAGTGGAATTTAATTATTTTTCTATTTAACACAAAGGTCTAAAAGAACTCCTTTTTCCCACTTTTGAAAAAGAAAGAAAAAAAAAACACCAATTGGTATAACTTGCGAAGAAGGTTACCTTGAATGTGGCTTTGGAGACTTTAATGTCGGATGATCCAAGCGTTTATTTTTCTTCTGCTTCGTTCTTCTTCTTTATATTGCAACTTGTGACTTAACTTTGGACTTTGGAGGCTAGTAAAACATCATTCCAATACACATAAAAACATATATACAAGCACATTCTCTTTCTCTCATGTGTGTCTTCAGCTACTTTAGTGTTTTGTGCTCTTTTTGTCTTTTTCCACCCCTAGTTTTTGCACTATGAAACAACATAGATTAACTTGTGGTGCTTTCTGCAACAATTTCATTTTTAAAATTACCACTTGGGAGAATTTGGACCTCATTCCCATTCACCGCACCCCAATATCACTATTCATTACCAATATTGTACACTCCCGTGATCATGTTTCTTGACACAAATCGAAACAACAAAAAGTGCACAATTTTTATTCCCTTTTCTCGAGCCAATTCCATCCATTTATAGGCACTAGGGGAAGACCATTTTCCATTTCAATATTTTTTTTTAAAAAAAAAAAAAAATTTGGTCTCAAAAAATGTACTCATGCCTTCATCTGTGTAGAGGAGGTGAAATTTGATGTATGTTTGTTTATTACCAGCGTTTGTTCTATAAACCTTTGAAAATTTCACAAATGTTTTTTTTTTTTTTTATGAAAAAATTGTTCGAAAGTTTTCCTCCCACCTGGAAAATCATTACCAGGATATACTTGCATAAGTTCTCTTTATTAGCGCCAAGATCATATCTGATTTTCTAATTTATTTATTTATAATTCTGGCTCTTAATTTGGTTGTATCCTTGCAGAAATATTACTAAGAAAGGCAACAACGATCAAGAGTCGTATCCTCCCGTTCGATTGCATAGACTGAGAAATCGAGTATATAGCCAGCCATAAACAAGATTTTTATATTATTAATGTATAATAGGACTTAGTGTTGTAATTATTCAAATGAATAATTCTTTTTTTAAAATTTTTTTTTTTTGGTTTTCCTTTTTTCTTGGTAGGTTGTGATGGAAAATGGCTTGGTGAGTATCACTTTATCTGTTCCAGCGGGGGAGGTAATTGGAATTCAGTACAATGGCATTCAGAATCTACTAGAAGCAAATAAACTCGACAACAGAGGGTACGTAAAGTAAAATGGCTAAAGGGCCTGTTGATTATTTTAAATTAATGATTCCTTTTCTTCTAAAAAAAATTGATGATTAACCATTTTTATATGGAGCAGGTATTGGGATATTGTATGGCAACACCCAGAAAGTCGTGAAAACATAATAGACAAGTTAAGCTTGAAATTTAACTCTGAGGTTCAATTTCAATGGATTTTTCTTATAGAAATGTATAACATTTTTTTTTTTTTAATTTTACTGCTTAAATCTCAATTGAGGAGGATATAGTTAGTGGTCATATTCCACTTTCCTAATTTGGCATTTGCTTTGGACTCATTTCATTTTTTGTTCGTAAATGTTGAAATGTCTGACATTTGTAGTGAACCGTTTCTTACGGGAAAATAAAATGCAGGATGGAGGGAACAAATTGCAGGGTGATTATGGAAGATGAGAGTCAAGTAGAGATATCCTTCACAAGAACCTTTGATGATTCTGCAGATAAAAGACACGTTCCCCTTAATATTGACAAAAGGTGCAGTGTAAGTCTTTCACATTAATTAATTTAGTTATACTTTTGCTACTACTGCCATTAATTTTTTTTATTTTATTTTTATCTGAATTAAATGGACAATTTCTATTCAAATTTCATTACAGGTTTATACTATTGCGTGGCTCATGTGGGTTTTATTCGTATGGCATTTTTGAACGCTTGGAAGGATGGCCTGATGTTGATCTTATTCAGGGCCGAATTGTATTTAAGCTTGATGAGAAATTGTAAGTCATTTCTCGCGCATTCCATTTGTGTCAAACTACAAATTCTACGTGTTGTAAAGTGTTTAAGTAACGTAGATTTTACTGAATGCATTTTTACGTTTGTGCACCAAAATCAGGTTCACATATATGGCTATATCTGATGAAAGGCAGAGAATAATGCCAACACCTGAAGACAGGGAAAAAGGTCAACCTCTTGCATACCCTGAAGCTGTTCTTCTAACAGATCCTAGCAATTCATTTCTCAGAGGAGAGGTATATAATTACTAGGATCTTTTTTCTGAATGATTTTATTATTATTATTATTATTATTATTATTATTATTTAAACACAAAAAAAAAAGAAGAAGAATTATTTTGTGAAATCATGATGACAGGTAGATGACAAATATCAATATTCTTGTGATAATAATAAGTGTTGGGTTCATGGATGGATTTGCCCAAACCCAGCCACAGGGTTTTGGATGATTACCCCTAATATTGAGTTCAAAACTGCTGGGCCTGTTAAACAAGACCTTACCTCCCATGTTGGCCCAACTGTTCTTTCTGTGAGTCAATAATTTATATTATTCTTTTATTATGGTTTTAAATTTTGAATTTCTTGTTATTCAAATTTTATAATTCATTTTTCGGCTGCTTTGGAAAATTTTTTAAGATGTTCTTTAGCACTCATTACGCCGGAGAGTCATTGGAAATATCATTTAGGAACGGAGAGCCCTGGAAAAAGGTGTTTGGGCCTGTTATGATCTACCTTAATTCTGTATCACAAGATGATGATCCCCTCAAACTCTGGGCTGATGCCAAGGGACAGGTATTTCTTTTTTTGTTTATGGAAAAACATTTTCTTAAAAAAAATAATCTCGCCTTTTAATTACTTTTCTTGGAGTTTTATTGGTAGTTGGAAAATAAACTTAAATGCAGATGTTATTGGAGGGAGAAAGTTGGCCATATGATTTCGTTCTTTCAGAAGACTACCCTTTTGCTCATCAACGAGGAAGAGTTGGTGGTCGGTTACTTGTCCAAGATAGGTACAATTTCACTCAATGTGGAATCTATTTTAATTCTCATTTTTCTAGTAAGAATCTTTAGCTTTAGCTATCAAAATTATTGTTCACAAGACGCATCTAACCAAAATAAATTATAATTATTGCTTTTTGTAGTTACATAAGTGAGAGCCTAATTACTGGGAATTCTGCTTATGTTGGCTTGGCAGCACCGGGAGAGGCCGGATCTTGGCAGACAGAAAATAAGGTTTTCCTTCTTCCTTTTTTTAATCTCTTTTCCAATCAATGTTTGCGATTAGTAATTGATAAGATATTCATTCATACATTTTTATTCAATAAAAAAAAAATTCCGATCGAGGCATCCTGGTAATTTTAGGGTCTAAACTACATGAATAACTCTAACTAATCATCTCCTCTCTTTCATCTTTCATGTTTTCTTGATAATTTCGTTTTTAGGGTTATCAATTTTGGACACAAGCAGATGAGGAAGGATACTTTGTGATTAAAAATATCCGACCGGGAAACTATAGTCTGTATGCTTGGGTCCCTGGGTTTCTCGGAGACTACAAGTATGAAAACTATATCATCATAACACCTGGTAATTTCTTTTTAGATCATTATCTTTAAGATCCATGTTTTTTTTCTTTAATTAAGAATATATATATATATATATATAATATTTCATTAAGAATATTGATTGATTTTTAATTTATTTTCCAAATACATGATACCTAATAACTATCTAGGAAGTAGAATCGTGGTTGGGAATTTAGTGTATCAGCCTCCAAGATATGGTCCAACATTGTGGGAAATCGGCATTCCTGAGAGGACAGCTCTTGAGTTCTTCATACCCGATCCTAATCCCAAGCTTTTGAATCAACTTTATTCTGTCGACCAAGCACAAAAGTACGTCATTCTTTCACATTTTCATCATATTTCTTCTTTTTAATGTTTTCCTTAACTACGTTGATCGGTAGATGTTATAATAAGTACTTTCACTTTAGTTTTTTTTTTTTTCTTTTTGCCTTTGAGACTAACTTTTTAGTTCAAATTATTATAAAATTTTAACCACATGTGGTATTTAGTAATGATTAAAATAATTGAAACACACTTGTTTAAATTATTTAAATTACATTGTGGTTTACATATATATATGAGGCTATATATATACACACAAGGTTGTAATACAATCCACGCATCATATTTTTTTTCATCTTGGGGATGTTGTGGTACATAATGGCTGCAGGTATAGGCAATACGGATTGTGGGATCGGTACACAGAATTATATCCAACACAAGATTTAGTTTTCACCGTTGGGGTCGACAATTATCAAACTGATTGGTTCTTTGCCCATGTAACTAGGTACAATTTCGTCACTTTTTTTTTTTGATCCCAAATTATTTTATTTGAAATGTACTTAGATGCATATGAAGTTAATTGTGTAGTTTTCGAATTATTTGCAGACTTTCTGGGAATCATTATGTTCCGACAACTTGGACAATAGTATTTGATTTGCAACTCACTGATGCTTCTGCTATCTACATGCTCCAATTAGCTTTGGCATCCGCGTGTGAAGCTGAATTGCAAGTAAGAACTTCACATTCACTTTTAACTATTTTAGGGTCAAAGCCTCACAGGAGAATTGATCCTTTCGATTCCTTTTAACACTTTTTTTTTTTTTTGCTTATATAAGGTTCGAATCAACAACCCAGATCCAGGAGCCCTCTATTTCACTACAAATTTGATTGGAAAGGACAATTCAATTGCTAGACATGGTATTCACGGGTTATATTGGTTGTACTACATACAAGTCCCTGGCACTCTCCTTACGAATGGAACCAATTCAATATTTCTCACACAAACGAGAGGAGGCCTCCCTTGGAGAGGAGTAATGTATGATTATATTCGTCTCGAAGGTCCTCCTCCAAATTCTTGACTTGTAATTAAGTAGAATACTAGATGGAGAGCTGCAAAATTTTCATTTTCGCTCTTCAATCTGTAGGAATTAATTATATGGTAGTCCTAGATGTTGAGGTTCCCTAGCTCTAATCTAGTTATAATACTAGGGAATGGTAAAATGTTTTTTTTTTTTTCCTTTTGGGTAAGAACCATCAGTTTGTAACTAATATCTGGCATTTTTAGTAATTGTTAGTGCTAGATGTACTAGAAATTTTAATGATATTTACCCCTTACAAAATTTGTAACGTTATTAGTAAATGCTCTTAGTTGACAAGCTAATGTTTATAAGCCTTGTTTTTTCCCCAAAAAATTCTCATATTGTTTTTTATATTTTATTTTTGAGGGTAGGACAAAATAGAAGTCAGTGGTAATTAAATTAATGTCACACGAATGGATGTTGTTGATCAAGGTAGGTCTGATATCCATTTCTCATAGTATTATTTATCATCCAAAACTAATGATTAACTACCGATCACCAAATTCTACCAGTTAGTACTTCCTCTTGATGAATATATCAACTCCTCCCCCAAAACAAGGGGGTTTCTTGTCATTCTTTGGGGACGTAGCATTTGATCGATGTTTTTATAATGAACCATTTAGAATGAGCGAAAAGGAAAGGGACTTAAGTAAGACCAAAGCTATATATAATGATTTGTGTGTGGCATAATGCTATCTACATAATCTCGAAACAGAGTGACTACGTAGCTAATATAGCAACTACTGGCAATTTCGTATTTTTCTTTTCCCCCCGTAACTCCCTCCAAGTCGTACTTTTTCTATCCTATGTTGGCGTTCCTATTGATAATTCTAGTTTCACAAACAATTTTTTTTTTTTTTTTGGAAACGAAATAATTTGAAATTGCATTTTTTGTTGTATAAAAATACTTTATTCGTTTCGAAATTATTATCCAAGTAACTAATAATCAGTGCTAAACTATTCACAGCTAACCATCTCATTCCTTCTAATTGCTGCTGGTTCTTTATCTCATTCCTCAATAAGTAGGACTGAAGCTAGATACAATGATTTGTGTGTGGGATAATGCTATTTACATAATCTCGAAAAGAGAGTGACCAAGTACCTAACATCGCGACTATTGGCAACTTCGTGATTTTTTTTTTCCTATCCTATATTGCTATTTATAATTCTAGTTTAACAAATAAAACCATTTTTTTTTGGAACGAAATAATTTAAAATAACATTTTTCATGCACTAATTAAATATGGTTGAATTGGAGAGAGCAGAAAGCTTGAAACATTTTTACAATCCCCTTAAAATGTTTTTACTCAGAATATCAAAATCCAGTTCAACGCAAAGAAATTTAAAAATTGGGCGTCTATCAGTTCGAATTGACGCAAAATAAGAATTTGGAAACGAGTTAAAAGAAGACAATATAAAGAAAATTATTAGTTAATTGCTTACTTGAACTTTTGTGGCTGCAACCTACTCTTTTTTCCCCGACACGGCAAAAAGTTTTCGCAAAAACTTATTTATCAAATTGTTTATATAGCTGAACTTGTTTGGATTGAACTTGACAATTAAACGGGAAAAGAAAATACTAATGTCTTGTTGTCTTATTCAATTTGAATATCTTCTTCTTTCTCTGTTACCAAAAATCAATGTAACTGCCTAAAAGCTGAACAACAACATGTAGCTAAGCTAAGTGTAATTCCCTCAAATTAAAAGCATAAAGTAATGATAACAGGCAGTACACTGTTAGCGTGGTCAAAGAAAACTAATAGTTGGTAACATATTCCTTTCCTCTCAACAAACTAAATTAGTTAGCTAAGCTTAGTTAGTTTTAATAAATAACCCTACATAATCAAAAGAAAATTCTGGACCTAACTGATTAATTAGTTGCACATTGAACAAACGAAATTAAGTTATTCTATACGAACTACATTTGTAGTATTTTTTTTAATACTGCTGGTTGATTAAAGCCAGCAAACTACAGGTACGGGATTTACATAATTTAGCGTATGTTAGAATGCAATGTAATAGTATAAATACTTCTTAATACAACATGTATCGCTTCAAAAAAAAAAAAAAAAAACATAAACATTTGGCTTAGGTACGTGGTTGAATCACCTTGGTAAGCAGAAGCTGCTTAGAATAAATTAAGTCCAGAACTTCAGCGTTCACATTAGTTTATTTATGTGAAAATCTCAGAAAAATCATTTCTAACAGGGAAATCCCTCCAACCACATGGCAACTGAATGAAATGTATAGATCATTATATATGAACAGGACAACTCCCATTTGAAACAATTCCATTCCAACTCTCATTTAGAGAAGTTCTGAGGTATTTCTCCTCAAGCAGTCGAAGCGCAAGTTGTACGCTCAGTTTGCAAGTGTCAAACATAAGCGACTGACAGAGACAAGGTGAAAGAGGTAAATTAAATTAATAATGTTAATTATCTGAAATCTAATCCAATATGAATATTTTACTTTTCTTTCCCGCTTTTTGTTTTTATTCCTTTGAAACCATGACATCAAGGGTTCAGAAACATCACATCGGTTTAGCATGTTTGGCTTCACATCATCTTCGCACGTAGATTAATTTCCATGACGTACGTAAATAATTAAACAATTTTGTTTTTCCGTTTAAGCCCTCACATTGTCTTACTTAATTTGGAATAATTTATAAGTTTACAATCACATTCGGTAACTTTCTTATAGCTTCGTTTTTGAGAATCATAATTAGTTGCATAACTAATAAGGTAGTATGTTGTTGTTTGCGCGCCAGGGTCTAAACACATGGGGAAGGCAAATCGGAAGAGAAAATGGCCCTTAGGGTTCTTACTGATTATCCTGTTATTAGTTGAACTGTATACGTTTGTTTTTATGTGTCCAGTTTCCAGAAGGCATTTTTTTCTTAAAATGGATAGACAAGACGAAACTCCCTCACCTCCGACGTTGAGATTGACTAGACGTCGCCACCATGTAAATCTCGATTACTTTACTTTTGTTAGGAATAAATTTCACGAGTATAATAGATTGGATATGCATAAATGATTTATTTTACAGGTTGTTATGGACAACGGTCTTGTTAGAGTCACAATTTCCCGCCCCAGTGGTACCGTCACAAAAATAAATTACATGGGAAATCGTAATATTTTGGATACTCCCCGACCCGAGACTCAAAGAGGGTAAAGCAATTTCTTTTACGTTTTTTTTTTTTTTTGGTTGGACATCTTGTAGACAATAAAAAAATCTGAAAGTATTTAACTCTATCCACCGACTTGATTGAAAATGATACAAATGTAGGTACTGGGATCTCGTATGGAGCAAACCGGGGCAGCCTGAAGCAAATTTCCTCAAGTAAATTAAATAAAGTTCTTCATATGATTTAAGTACAAAATCGCTAACCACAGATCGAAGTGATACCTACTAATTATAAGCCCATATGGTTCATCCAGAATGGAGAATAATAATAATAATAATTATTATAATAATAAAATAGTTAACTCTGATATTTGTTGTGCAGGCTGATATCGAAAGATTTCAAAGTAATAGCTAAAAATAAGAACCAAATGGAGCTTTCCTTCAAGAACACATATGATCCATCCCTGGACCCCAATGGCACTGATCTACCCTTGAACATGGATAAAAGGTTATTTATACGTAAACAAGATCATTCGATATAATCACTAATATTTCAAAGTTACGTTTTTCAACATTAATAATCAACTTCAAAATAATTTTGTAGTTTATCATGTAGTGGTATTATTTTTTCTTTTGTGTAGGTTTGTAATGTTGCGTGGAGTAGCTGGTTTTTACACTTATGCCATATATGAACGCTTGGAAGGATGGCCAGCCATGAATATTATCCAAACCAGACTTAACTTCAAGCTTGATGGAACCCGGTAAGACACCGAGCTTGCACTATTGTACGTCTTCCTGTTTGTATTTTAAGTATCTCTGTCAAGCCAATATATGTGTGTGTGTGTGTGTGTGACTGTATGTCGTTGTATTTTACTTTCTTTTATCTCAAAACAAAACTCGTATTTTACGTCAATGGAAATGAGATTATTTTAGTTAAGGAGACACCAATATTTTGTTCTAAAACACGGAAATTTGCCCAATGATACGACTTGATGCTCTTCCCTAAAGCAGAATCATTAAATTCAAACTATTTCGCGTACTTAATATGCTGCAATCGCTTTGTTAATTAGACTACTTCTACCTCCGTCCCAAAAAAATAATCTATATTGAGTTTTCAAATTTATACTAAAAACAATACAAAACTTAAAGTGCACTATTTTTGTGGGATGGAGGTAATATTAGTTAGATTACCTTTGCATGTGTCTATGTCAATAGCAACTGGCCAAATGATTAGTATGGTCTCCTTCGCTCGTGAAAATTTTGAAATCAAAGTTGATTATGGACCGATCGCGTGCCTTTAAACAAATTGTAAACTAAGTACACAATGGTTGTTTAGTTGTTACTTGTCAACCTTTTGCTATCAGTACCAGATTGATTCTTCGTGAATTAATAATTCATAATACTACCTGAGTGTTGACTCGCGGATCAACCTTTTAACACATATAATATGATGACGGATGACGCTCTGATTTTATTTTAATGTAATTTTAAAAATATAATTTCTTTTTGTGCCAAAAAAAAAAAAAAATTTCTCTTTCTGCAGCTAGTATTCCTGAATTAGTTTTTTCTCTTGAACATGCGTACACTTTACATGCATGATATATACATAATGCAAAAGAAATAAATTATTAAGTTAAGCTCCTCGGCCAGTATCATCACCAGTAGTGAGATGACTTAGTTTCAACGTTGTGATTCATGGTTGTTGACTTATATAGGTTCAATTATATGGCTATATCGGATGATAAGCAACGGTTTATGCCTTCAGCGGAAGATCTCCGACGAGGTAAACGTCTTGCATATAAAGAAGCTGTTTTGTTGACTAATCCGTCCAATCCGGCTCTCAATGGAGAGGTAGGTGTGTACAACCGTTCTCTTATGGCCTGCCCATTTCTTATTTTTTTATTCTTTATTTTTATAGAGTTCATTTGAGTATTTTTTTATACTCTCTCCGACCCAAAATTATTGTTCAGTTTGAGATTTTACTTTTAGTACAATTTGAACAAAAAAAAAAATGAAACTGGATAATAACTTTAGGACGGAAGGAATATCACATTTGAACGATGGAAAGGTATGGAGACGTATTGTTCACGTTGAGTTTTTAATTAGTTGGAAGGTATTTAATTACATTTTTTTTTTGTTGATCGAGGTTTGGTGAATTATGCTAACATTTATTCAAATGGTGAAATAAAAATGATTGGAAATGTAGGTAGATGATAAGTATCAGTACTCACTGAACAACGAGGAAAACCGAGTACACGGTTGGATCTCCACAAAGAAAAGGGACAATGCACCAGGTTGGGTATGCTCATCTGGGCATGAAGGATTCTGGATTATCATGCCCAGTTATGAGTTCAAAACGGGAGGCCCCTTGAAACAAGAATTGACTTCTCATACTGGCCCTACTTGTTTAGCGGTAAAATTTATAATTTTGATCAAATCTTTTATTTCAAGACAATTGAACCCATTATCATTTTAGAATGAAAAAAATAATCAAGATGATTTAGTGACATTGTCTCTTTGTGATTACTCCGTGAGGTAGGATTTTCACAGCCAACATTACGCCGGTATAAATTCAAATGGACTAAAATTTGAAGATGGAGAGGCATGGAAGAAGGTTTTTGGACCAGTATTTATTTATTTAAATAGAGAATTAGACAACGTTGACCCTTATTTGCTTTGGGAAGATGCAAAAGATCAGGTACATTCGGTGATTTTATTATATTTTTTTTATTAAAAAAACCGTATATTACGCGGGGCGGGGCGGGGCGGGGGGTGTGTGGGACTAGATGAATCATGAACAATTAGCTGCGTTTTTGTCTATTTATTAATCACTTAAATGATTATGCAGGCGCTGAAAGAAATCCGAAAATGGCCCTATGATTTTCCAATGACACCTGATTTTCCTCCCGCTGATCAAAGGGTCACAATTATTGGCCGTCTTCACATTAGTGATAGGTAGATTCTACAATTTTATAGCTTTTTTCTTCTTTTTAAATTCGTTTGTATCGTAATGATGAGACGATTTTTCACACATATAACATCAGAATAACGAATATTTTAGGTGCTTAAAAATTAGAGATTTCCCAGCGAAGTCTGCATACGTTGGATTAGCTGCGCCTGGAGCCCCTGGATCATGGCAAAAGGAGGCCAAGGTTTATAACAGTATTTGAATTGTCAATTTATTTATTCAGAATCTTTAAAACATGCGTGCTTGAACAACTGTTTCATACAATTATTTCACAATTTTGAGTTTTAATCAGCTTGAATGGAATTGACACTGCATCTTGTAATCCCCTGTTATTCGATTCCACTAGTTTTTTAATTTTCTTTTCCACTTAGATTTAAATAAACTTACCACATTCATGTTATCCCAACTTTTCATTATGACAGGGTTATCAGTTCTGGACTCGAACTGATAATCATGGTAAGTTTACTATAAAGAATGTTCGAGCAGGCCATTACAGTTTGTATGCTTGGGTACCTGGTATATTTGGCGACTACAAATATGACTTAAATATTAGTTTTACACCAGGTACTTAATACAATAAAGTAAACATTAATAATTTCTTAGCACTTTTTTTTTAAAAAAAAACTACTCCTTCCGTCCAATAATTATTGTCCAGTTTGAGTTTTCATTTCTAGTTTAAATTGTACTAGAAGTGAAATCTTAAATTACACAATAATTTTGGGACAGAGGGAGTATTTAATACAGTTTGTAACGCTTGGATTATTTGTGTAATTAACAGGAAATGTCTTCGATCTTGGAGAACTTATATTCATACCACCGAGAAATGGTCCAACAATTTGGGAAATTGGCATTCCTGATCGGACAGCAGCTGAGTTTTATGTACCTGATCCAGATCTAAGATTTGTCAATCCACTATACATTAATCACACTGAAAAGTTAGTTCTCAATATATCTAGTCATTCTTCTTCTTACAATTATATAAGCAAGCCGATTATCAATTTGCTTAATGGTACCTTTCTCATGGACGATGTTTTGCGTTATAGGCATAGGCAATATGGTTTATGGGACCGCTACACAGATTTATATCCTCGTGAAGATTTAGTTTACATAGTCGGCCACAGTAATTATCAGAGGGATTGGTTCTTCGCTCATGTCAATAGGTACTTCATTTTTTGTTTTACGTTGTTGATTTTTATTTTTATTTTTATTTTGGTCTTTTTTTTTGTTTTTTTGATATAGTATAGTATCTAATTTTGACTAGGCTTGCATAAAATGATCTATTATTTGTAGGCGAATTGCAAATAATGTGTATGTAGCCACAACTTGGCAAATATCATTTTCCATGGATGAGGTTATTTCTACTGCAAATTATACTCTTCGATTGGCTTTAGCTTCTGCATCCATGGCTGAATTGCAGGTAAACATTACTTGCATTTTTACTATGCAGAGGGTTTCTTTAAGAAAAAGTGGGGGAGAAAAGATTTGTTAATTTTGAAAATTGACATCGGCTTATTAATTGATATGATATTGTGATGTTAATGAAATCATAGGTTAGGGTGAATGACGAATCAAGATCCGTCCCAGACTTCACGACGGGTCTAATTGGAAGGGATAGTGCAATCGCAAGACATGGAATTTATGGATTACATTGGGTTTTTAGTATTGAAATACCGGGCAATAGGCTTCTGCTCGGAAACAATACAATCTTTCTCAAGCAAGCTAGGGGCGGATATGTTTTTGGTGGCGTAATGTATGATTACCTTCGTCTTGAGGGACCAACGAATGCTACGTCCAAAAATGGCTAACGTGGAATTAATGTCAGCGGCGGATTAAGCATTTTGGTTTTATTTTGTTAGTATTTTCGGAAGTTCTGAAATGCTCATCTATAGTTGACACCATTTCAGGCGTTGAAGATGTACATACATTTCAATTTTCAAGCGAGAATAGTATTAGCAAAAATGGCTGTATAAATATTCTGCAACTTGATAGTAATAAATATTTCTCCAGCTGGTCCATAAAATGATAAAACATTTCAACTTTAAGAATACAGTTTTATTTTTCTTTTTTTGTAAACAAAGAATGCAACTTTAACTCTTTATTAAGAATACATTTTTCCGGTTTCTGTAATGATTAATGGGGCCTAAAACTCGTTCTCAGAGCATATACCTATGGAACACTTTTCACAATTTTGACCCAATAACTAGAATTTACAGCCGTCATGCCTTATAACCAATACCAACTGACGGTTAATTCTTCCTTGCTTATATACAATCTATTTTGCATAGTTTCAATTTCCAGAAAGGAATTCCTTCATATGGATATGCTCGATGTTCTTCTCCTCCTCCTCGACCTACAATATAATGGCCATATGTCACCTCCTGGCATATTTATCTCATTTGCCTTACTTTTTTTTTTCTTATTTTTTATTGTTATACTCTCTCTATTCTAAAAAAATTATCATATTTGTTGTGAAAAGAAATTATTCTGGAAAAAAAATGTAATAAGATAGAAATTTAGAATGTTACCAAAGGCTTAATTATTTTACAGGATATATTTGACCATGGCCAATTGTTAGAGTCATTACTAATCCCAATGGTACGGTAACAAGCTTAAATTACAAGGAAAATTGTAATGTCGTTGATTCTCGTTGAACTGAGTCACAGAGGGTAAGCCAAGTAGCCAACAATATTTGTGCCTCCAATTTTTTAAAGTTTTAGTGGATGAAGAAAACGAGCTACTAAGAGAGAGGATTTTTACGAAGAGATGTATAGCCACCTTTTTTCTATTCATCTCTTCTTTGATTATATGATCTTTTTGGCTTGCTGAAAGGATTCCCTTTATGTGATCAAGAACATTGTGCACGATCGTTTGCAATGTTACAACGTCGTCAGTAAGTATATAGATTATATCCATGCGTTGACCGTAAAAACCATTTTCTTGCAGGTATTGGGACATCGTATGTATGGAGCTGATCGGGAGGTTTGAAGAAATTTCCATCAAGTAAATAATTAAAAAAAAGTTGTTCATTTAAATCAATTAACTAAAAATTTTAAGAATATTGATAAATGCACAAGGGAAAAAATCGAAACGATGATATAGAGTCTCCATCCTACTACAGGCTCAAAGTCAAGTACATATCGACAATTTAGATAAATATTGTGATTTGTAGTGCTTTGGGACCAACATTTGACTATAATTAAATCACAATATTCTCATTTGCGTTACTTTGTAAATAATAAACGTACACTGACGGTCTTGTGTTGTATGGATGAAATACTTGCGTATACTTATAAGAACTCTTTCATTTAGTCGCAAAAAAACATCAGTCATTTTTTGTGACTGGAATTTTCTACGTTAACCTTCCGCATCCGTGACTGGAAATTTTAGACGAGTTAGGGATAGATGTAACTGAATTTCGGTCAGGAGAAAAAAAACATCCCACACTCCAAAGACCGCCAGAGACATTTCCTCAAGCAGCCAACGTGCACAAAAGGTTCGTAGTATCTAAACTATAAGCCGTCAGAGTAATTAGGCATTAAACTGAATGTGAGAGAGGGGATTTGTTTTGACCATTTTAATTCCTTGAGTTGATTTAAGAACTTTCTAAATATAACTGCAATATGTTAACTCGCTTTTTGTAAATGTAAATGGCATTAAACTGGAACAATGTTTTGCAAGTCATTTGAAGCATAAAAATTAGCTATCTTTCGAGATAGATTACTCCTTTTGTCTTAAAATTATTGTCTAATTTAGATCTTCATTATTAGTTTAATTTGTACTACCTCCGTAAAAAAAAAAGTCTACATTAAGTTTTGAAATTTGTACTAAAAACAGTACTAAACTCAAAATTCAATATGGACTATTTTTGTGGGGCGGAGGAAAAACTAAAAATAAAAATTCAAACTGGACAATAATTTTGGGCGACCTCATAAATTATGAATGATGTAACCAATGGAATTTTGTTTGATTTGCTTACCCTTTGTATTTACGGATTAAACGTTTCCAAAATTAAACTGTATTAGACGATAAGTCAAACGTTGGAAACAGATTAGAACTTCTTTGGCTACATACACAAAAGCAGCTAGCTAGACTTACCAAATTTTGGACCAACTACCCAAACAAAGAGGACTGAACGAAACGAATCCCACTCACAAAACAACAACTTCAAGAAATATTTTGACAGTAGAGGAAATGGTAGCTTAACTAAGTCATCTTGTAATGATCAATTTTAAATGGTTCTTCCACCGGTTCTGCTAATCCCGCTAGCTAACTAAATATGACTTATAATAACAATTTTTTAAAATTAATCTCCACCCATCACCAGTAACGCCGCAAAACCAATACACAGTTTCCACCCTGATCAGGTCTACCCCAATATTTTTTTAAAAATAAATTCTACCAATTATGGGGCAGTTTAACGCTAATTTCCAATACATACTTTTCTCTAAAGTCAATAGTGGAAAACATAAAGGTCCAGAACAGTTACGTAAGAGTCAAATTTCATGACTCTTGTTCTCGTTTCTTAGGTTTCTTCCTTTGTACTTCGTTTTTTTTTTTTTTTTTCCGCCCCTTCGGTCTGAAAAAGCTACATTTGTGAATTGTTGTTGGCTATAAATGTGCAGTATAAAATGGGTTGGACTCATCATAAAGGAGAAACAAACCAAAAGAAAAAAACTCGACAAACAGATTAGACAAATTTCTAAATGTTGTCATCTCCTCCGAGGTAGCTAGCTTGAGATGAATTTTTAAATGGTGTCATCTTCGTTTTGTTGATTAAGCCAAGAAGCCAAAAAGATCCGTTCCGCCTCTTCTGCTTTCAGCAGTCCATTCTTTCCCATTATATACATTTTAGGTTTCCTAATTTCCTTATTCTGCTTCTTCTGGAAAGCAAAAAAGAAGAAGGGCACACACCATCTGTTTGAAATTAAGGTAATCCTTTTCCCAAGTATCTTTATGTTCCCGCCTCTCAGAAAAAGTCATGCTTACATTCATATTCATCAATTGTAATATGATTATGGTTATGATCCACACAGTTGCAGAAGTGCAAGAAGAAAAATAACGCCAAGTGGGGCAAACAAAAAAAATATATATATTACCAACTTGTAGGTACGTTTTATATGCAAAAAATCTAATCAATCCTTTGGTGAAGAAGACATGATGATGGAGAAGACACACAAGAAGAAGGGCGGCTGGCACTTCCTGGTTCTATGTTTGTGTTTCTGTATTGTTTCCGAGTTCGTGGATGCGAGGTATGTTAACCTATATCTAAAATATAGTATTACAGACTAAGATATTTGATTTTGGGGGTTACAAGATTAAGATTTATTAAAACCAGCGTAACATGTACAGCTGAAAATTTCTGGATTTTTTTCGTTCCCGGTTTATCAAATTATTGTCTTTTAAATTTCTTCATTTAGAAAACGGAAAAGAATAATGCACTGATCCGCACTATACTTACGATATTTACCTGTGACAAATTCAGAGGGATTGCGAAAAACGTTACCCAAAAGCTGGGGAGCAATTCTCCACTTACATTGGAAATACAGCAGCAACTAGTAAGCCCCAGTATATTTTACCAATTCAAACAGCATCGTATGGATCTAATTCATACAGGGAAATAAGAATTATGAACTTGATCAAAATAGCATCAATTAATTAAAAGCACATATAATCGCAATTTTCCAGGTCTCAATGGATAATGGATTAGTCAAAATTACTTTATCAATTCCCGGTGGTATGATTACGGAAATTAGTTACAAGGGCATTCCTAATCTTCTAGACATCACCCAAAAAGAATCTCAAAGGGGGTAAGCTTTTCCTTTTTTCTTTTCTTTTTTTTTTTTCTTTAGTGTTAATAATGATACATTGTTATGACTATATTATTGAAAAAAACATCGGTCCACGTTGACCTTTCAGGTACTGGGATATCGTCTCGACCAGTTCAGGACAAGATGAAGGACTTTTCCATACGTAAGTCGTTGATTTTCTTTATTCATCCATTTTACTACCTGAGAAAAGCATCTCCCCCGTTACATTCGTACCCAGCCAGATCAATTAATTCATTGCAAAAAAAATAAAAATTAATGAAGGAAACAAAAACAATAAATTAAGGGATTGAGCTTTGATGTATATATATTGACGAAGGGTTTTAAATGCTATTTGAGAAATGATATCAAATGTTTCGTTACGTAAGATACAAAACTACAGAATTCGGTTACTGGTCATTTTGCTTAAATTCCCTCAATAAAATGAACGTTATGAGCAGTGTTTATGTAACATAGTATCTACAAAAATTAAAAGAACGTTACTATTCTTTCCATTATTATGTTCCTTTTTTGTATATTAATTAACAACTCTTTTAGTGTCTGAAAGGAAATTACTACAGTCTCAACTCATCTATTTATTGAGCTTAACTATTTCCATTGATTGTATTGTTTGTGCGTGCAGGATCGAAGGATCAAGTTTCCAAGTGATAGCACACAGTGTGGACAAAATAGAGCTTTCCTTTAAGTCAATTTATTCTCCCTCATCGGGTAACCCTTTGCCCTTAAATATTGATAAAAGGTAACGGTTTGAATTTATATATGCATATTTATTTGTTTTCTTGAGTTTAACTTCAAGGAAAAAAAAAAGAATTAATTTTCTAAACGTGTAACTTATGAATAAAATTTTGATAACTATGTAATCAGGTTTGTAATGCAATCGGGTCAATCCGGATTCTACTCCTATGCTATATACGAAAGGTTGGAGGGCTGGCCAGCATTGGATATTGCTGAAACCAGAATAGCGTTCAAGCTTGATCAGAATCTGTAAGTGAAAAAACAAGCCATTATTTTCTCTATTTTCTTTCTTCTTTTCCAAATATTACATCCAATATGCGAAAATCACTGGCCGGTTAATTCAGCAATCCTTCGTTCATTTTACAAGTACAATTATTTATTTCAAAATTATTAGACATTTGTACAAACGAATTTCTTGCATTTTCATCATGGAGAATCACATAACGTTTAGCTAAAAGATTTGTTTTCAATTGAAATGCGAAATATAACTAACATTATTCGTACATCTTCATTTAGATTTCACTACATGGCGATTGCAGACGATAAGCAAAGGTTCATGCCTACAGCTCAAGATCGTATACGAGGTGAGCGTCTAGCATATCCAGAAGCTATTAGGGTGGATAATCCATCTCAAAAGGCTTCGACGGAGCAGGTGGGCATAATGTTTTCTTTTACTGGTTACATTTCATTCCCCCTCCCCTCGGTTTTTAAAGACTATCATATAATTGATACTTTTTTTTCCTTTTTTTTTTCTTTTGTATTTTTACATGATGTCACCGGTGATAATGGTGAATAATATAAATGTTAATGCAGGTTGACGATAAATATCAATACTCTCTGAACAATAAGGAGAATCAAGTGCATGGTTGGGTTAGTACTGATGAGAAAGTTGGGTTTTGGGTAATAATTCCCAGTTATGAATTCAAAACCGGTGGCCCAATGAAGCAAGAACTTACTTCACATGTTGGACCAACCTCCCTGGCGGTATGTATAAAATTCATTTTCCATAACTAAGATTATTATATCCAAAAATAGTAAATCTAATTTACCCAAGAGAACACCTAGATAATATCCTGGTCAATTTGTTGTATGTATAAATTTACACATTCATGTTAATTATAGGTATTTCACACTCGTCACTACGCCGGAACAACACTGAAAGGGCTAAGTTTTGAAGATGGAGAACCTTGGAAAAAAGTGTTTGGACCTGTATTTCTTTATCTAAATTCCGGTCCAAATGATGTTCAACCATCTTCCCTTTGGAATAATGCAAAACAACAGGTTCTTTTCTTTTTTTCTTTTTTTTTTTCCTTGTGCTATTCAGATTTTTAAGCTTTTTTTTTTCTTGGCGAAGAAAACTATAGTTCTATTTTGGAGAAGTAAGTCATTATAGAAAGTTGAATTTGCAATTTCAGTCTATTAAAGAAATCCAACAATGGCCATACAATTTCCCAATGTCGGTGGATTTTCCTCATGCTAATCAAAGAGCCACAGTTTCTGGTCGTTTACAAGTCAATGACAGGTACATTTGTGAATGCCTCTTTTTTTTTTTTTTTTGTCCAACCTTGTTAGTTAATTGTAAATGTTAAAATCAAATTATCATATCTATTTGAACTTAATCACCCCAGAAGCTAAACAATACTTGATTTCAGAGTTAACAAAAAAGTTGCAACGGTTTTCAGGTTGTTGCAAAATGGAAATTTCCCAGCCAAATCTGCTTATGTGGGATTAGCAGCCCCGGGAGCTCCAGGATCATGGCAAATGGATGCTAAGGTAGAAGCAATCAATACTGTATATCAAAAACATAAATGACTCCATATCTACGGCATTTTATTTCTTCAATTCATTAAAAAGAAAAAAAATACAACAAATCGAACTACAGAAAGAAAGATAAATATTGCTTGACACTTTTTTTTTGGTTCATTTCCGATAGGGATATCAATTTTGGACCCAAACCGATGAGATGGGTTCATTCCTCATAAGACATGTCCGAGCGGGCACCTACAACTTGTATGCTTGGGTTCCTGGGATTTTTGGAGATTACAGATATGAAATGAATGTCATGGTCTCACCAGGTAACGTTACAAAGTATACGACGCCAAATCGCGAAATTTTTTCAATCTTACTAATTCTGTGTTAGTAAGTTATTAGTAGGCTAGAAAAATTATACAATCGTTAACAAATAAATCAAAGAAGGTAGATAAATGTTGGTGATTAAATATAAAAAAAAATGAGAAAAAACTAATAACATTTCATATTTGTTTCAGGAAATGAAATTAATTTGGGAAATCTTGTGTTCAATCCTCCAAGAAACGGTCCAACGATTTGGGAAATCGGTATTCCTGACCGAACAGCCGCAGAGTTCTATGTGCCTGATCCAGCTCCAGGGCTTATAAACCCTTTATACTTCAACAAGCCAGCTGAAAAGTACAGCCTGACTCCCAACTTTGAGGATTATATCCCATCTTTAATGGCATTTTTTTTTCCATTTTCCAACCACTTTAATTCATTAATTGTTTGATTAACTACATGGATTATGTCTACATATTCTCAGGTATAGGCAATATGGTTTATGGGATCGGTACACAGATTTATATCCTCGGCAAGACCTAATATTCCAAATCGGATCAAGCGATTATCAAAAAGACTGGTTTTTTGCTCATGTCAACAGGTAGAATACCCATGTTTTTTTCTTTTTTTCCTTAATCACCAAAGGTGTTAGTTTTTTGGCATTGAAACCATTTAACTAGAACTCAATTAAGTGCTTTTCAAATAGATTTCAAACATTAAAAATCTTCTAGATTCAACTGTAAACAACAGTCACTTGTTCAAAGTGAGTTAACAATACATGTGAGATTTCCGAAATGCATGTGTTACGTTTGCAAGCCTAAACCTGTGGCAATAAATTTAATTGTAGGAGGACTTCAGAAAACACGTACATACCCGCCACTTGGCAAATTTCATTTGACATGAAGAAGGTCGTTCCTACTGCTACTTATACTTTCCGATTGGCTCTCGCTTCTGCCACCCGAGCCAATATTCAGGTAATTCACAGGATCAAATCTTTTTGTAGCTTGATTTTTTTTTCCTTTGGTATATCATATATGTCTACTCTACTAGTACAATTATGAAGCATTAAGTCGAGAGTTGAAAAGGCAAATTTTCCTATTTCTTTTGGGAAAAAGGACTGTCAGTTATATATGACTAATACTTTTTTTATTAGGAAACGATTGTTCGGTTTAAATTTTTTCTAATATAAATTATATTTAAATAAAAAATAAAAAAATACAAATTGAACAAATCATTTTGAACAAGAAAGAAAGAAAATTAACTAATTATTTCATTGATGTGCTGGTCAAACTGTGTATATAGGTCAGGGTTAATGATCCAATGAGAAGAATTCCTGATTTTTCCACGACCCGAATTGGGACGGATAATGCAATTGCGAGACATGGAATCCATGGGTTGTATTGGGCATTCAATTTTGGCATCCCCGGGAACAGGCTTGTAAGCGGAAATAATTCCATATTTCTAAGGCAGAGTGAAGGTGGATACCCATTCTTTGGGGCAATGTATGATTATCTTCGCCTTGAAGGACCGGTGAAATAAATTCATGAGAGATTAAGGCTCACTTAATCACGCCACTTATTGTGTACAGGAAATTCTTTGGTAGAAAGATCTATGATCCTCATAAGGTTTTGGAATTCGTCTATATAGAATGACATGCATACAATGATACATCTACACAACTAGTACTTCACAAATGTTTTTTTGAAATTGTAATTTTATAGAGATCAAATAGTGATATCTTATGGTAATTAGTGTTTTTGGGTTGGGAAACTGAATCCCAGTTATACTGTAAGCTGTAAACATCATACATTTAATTATTACTTCTTTTGGTTCAAGTAATTTGCTATCAATATTTCCTTTTCTCTCCTTCCTTTTGCCTGCCCTCGTGCATGTCATGTGCACCACTTGTAGAGTTAATATATTACACACATCCAGATTCTCACTCCTTGATTATATTAGTAGTTGACTTTGACGATCGCCGAAGAGTTATAATTTAAACAAACCTCATCCAAATGAATGATTGGCTTAATAGAAGATAATTTCATACATAAAAACTAGAAGAAAAAAAGTCTAATTAAACTTCACTGTAATTAGTAACCTGTCCGGTCTGCGTCTACATATTCAACAAATCGGTGCATGCATTCTTTAATTTCCCTCCTTGTTCATAATAATGGACTTTCATAGATAATTGGTTCTTCATTATTGTTTACGAAGCATCCATAAAGATTTTCAAACTCTATTAATCTCTGTCCATAATAATTCACATTGAGCATAAATTGTGGTATAAATTCTAAAACTTTTTCTTTTTTTTTTTCGACGGAAGGAATATTGATTGTTATAGAGTGGCAAATTGTCCAATGAGAATATGCTGTGTTTAGATTTTGAATCACTAAATATAGCAACCTTCAATCTGATACACATTTGATTGATTTTTATTTTTTTTCTGGAATGATTATTAAGCTTCACTTGAACACAGACATAATAATCATAACTAATTATATTGAGCTAGTCAATCCTTTCGCAGCAATACAACTCAAGTACTCAACCATTTAGTCCTTTTTCTTTTTCCCAATTCAACAAATTCCACTTCTATTTTAACCATCAATATAAGTGTTTGAAATTAAAAAAAAAAAAATCATTATTGTAAAAAAAAGTTTGGCAATTATGGAACTGTTTGTGGGTTCTAACATGCCAAGCCGGTCTCATGCATGATTGTGTTAATTTTTTTAAACGCGAAAGTTGGGATTATATATCATCACTATTTACAATTTGAATAACTGCAACTTACATTAGCCAAAGCAAAGTCGTCTACAATTTTTCTTTATATATATACACATAAAAAAGAAATTACATGTTCGGCTGTCTTGTTGCCTTCCCAGGCTGGATAAGCTTTGCAACGCGAAAATGAGAATGTAACCTTTGAGGCAATGAAACACCATTTCAGGACCTCTATAAATAAATGTACGTACATTGTCTTTGTAAGTCATCCCTGGTGTAGTTTTAGGTTGCCCATATAGCTAGAGCTTTCATTTGCCTTCTACTTACACCACTTAATTGACCTTTTGAAACATTAAGTGTCAATCTTCTTCTTAAGTTCTTCCTGTTAATTATAACTTGGTCCATCGACCACCGGCGGTGTTCTTCTTTCCGGTTGTCGTCGTTGGTACGTAGTTGGCACATGCAAGTATTCCTATGTACAACGACCAGTCTTTACCGCATTGCTCAGATTGTTGAAAACATCAAGTCAAGAGGTAAGTTAACCATGTACTCATTATTGACTTTACTCAAGTCCAAACTTTATATATGCAGTAATTAAATTTGGTTAGTTCTTCAATTATTTTCGTCCTTTCTTTTTACTCCTACTTTCGATTTTTCCATTCTCAAGGTAGTGAAAATTTCGTTATTCACTTTGTAGTGCGCCATTAGCCGGTCATTGATTAGAATTCATATATATTGTGGAAAGGTAAATTTGGTTTTCTCCTAAACTGTGAGATGAGAGTGTGGGTACGCAATGTTCTCAAAATTCCCGAATTCGGACTTTTAATGCAGGGTTCCCAAATTGGAATTAGCCTTTCAAGTTAACTTTTTAACTAAAACAAGGATTTGACAGTATCTTATTTTATAGACTTAAGAAATTTAGACCGAATAAATTTTGTGGAAGTAGCTAGCTAGCTAGCTAGTATGGCTTTACACATTTTCGTGGCTGTTTTTTATAGCCCTAGTATTGTCGGTAATTAGATTTGTACTGCTTTGAATTATTACGGTAGATTAACTTTTGTTAATTGTGTATAAAACACATCTAATAATTATGTCTTATTTAATTTGCATGGTTTTTTGTGGTTTTTCGTTGCTGTATATAAACAGGATTTGTTCAAGTGGGCGAAGAAGACGACAGGATGGAGAAAGGGAGACTTTGGGGCTTGGTCGTATTATTATTGCTGTGCCTCTGTTTTGGTTCTGACACAGTACATGCCAAGTACTACACAATTAAACAAATCAGTCATTTTTTATCCTTTTTTAGCAAATTTCTTAAACTATGACTAATTAAGTCAACGCATCATGCTCTGGACCCAATTTTCCAGGGTTCTTAAATTTCTTGTTGAATGAACACTACACACTAGCAGTCTCCCTGGTTGCGTGGATTGTTATAAGTTAATGCCAAATTGCATTTAAACCAATAAGTACATTACATATTTTCAAGTGTTCTTCTAACCCCCTTTTTTCTCCGAATTTCAGAACGAGTACTCCAAAGAACAAAACTCAAAAGGTCCCCCCTTCTCCTCTCAAGTTGGTTACGCAGAAGGGACAGGTAATTAAAGCTTCTCCCAATAACTTAATTCGACATTATATATATATAATATATAGTATCACTGATTTTTTATCAATTTCTTTTTTCCCAATGAATTATGACGTTGTTGATATAATTAAATTATTATATATGTTGCAGGTAGTGATGGATAATGGAATAGTGAAAGTAACGTTATCAGTTCCTGGTGGTATGATTACACAAATTAGCTACAAGGGTATTTCCAACATATTGGACACCACCCAACCATCAGCACAAAGGGGGTAATTAAGCCTTCTTTTCTTAATTAATTGATTACCACTCCACCGTCTTTGACTGGATAGTGAAATGAGGAAATTGTGTTTTGTGTAGGTATTGGGATCTCGTGTGGGCGTTCCCGGGTGAAAATGCAACTTTTAATGTGTAAGTAGCCCTAAATACATAGAATCTTACAAAAGGAAGTGAACATTAATCTTTTTCAAATTAAAGGTAGATTGTTAAATAAAGTGAGACGGTCTTCATTCGTTCCTATACTGTATTCGCAGGTTTCAAGGAACAAATTTTAAAGTTATAGCTCAAACTGGGGAAAAAATTGAGCTCTCTTTTAAACTAACGTACAATCCCTCGTCTACCAATACGTTACCCCTAAATATCGACAAAAGGTATGCACCATGAGAAGTAAATTATGTTTGTAATTAACCTGTATAGAATGATATAATTAATCATTACAATTACAAAGCTACTATAATCTCTACTAGTATGTGGCATGCATTTAATCATCTTATGTATTGTACCCAAAATGGATGGATTAGATCTTTTTCTTGTTATGCTTGATTTTAGTTATTTGGTGAGAACACTAACTTGATCTGAAGTTTTCATTCACAACATGTAATAGTTTAGATTTTTAGATTTTGACTTCTTTATTGTACCAAAAAAAATGACTACTTTATAAATGTTTCAGGTTTGTAATATTACCTGGCCTATCGGGATTCTACACCTATGCAATATATGAAAGGTTGCCGGGTTGGCCGTCATTAGACATTGCCGAAACCAGGATTGCTTTCAAGCTCGATCAGAAAATGTAAGAAATTAATGTTGAAATTATTACTATTGTTGTTGTTATAATCAACATTTTATTTGATAAAAGCGTTGCATTCTTATTTTTAACAGGATAAAGAAAGTTAAAATTAATGATCTTCTGGCTAGATTGGTTGTATGTGGTCTAGTTAGAATGATGAACTAAATATGTGCTATTTGTTCAAATAGGTTCCGTTACATGGCTATTTCAGATGATAAGCAAAGAATTATGCCATCTGGGGTAGATCGTGATCGAGGTCAACCTCTCGCATATAAAGAAGCTGTTTTGATAAAAAGTCCATCTCCAAAAACAAAGGATTCAAAAAGTTCAAAAGTGCCGGTGGGGATATACTTTCAGTTGTTGAAAGGAAAGCATAATTTAGGTTGCTTTTTCTAATGGAATTTTTTTTTTTCCCTCCCCTAGGCAAAGACGGAGGTTGATGATAAGTATCAGTATTCCTTGGATAATAAAGACTATCAAGCCCACGGTTGGATTAGCACGGATAAAAATGTTGGGTTTTGGGTAATCTTGCCCAGTTATGAATTCAGAACTGGAGGCCCAATGAAACGAGAACTTACCTCACATGTTGCCTCAACCTCCCTAGCGGTAACAATATTTTCACAACTCCTATATATATATATATATATATATATATATATATATATATATATATATATATATATATATATATTTATTTATTTATTTATTTATTTATTTATTTTATTTTATTTTTTTAAAAGGGTACCTGTATATTAGTGTAAACCGGCACCTATGCTATTACAACGTATTTTTGCAAAAGCTAGATTATGTATTTCGGAAACCTCTAATCTGCTAACTTTAATCAGTGAGCATGACTCAAAGGCTAATTTATGAGACTTGAGCGAGGAAATAACTTCCTGTGCCTCAGTAGGGATAAGAGAAGTTGGGTTATCCAACGTTAGTATTTCGCAATTAGTATAAACTTGGACTCGTGCCAAGCCTAGACTCAATGCATCTTTCATGGCTAGTAAGCAAGTCATTGCTTCTGCCTGTAGAGGGGAAAAGACGGTAATGTCGACCGCTTTGATTTGCAGCACCATGCCATGTGGAGAAGTGATCTTCTAAGCAGCTGCAGCTTTCCTTGTTTAGTGGCTATATGACCCATCAATAATAATTAGGGAGTCAGAGGACCCCCGTATTTGTGTATTTGAAAGTGGTCTGACTATGGATGTGGAGTGACGACGAAGTTGTGCAGTGAGTGATTCATCAGTAAGGATCAGTCTCCAAGATACTGCTAGATCGGTGGTTTAATTGCGCCAAATCCGATCATTTCTTTCCATCCAGATTCGCCATATAATGAGAAGAAAAAGATCAACTTCCGCTTTTGATGGATGCATTTGAATCCAGTTGACAAACCAGGTCAGCATAGAATCATAGCTAGAGGTAAAAATAGAGGCAAACCTAGGATAGGCAAATGCCCAAATAGCCTGAGAAGACTCACATTGGAAGAAGAGATAAAGAGCATTTTCTTCCCAGCGGCCACATCGGGGGCATACTTGATCAATTAAAACTCCCCGTTTAGATAACTGTCCTAGTAGGCAGGGTCATCCAGTAATACTCTCCAAAATAAAAACTTATGTTTTGGTTGCACACCTGATTGCCACAGTCGTTTCCAAGCCATCTTCTCTATTAGCAACACATCCGGATTTTGAGCTGGTAATGGGAGGAGTGCATTAGTAGCTAATTGATAGCCGTCTGGCACAGTATAAGTCCCATATGAGGAATAAGTCCACTGAATTGCATCAGGATGAGTCCTTCTGTCAGTATCAACAAAAACCCCACAATGCGGGAGATGATGTGATCTGGAAAGAATCTTCTCAAAGCATGTACCCGCCACTGTCCATTTGGATTAATGAAATGAGCGACCTTGAGATTTGAAGCTGCTAGAACTGACTGAGGACTAATAGGATTTTGGACTTCCGGAATCCAGTTGGCAGCTAAGGGAATGTCATTCCCTGACACCACTTTCCATTTAGTATGATTATTGATTAATTCTGCCCCCCATAGAATACTCTTAAAACCCCAAGAGGAATTCGATGGTAGCTGTACCGGGGGGAAAACACCATTACTGCAGTATTTAGCCTGAAAGAGACGACCCATTAAAGAGTGTGGAGCTGACACTATCTTCTAAGCGTGTTTGGCTAACAAGGCCTTATTAAATTCCTTTGTAGCTTTAAGACCGAGACCATCATGGAATGTTGATGTAGCCATTTTTTTTCATGACCTCCAATGTATTTTGTGGTCCTGTGACTCCCCCTTCCAAATGAAAGCCCCCATGATTTGACCCCTTTCCGGAGTATTTTGGCAGGCAGCCGAAATACTCCCATTGGATAAACCAGCATAGAAGATAATGTGGCTTTTGCTAATGTGACTCTCCCTGATAAGGTCAACATCTTCGTTTTCCAGGATGCAAATTTACCAGTCATGCGAGAGGTAAACTGAGAGAAGATTGTCGTCTTCCTTTCTGAGAAATCCAAGTTGAGGCCTAGGTACTTACTCTGGAAATGACCCATTGGGATTTTTAGTGTAGAGTGGATAAATGACTTCATATCCTGACTGGTGTTGGAGCTGAGAAGAATAGAGGACTTTTAGAAATTGATGCGTTGTCCTGAAAAATTAGAATAATTTTCCAAAGACCAGCTAGGGTTAATGTTGAGGATTCCTTACATTCCAAGAAGAAGAGACTGCCATCCGCATACATAAGATGACTGATACGAGGTGCAAGACGACATATCTTAATACCCAGACTTGGAAAAAGAGAGATTTCTGACTTGATGGCCGATGAAAGCACCTATTGGCACAAGATAAATAAGTATAGGATAATGGACATCCTTGTCTTAAACGCTTATTTGAGGAGAAAGGTTGTAAATTATCTCCATTAAACTGGATTGAATATGACACTGTGGGCACACAATGCATAATCAATATGATGATCTTTGAGGGGAAGTTGGCCTTTGTTAAAACCGCCTGTAGAAAAGACCATGAGACACGATCATAAGCTTTGCTCATGTCCAATTTGACTGCAGCTAATCCTGTCAGACCCTGCTTCTTCCTAATACATTCCAGAACTTCATGAGCAATGAGAATGTTTTCACTGATATTCCTGCCTGGGACAAAGCTGTTCTGATTTTCATCAATCAAATCATTCATCACCACTTTAAGACGGATAGTCAGCATTTTAGTAATGATCTTGTACTTAACATTACATAAACTAATAGGCCTGTAGTCATTGGGAGTCACCGGTGATGAAACCTTAGGAATAAGTGCCAATCTGGCCTGGTTCCATTCAGGGGGAAAGGTAAGGGAAGTGGATACCTCTAGGATGGAGTTTTGAACATCCTGACCAATAATATCTCTGTATTGCTGATAAAAACCCGCCGGCATACCATTCGGTCCCGGAGATTTCTATGGTGACATCTGTTTCATGGTACACCATACTTCATTGGCTGTGAAAGGGGCATCCAGGGCAGCTGCTTGACCAATAGTTAGTACTTCCTCCACATTGCTCAGAAAACTTTGATAGTGAATTGAGGATGGTTACCTTTGGGAAGACACATCATTAGCCCGACAAATGCCAGAGAAATGTTCATTTACCATAGATTGTAAGTAGCTTTGATCCTGAATCCAGTTCCCCTGTGCATCTTGAAGCTCATTAATCCAAGTGTTACCTTTTCGTCTAGACGCCCATTTATGGAAAAATTTTGTATTCCTATCTCCAAACTGATTCCAATTTACTTGGCCCTCCGATGCCAATATTCTTGTTGCAAAATAAGAGCCTCCTCCAACGCCAGACGTCGATGTTCTAATTCAGTGAATAAATTAGCACCATCTTTGTGTGTCTCCCATTGAGATTGCACCGTTGCCAATTCTCCTGTGAGAGTGAAAAAACTATATTAAAAATAAAAATTTCAAAAATGAACATTTTTGGGGGGACAAAGAGAATATAAATTTATGATCAGTTGCAACATCCAAATGAGTTAGTACCACAAGTTTTTAACCCGTTACAACTTTCATATTGATTCATTTCATTTTATGATAGACATTTTTCACTCGCCACTATGCTGGAGCAACATTAAAAGGACTATACTTTGAAGATGGAGAACCTTGGAAGAAAGTATTTGGACCTCTATTTATATATCTAAACAATGGAACGAAGAACCAACCATCCACACTTTGGAATGACGCAAAACAACAGGTTTTGTCCTTTTTATTTTCTTCGAGGAATCAAATTTAATTTGCTACATCAAATTTCAAGAACCTAATGAATGAATATTTTGTTTGTAGTTTATGAAAGAAGTCCAGAAATGGCCGTACAAATTCCCAATGTCGCCCGATTTTCCTCTACCTGATCAAAGGGCCACAATTAGTGGTGTTCTATTGATTAATGACGGGTATTTTCTAATTTAGCCAGAACCAAAAAAAATAAAAAGAAGTTGTTGTGTGTTTCTTCAACCGTCCCAGAGTATAAATAGTGGAGTAGTACTACAAAACTAAACACTTTTCAATTGTTTAGGTTCTTACAAAATATGAATTTCCCAGCCAAATCGGGTTATGTAGGATTAGCAACTCCGGGAGTTCCTGGATCATGGCAAATTGAAGCAAAGGTTTGTTATTTTTTTTAAGTAGTCCATTAATACCATATGATCGCTCCTATTAACTTGAAACTGAATTTCGTGTTTCAATTTTGTAGGGATATCAATTTTGGACTCAAACTGACTTTATGGGTTCGTTCACCATAAAAAATATTAGAGCGGGAACTTATAACTTGTATGCTTGGGTTCCTGGCATTTTTGGCGACTATATGTACGAAACAAATATTGTCGTGTCACCAGGTAGAAATGCAAAAACTCAATCTCACGATAATGTAATGTATGGCTGCTAATCAAATAAGTAATTTTGATACTATAATCTTCTTTTTTTTTAGGAAATGTCGTTGATTTGGGAATTGTAGTTTTCAATCCCCCAAGAAATGGACCAACAATATGGGAAATTGGGATTCCAGATCGTACTGCCGCCGAGTTCTATGTGCCTGATCCACTTCCAGGACTTACAAATCCTTTATACAACAATCTTCCAGCTGAGAGGTATGCTCTCGTTCTCAACCTAATTTATAATTCCATTTTAGTTCTCCTCGCATAATTTTTTTTCCCCCTTTGGGTTTACATTTTGACATACATCTCAGGTATCGACAATATGGTTTATGGGATCGCTACACGGATTTATATCCGAATGATGACTTAATGTTCAATACTGGAGTGGACGATTATCGAAAGAACTGGTTTTATGCTCATGTTAACAGGTATTTGCATTTTTTTCCTTTTCTCTTAAATTTATTTTCCATGATTTCAGTTAGATATAAAACTAGATAATTGCCAAAAAGATCGATAATAAATGACAGAAAAGTATGTGAATTTCATGTTATAACTCCGAGAAAATCCATTTATTTACAACAACTAAGATCTAAATCATTTTGTTGCAATTGAATCGCAGGAAACTAAACACCACCACATACGTACCTACTAGTTGGCAAGTTTCATTTGACATGACGGAGGTCATTCCAAGTGCCACTTACACGTTGCGATTGGCTATTGCTTCTGCCACATTCGCCAATGTTCAGGTAAAATAAAACCATCAGTCATCAATAGATATTGGTTCTTATTGGTTAAGGATCCATTTTTTTTGTGGTTAATTAGGATAACAAATTATTTATTTATAAACTCATGCGAGCTGGTTGAATTGTGAATTGTAGGTTAGGGTGAATGATCCATTGAAGATTTTACCTGATTTCTCCACGGGCCGAATTGGTCAGGATAATGCGATTGCCAGACACGGACCTCATGGGTTGTATTGGGCTTTTAGCTTCAGCATCCCCGGGAATAGACTGGTAGTGGGTAGCAACTCAATATATTTGAGGCAAAGTACGGGAGGATTTCCATTTGTTGGTGCTATGTACGATTACCTTCGTCTTGAAGGACCAAGTGTGTAAATTTTATGTGTTCTATCAAAGAATTAGGCCAAGAATTTTGATGGATTAGATTAATTATATGTTGTCTTGGGAGAAAAAGAAAACCGATCAATTTGGTTAGTTCTCTCGTTGTGGAGTTTTTTTTTTGTTTTTTTTGGTTAAAAGGTACATGTATATTATAAAATATCTACGCTATTACATTGCATTTTATAATAAACAATATTATGAACTTCCGAAACATCCGATCTATGAACTTTAATCAGTTCACAATACGCAAAAGAGTTTATAAGTTTTATTAGGTTTGGTACTAATTCTTGTACCTCTAATGGGATTTGTTGGTACCGGAGATTGGTAGTTAAAAATTTACAATTCGTGTGAATCTTAACTCGAGTAATACCAAGTGTAGAGACATGTTGTTACTTCCGATTGCAATGGGAAGACAGCTTGGATGGTTTCATAACCAATTTGTAAGAGTGCATTAAACGGGGAAACAATTTTCCTTGCTTCTGTTGCCCTTGAATTTGCCGGATTGAAAGATCCATCAATAGTAACTAGTGATGAGTTCTGTCTTGAAGAGGATCTTGTAGTGGAGGCATTATACAGTCGCTGCTTCTGATGTCTTTTGTGTTGATTGAGATCCATTTGAATCATTCTCCAAGAATAAGGGGGTCTTGAGTTTGTTGCCGCCAAATTTTGTTGTTTCTTTCTATCCATATATTCTATATTATGAGAAGGGAGAGATCTACATCTTCCTTTGTTGGCGATGTCTAGATCCAATGGACAAAAGTTTGGAAGAGAGATGATTGCAAATGCTGAAACATCGTCATAATGGACGTTGGCGCCGATGCCCAAATTTCTTTGGACACACTGTAATTAAAAAATAGATAGAGACTATCTTCTTCCGCCAAGTGACATCTTGGGCAAACTGTATCAATTTCAATCCCCCTCTTTGCTAGTGCTGATCGAGTAGCTAATGTATCACGAAGTGCTCTCCAGAAAAGTGTTTTCTGTTTTGGTTGGACTGAAGAATTCCTGAATTTCTTCCAGGCTAAGATTTCAGGGGAGAAATTCAGGCTAAGATTTCAGGGAAGTTTTAATGAGGAGATCCCAGTTGGTGTTGCCTGTTCAAAGCTACTTGATAACCAGTCTTTACTGAATAAGAGCCATGTGGTGTATGAAGCCAGTGAGGATGATCGTGTTGATGAGCTCTGTCAGGATCTATATGAATGCTAGTAATGGATGACAGGAAGGGATCTTGGAAAATATTGCTGAGGAAGTTTAAATTCCACTGGTTAGAAGGATGAATGAAATCCTTGACCTGAAAGCTTGTATGTGTGGCTAAAATAGAATCTCTTTGAATTGGATTCGTATGATTTGGAATCCAATCCTCTGCAATCCCTATATCCATCCTTGATACCACTTTCTATTGTTCAAGCAATTATACTCCCCATAAGATACTCTTGAAGCCCCAAAAAGGGTTATTTGGGGATGTGGTGGAGGAAATATTCCATTTATACAGTACTTTGCTCTATAGATTCTGGAGAGTAGAGAGTGTGAGTTTAGTCTTCCAATCTGCAAATTTTGATGACAGTTTTGATGTGAACTCTTGGAAAATGATCTTCTTCTTCTCTTGGAAATCTAGGCTCAATCCTAAGTATCGACTCTGAAATTGTCCATGAGGGATCATGAGAGTAGAATGCAAGAAATCTTTGGTTTTTGGCTTAGTGTTAGGACTGATAACGATTGATGATTTATTTAGGTTAACCTTCTGACTAGAGAAAGCCATATAAACCTCAATCAAACCAGCCAGTGCCTGAATTGCATAGTCTTTTAGGACCTCGGGGATTTTGATGCAAAGTTTCTGATTAAGGTTGTAACCTAGTATATTGTAGACACCTCTATGCTTATCCTTGTAGATCAAGCACGGTGGAAGGGATTCGACCTCGTCCGGATAGTGCTGGAGGCGCAATGCTTATTGACACAACGAAAATTCATGTAATCAGCAAAGCATAGATTTTCAGCAATCAAAATAAGTAACTCTTGCGATAGGTCGCACAATGAGAAGTTTCCATCATCATTGGTGCCCGTTACTGGACCATCATTCAGTTTCATCAGCCGCATCCTCTTAGAAGTGGCCCTTCTTCTCCTGCAATTTTTCCAATTTTTCCCATTCCTCCTACTGCATCCTCTGTAGTTGTGGTAATAAGCTTTTGATGAGCAACAGGACGTATGGCAGGCATAAGCCATTGAGAAATCCAACTTTCAAGTCGATCGGGTCGACAAAATGTAGGTGATGATGTTACTTTCTGATCCTGAATCCTATAGGAGAACAAAGTTGGGTTAGGAGGAAAGCTGAAGTAAATGTAACTCCCATCAATCTGATCCAAGGTTTCACCGCTCTGGCTGCTGTAAAGGGAGTAGTCCTGGCACAAGAAAACTGCGCCTCCATTCAAACTTGTCATTTGTTGCCAAGAAATCAAATTTGAAAACAGACACAGACAGGGCTTCTTTATAAATGTTGAAAGATTTAGGGGACATTAAGATTAGACAAAGGTCGTGACCCCCTAATGACACCAAGAAGGTTCTCCTTTTACTTGCCAATTTTTGCTGGGATTCTGGCACTAACAGATGGGCTTCACAATTATTGTGGTCATCAATATTAATCTGCACCAAATCCCTATAACAAGAGGAGGATATGGCGTAGATTGTACCATTGAAGTCGACAGGACTGTGTAGGCAATAGGGTTGTGGGAGAGGAGTACCTACCAACACGGCAATATAAGATTAGAGGAAAGTTTTGGACGAATAAAAGCACCAAATTAGAGGACGAGCTGCTGGACAGCATCAATGCGTGTTGAACACGATGATGTTGGAGAAGTGGTCTCACAAGGGGCAACCGAATCGACTCATTGATGGTAGGAAACCACACAAAATAACGTGGCGAGCCAATTGCTGGGCGAGCAATCAAAATTAACCTCTCGCCGTCGGGGAACAGTACAAGACTCTTTTGCAATCAAGCTCCGGAATACTGTGAAAGCGAAAGTCTTTTGGGGACCAAATGTCAACAAAGGTTTGATCAAGTACTAATTCTTCCCGAAGATATAATAACCATGGATGACGATACTTTGATTGAAGTTTTCCAGGTGCTGGCAATTGTTGCTCTGGCGAGGCGGCTGATGCTAATTACTTCCCCTTCATGTCTGCCCACTGCCCCAGTCCATAAATTAAGAAAAAGCAGACAATCAAACCCCCGGAGAACAATTTCGATCTCAGAAATTCCAGAATATTCCACCGGAATCAAGCTCTGCAGTTTACAACATAAATCAAACTAACAATGCAAAACAATCTTTGCGGGTTCCAAAGTTTGTTAACCCGAAAGCAACCCGAAAAAATTATAAGTACAGGACAGCGATTATAAATACGATTGGAGAAGAGGGAGTGGTTCCCAAGGTTAGCGGTAAGGCGGCAAAAATCCCAAACTTAGAATCCTTAGTGATCGCCAAAGTAGGTCGGCATCAAAGTGATCGGAAAGAAAAACACGATTTCTGGTTGAAGCGTTTATCTCTTCCCATCCCCGGGAATCACCAAACTTTAAAAAGGAACAAGTTGGGTTTTAAGTGTCATACCCAATTTCTTGCCTGATTTATAAATAGTGAATGGGCTAGGCCCATAAAATTTGTATTGAAACCCAAAAATCTCTTTCTTCCTTTGTTTTATCACCTAATACATATTTTTTATTTAAAAAAATTTAAAAATATATTTTCATATTTTTTGTATTTTTTTATTATTATGAAATATTTTAAAGATTTTTTTGTCAATTAAAAATGCGTACTAAGTGAAACCTATTGAAAAATCAAAATGTCTTATCTTAAAAATCGGAAGGAATACTTAAATTTCATTTGTGTTTTTTCCTCGCGTCTTCTAATAATTTTTTGTTATTTTCACTAAACAACGAATTTCAATGACTAAAAATATTGTTTTCTCCAACCGGAGAAAAGAAAATTTTAAAAAAACAAAAGATTAGAAAATAAATAGAACAATAAGAAAATTAAGCAAATGAATGGAGGTGTAGTGCTTGCTTATTATTCTTTGTAAATAATTTTATTAGAAAAATAGTAGTTCGAAAATTTCATGAGGGGATATAGTTGTCCTATTACGTCATAAATGTAAAGAAACTGAACAATTGTCTTATATTTTTTCATTCTTTGATATTGCACAGTTTCGGAGGGATTTCTCCGAGAGAATAAGAAATGAAATTGATCAAATATTTGGTTGTTTTTTTGTTTTTTTTTTTGAAAAACAAATATTCGGTAGCTAGAAATAGAAAATGGGGAAAAAAAAGAGAGATAGAAAAAAGAAAGGACAAAGAGATGAAAGAAAAATGGGGAGGGATGGGTCAGTTTCCAAACAAAACTTTGAAGATTGCTGGTCAGTTTCGGGGCATGCATGGGGAAGACGACATTGGGTTATGTGTACACTTGAGAGGAGCAAAAAAAACAAAACTGTCCAAATGGAGATTATAAGTTTCAAATTTTCACATTAAAATACCGTACAGTCAGCGCCAGCAGTCAACTAGTCAGGAATTAAGGTATGATTTGATTAATTATGTGAAAGGGGAATTTAAAAGACAGCGTCCTTCTTGAAGCTTCCAACTTCTAAGTTGTAAACAAACCTTAATCACAGAAAACGAAAAGTAGGACTAGTACGAGCATGCACGACGTGGCTGATTAATAATGGCAAAGTGTAGTTGTAGTAGCAAATATTCTGGCGAAATCTAAAAGGGAGTCGACGCGACTGGAATGCAAAATCCCATTTCATGGACTACAATTTAATGCCCACAATTGAATTACCGTCTCAGTATTACAAAGCACCTTCTTTTTCTCTATTTAATACTCCCTCTGTCCCATAATTACTGTCCAGTTTAAGTTTTCACTTTTAGTTCAAATTGTACTAAAAATAAAATACTTCTTCGGTCTCAAAATTATTGTCCGGTTTGAAATTTCACTTTTAGTACAATTTGAACTAAAAATAAAAATACAAACTGGACAATAATTGTGGGACAGAGGGAGTATCAAATTGGACAATAATATTGGGACAGAAGGAATACTAATTTGAACCTTTATTCAGAAAAACTAAATGCTAACCGTTTTATTTAATGACCTGACATTTTGGTAGTGTTTTTTTTATTATTATTATGGTTAGCAATTCACCTATCAATTTTTAATTGTACCCCTATCAATTTTCAATTGTACCCCTATCAAGTTCTTTCACAACTTTTGTCCATTTCCCAATTTTCACTTTAAAATTACAATTAATAATTGAGTTAAATAGTTTATGATCAAGAGTTAGTACATAATATATTCCTTAATTATGCCTCTCGTATAGAGAATGTAGCACTAGGATGTGTCTTTACCCTGCACTTAAAAAACTATAAAGCTCACCAAACCAGAAAATAAATACTAGCATAATGTACTACTACCTCCTTTTCTTTTCCTTTTTTTTTTTTTTGGCTGCAAACTTGTAAAGATTTTCTGCAAATAATTGTAAAGTGGTAATGTCCGGTTAATATTAGAAAATTCCAGAAGCGCCATAATTCCAGTGAAACGGGGCCCAAGTTTATTCAATTCCCCCCATATGACAATATGAAAATAATAAATTGTAGTAAGAACTTGGACCTTCAATGGAAATTGGAAACCACAAAAGTAAAAAAAAAATTAAATAAAAACATAAAAAACGAATATCCACGTGGTAATTCGTCCAAGCTAAGCTATGACGTTCACGCTCTCTCTTACCTCACCGGCTACGTCACAAGTTTCTATTACTTCCCACTATAAATGTGGCCCATTCCACTGTGATTTTATCATTTCTCCACCATCTCTCTGTGGAAGCTCCATTTTCACTCCCAATAAACACTCCGAAAAGCAGAGCAATCAGTTCTTTCCATCTCATCTCCTTTGAAATGGCAAAATCTCCAGAGACCGAGCACCCAGTTGGCGCCTTTGGATGGGCTGCCCGAGACACATCCGGAACTCTTTCACCTTTCAAGTTCTCAAGGAGGTACATCCTCTTATCGAATTTTATTTTTTCTGCTCTTCTTTATGGTGGATTTTTTTTTTTTCTTCCGTTTCATCAGATTATTTTGTTTGATTTTCATAAAAAATAATTGGACCTGTGTTTATAATCTGTCGATTTTGCAGGGCGACTGGCGAGAAGGATGTCCAGTTCAAAGTGTTGTACTGTGGGATCTGTCACTCTGATCTCCACATGATCAAGAATGAATGGGGCTTCACTGTCTATCCTATCGTGCCAGGGTAACTCTTAAATCCATCCCCAATTTATTTGTCTCTATAGACGCTGTTTGGACGCTTTTATGTTATTTTACAATTCCGTTCATTGGAATCCTCATCACGGTCTCGTTTCATCCTTACTTGTGATTTTGTTTTTACCTTTTAGCGTTTTTAGATTTGCTGGAATGATATGTTTCTCTTGCTTTCTTGTCTTGTGGTTAAAAAATTATGGGTTTTATTCTCCGTAAGCGTGCTTATGGGATTTATTTATATGAGTTGTTGATGGAAGGGGTCTACCTTCAAAAAGTTACAAGTGACATCTAGATTGTAAAGTTTGCTTATGCATTTTCTATTAGTATAATTCGGAAGTTCTGTTCCCGTTGTAATTGTCTGTGAAACGACATGAGCCGATTTAATCATGGCAAATTATGTTTTTGGCATCGTAAAGCAAAATTTGCATCAACTTATAGCGCTTAACCGACATGTTTTTCTTGAAATAATAATAATGAAGAAGAAAGCTGCTTTGTTAATTTTTTTTTCCTCCTATTTCAATTTGATGACGTCTATGTGGTCTGTTGGCTACTGAATTTATTAATGTAGGCATGAAATCGTGGGTGAGGTAACAGAGGTTGGAAGCAAGGTTACCAAAGTTAAGGTTGGTGATAAGGTTGGGGTCGGTTGCCTTGTTGGATCATGTGGCAGCTGTGACATGTGTTCCAAGGATCTTGAACAATACTGCCCGAAGCAAATTCTCACATACGGCGCCAAGTATCATGATGGAACCATCACTTATGGAGGTTACTCTAACCTCATGGTTGCTGAAGAGCACTTCATCGTTCGCTGGCCTGAGAACTTCCCCCTTGATAAGGGTGCTCCACTACTATGTGCTGGGATCACAACTTACAGCCCCTTGAGATATTTTGGATTGGACAAACCTGGAATGCATGTTGGTGTAGTAGGGCTTGGTGGTCTTGGGCATGTGGCTGTTAAATTTGCCAAGGCGTTTGGGGCTAAGGTGACAGTGATCAGCACATCTGAAAGTAAAAAGAAGGAAGCCCTTGAAAAGCTCGGTGCAGATACATTCTTGATCAGCAAAGATCCCGAGGCAATGCAGGTAGCTAGAGAGCTTGTTGATAATTGAAGTCTTTGTTTCTAGAAGTACTTTGTATGGACAGCTTGATTAACATTCACAGTGATCTTATGAACAGGCTGCAGTTGGGACTTTGGATGGTATAATTGATACTGTTTCTGCAGTTCACCCGGTGATTCCATTGATTGGTTTACTCAAGGCTCATGGGAAGATGATAATGGTTGGTGCACCAGAGAAACCACTTGAGGTGGCTACATTTCCGCTTATAATGGGTAGGCATTTCTTTTTTCAATCTTTATTCACACCGTTTTTCCCCCTTTTAATCCCCTTCAAAAGGACCTCCTTGTATGTATAAGCTATAAAGGAGAGACTTGGACTTGCTAACTATATTGAGGTTGGTTTGTTTGACAGGGAGGAAGACGCTGTCAGGAAGTGCCATTGGGGGTCTAAAGGAGACGCAGGAGATGATAGATTTCGCGGCAAAGCACAACATATTGGCAGATGTTGAGGTGATCAACATGGACTACGTCAACACAGCTATGGAGCGGTTGGTGAAAGCTGATGTGAAGTACCGCTTTGTAATTGACATGAGCTCATTGAAAACGGCCTAAGGTGGATGGGATGGATGGAAGTTAGTAACTATTATTTATGGAGTCGAATTTGTTATGGAGTTTGTCATTATTATGGATTCGTATTTGATGAGATGTAGAAGTTGTTAAGAAGTGATGATAATGAGTATTGAGTACATTATCTCCAGAGTCCAGACTCCAGCAAGTTTGGCAAAATTGTTGTTTTTTCCCATTGTGCTTGTAGTAGTGGAACACCATTTTTGTTTTAATTTTTTTTTCTTCTGGTTGGTGGTGGAAAGTGGAAAACTCCGCCCATTCTTATGGATGGGAGTTGTAGCAGTAAAATGATATCAATAAAGAGTCTTTTGGATCATGTAAATCAAACAAGTATGTTGACGCATGTTTTTCATTTGTCGATTTTTTTTTATTATTATTATTATTATTACTTTGATAACTCATTTGGAGATGTTTTTAATCACCTTGTCTGATTTAATTTCCAGATGGACCCACTCTCCCTCTTGTTTGGTGTTGGGTGGCGAAAGCACGACATTAATTTCACCGCAATATTAACATTTATTTTGTCTGTGCAGAGTCGCCTGTATTTTATTTATTATACTACAGTATCATTTTGAGGTGCCAGTACAATAAAAGTTTTTCCTATAAAAAAAAAAAGAAAAAAGAAAAAGAGAAGCTCGAGTATGTGAATTTAAAGTCGATTTGTTTAGTTTTGAAACAATGCGATTCACAAATTATAATATGTACTCCTTCTGTTCCAAAATTATTGTCCAATTTGAGATTTCATTTTTAGTATAATTTGAACTAAAAATGAAAACTCAAATTGGACAATAATTATGGGATGGATGGAGTATTATTTTCATGAATCAATGGAGTATTTGAGAAGAAGTAATAGTAGTCACAACTTCCTATTCATTTGGTACAGTTTACACATGTTATTCCTGGTGATACTAAAACTCTTTTTTTTTAATTATTATTAGTTAGTATTATATTAAATAACATTATGAAAATTTTGTTGAAAAAGTGCTCAGGTCAAATTAAATGGGGGGCAAATCTCCCCTTTTCTGTGAGGGTGACAATGGTTCTCCCTTGGTTTTTTATGTTATGATTTTGGACTCTGTTTAAAGATTTGTTGAAAATTCAGTCCTCCCGCATCTCTCATCTGGTAACGAAAAACTGGACTGGTGACCACAGAACGTGGAAAACGTTTGGCCCAATCTGGGAGACGTGTAAGTACCCAATTGTTTCCACACTTTGGCCTCGTTGCATTTCATACCAACACAAACAGTTTTTTTATTTTTTTTTCCCTTTCCTTTTTTGGTCTTAAAAGTCTCCACCTACAAAATCATCTCCAATAATTCTAACCTGAAGTGAACTGCTGATAGCAAAATTAAGGTCCTGTTTTTATTGTTCTTTTCCTCCTTTGGTCATTTGCGTGTTTTTTTTTTTTTGGGATCATTTCCAGATTCCTTTTCTTTCTTTCTTCTTTTTTCTTTTTTTCATATACGTAGTAAATAAATCATAATGTATAGATAATGGAAAATAACATAGAACTTCTTCCATCCATAAAAATAATCCGTACTATAATTTGTGAATTTGTACTATAAAAAATAACAAATTAAGATACACTATATATATGAAATGTTTATATTACAAAACACGATGTAAACTATCCTAGTCTATACGACCACCACCCCTATTTCACAGTTAATTTGGATTTGGAAATAATGCAGTACTATCCCAGTCCATACGATCATTATTATCTATGAATTCATAAATTGTTTAACAGCTGTGAAAGAAGATTTATATATAAGCGTCCCTTAATTTAATTTAATTTTTTCAGAAAACATATTCATGGAAAAAAAAAAATTGGACGAAAAAGGTGTGTGAGGCCATATAATCATTAATCGGAATGTTTTATTTTGTGCGGACATTTCGTATTCTGAAGTTTTTAACATTTTTCCGTTTCCTATTACACGTGGAGAATACTGATTGGAGAATTTCCCACGTCTTCAGGCTAACCCAAAGACGTTGCAGTCAGAAAGCGACTTTTTAATTGAGTCGGTGGGGTTCGATCGACTCCCAACAAAAATCGGAACCGCCATTAGTAGTAACCGGCCTTTTTAAGCCTATATAAACGAATTTACGGCCCCTTTGACATTGACACGACAGAAATCAACCAGATTCGGGTGGCTCCGCGTCAATCTTCTTCTTCTTCTTCTTCTTCTTCTTCTTCTTCTTGTTTCATAAAATCTTGATTTTCTAAAAATATTCAAAGCCTCTCTGAGGCTTAATTTACGTTGAGAGATTGGCGTTACCTTGAGGAACTTTTGGTGGTTTGCCTTTCTTAGTCGCAGGTAGGTTATCCATGTGATTGCTGCGTGAAGATGGGCAATTGACAGTGTGGAAGGAGAGATCGAAAACCCAATTTGATGGGGTTTTTTTTGGTAATCTTGGGACATCAAAATTGATTGTGCAGGGGGATGCCCGAGATTTTTGTATATATAAAAAAAATGTAAAAAGAAGAGTATGATGATGAAGGGCAGCAGCGCCTGCAACCGAATGTCCGGGATGGGCCGGAATTGTTGTTTTTGTACTGTGCCGTCCTTCGCCATGTTGGGTGCGCTCGCATGGCAGGTCGCCAAGTTTATAAAAGATACGATTTCTTTGGGGGGTTTTGAGGGGTAGGGTAGGGGGAGATCGCACGGAGAAACCTTTTGGGGGGTTTATTTTTTTTTATCAAAGCCCGGGATCTCCCTCCCCCTCGTGAGTGCGTGTGTGTGTGTGTGTGTTTCCGCGCGTTTTGTGTTGTGGTGTTCTTGTTTTTTTTTTTTTTCGTTTCATCCTGCAACCTTCAGCATCGGATCCTTTGCAAAATCCACAATGCAATGAATCCGGACATACAAACTCGACCCAAATTGCAGCACGCCCGCCACCTTAAATCAGATCAGGTATAAATTATTGCAGTTCGTTTTGATTCGCATTATATATAGTATCCCCATCCATAAACTTGAATGGGCTTCTCCACTTCTTCTAGCTTACTGAATGGCGCTTAGCTTAATATTAAGAACAGAACAGAGTAATTCATGCGAATGTTATGTTCTCAACATTGTTGGCTCATCAATTTTCACCCCTCACGGTCTCTCGAGAAGCACCACATATTTTCGGTTTTTCAAATTCAGCTGCTCGGCTTGCGTGATTTCTTGTCCTTGGCAGAATTTTGGTTTGGGAAATCCATTTTCATGGCGAAATTCTTTCGACAGTGTAAAGATTTCTATCCTACCTGGCTTACCATGCGATGGGTGGATAAGATGGAAGTTTCTGAATTTTTTGATCAAGTGACCTAAAAGCGTCGGATATAACTCAAAAACAACATGTATCTTAGCTTAATTCGGTGCTATTAATGATCGTGGATCGTCGACCGACAGCCCTCCGAGATACTTGAGAGGTTACATTTGCGGCGTCAATTTAGTAACAAAAAACACTATCAAGAGATCTTTTATAAAAGCATGCCCCGGCAGTTTATGTTTGAAAACCGAAAGCAAATTCTACATCTAAAACCAACTGCAACATTGACATAATATCGGATTTTTGTTGTTTCAAAGTGTTGTAACTGTCTGCACTTAGCACCCATAGGCCTCGCCAAAAGTTCTGAATGTTTTCCCAGCATTGTGTGAAAAAAAAATCTGTTCCTGGATACCGGTTTCTTATTATATTCCTACTCAGTGGTTCCTCAGTTGTATCTGTACCTTGTGAATCATCAATAGTGTTTTCTTGATACTATGTTGATACCAACAATTAAGGCCTTTGGGAAAATCACCAGAGAACAGCATCCTATATTCCCATTAAGGCATTTGGCTGGGCTGCGTCAGATGCTTTTGGTGTTCTGTGTCTCCTTCCCGTTTCTCCAGAAGGTGTGTTACTTCTTCTGTCCCAAAATTATTGTCTAGTTTGAGATTTCACTTTTAGTATAATTTGAACTAAAAATGAAAACTCAAACTGGACAATAATTATGGAACGGAGAGAGTATTACTTAGTCAACCACTCAAACTAATGCGGTGAAATTTGTGTCTGAATTATGAGTTCAGTTAATGGGAATGCATAAATTATGACATTTCTGCATGGTAACTTGTGAAAAACACGTCCGAAACAAAACATTGTATTTCGGAATATGTCACACCGATCTTCATTTTAATAAGAATGAAAGGTGCTCTACAGAGTATCCTATTGTTTCTAGGTAAGGATATCCCTTTGTTTTAGCTCCATAGTTGAGTTCGTGTAATTGAATAGTTCAACCACGTTTTCATTTGCAACAAATTTCCAAAGCCTTTTTAGCTACAAAGTGGTGACTTACAAATGTTCATTGTACCATCACTAGTTTTGTGTTGATGGATGTAGGCATGAGATTGTTGGTGTGGTGACAGAAGTTCAAACTTGGAGATAAGGTTAGGGTGGGATGCATAGTTGGATCATGGACTATCCTGCGACAACCCGTGGTCACCATCTAGAAAACTACTGCAAAACATCCATTGCAACCTACAATTCAACCTATCGCGGTGGAACCCCAACATATGGAGGCTATTCTGACATTTTAGTTGTCGATGATGAGTACATTGTTGTCCAAATACCCGACACACTACCTCTCGATGGTGCAGCATCACAATTTTACAGTCCCTGAAGTACTTTGGATTGGATAAGCCTGGAATGGATGTGGGAATTGCAGGTTTGGGTGGACTGGGACATGCTAATGTCAAGTTTGCAAAGGCGTCTGGACTGAAGGTTACTATTATCAGTACATCGGCTCATAATAAGGAAAAAGAGGCAATTGATCATCTCGGAGCCGGTTCATTTTCAGTCAGCATCGTAACATGTGTTAGTTGCCATAAATTTTCATTTGTGTATGAGAAGGATTGCAGCCCAATGCGGATTTCGGGTTTGATTTGAAATGTTGTACTATGTGATGCAATTAGGCTACTATTGAAACGATGGACAAAACCATTGACGGTTGTTCATCCTCTACTCCCATTGATTAGTTTCTGTTGAAATCTCATGGAAAGCTTGTTTTGGTTGGGGCTGGGGAAAGACCTCTGGAGCTGCTAGTATTATTCCCTCTGCTTGAATGGGCAAGTGGATCAGTTTTAAGCCATCAAAGCTTATTCAAGAGTGAATTTTTTGCCAGGAAGGAAAACAATAGCAGGAAGTGGGGTTGGAGGGATGAAGGAGACACAAGAAATGCCGGAATTTGCAGCAGAAACATTGAGGTCGTCCCCATGAATTATGCCAACACGTCTTGCCAGCGCAGATATCAAGTACCGATTTGTAAATCGATGTTGCTAACACTCTAAAGGCTTGTGAGTAGAAGAAGTTTTTCATGCTGTTTTTGCGTATCTGATGACCAAAAAAAAAAAAAGAAAAGATGATTTTAAATGGGCTGGGTTGGAAGTTCAGCAACTAACTTCATATGTTTACTTTTTCTAGAAGCCCAAGAAAGCATGATGGATCAAGCTGGCACGCATCGAACTGGATCTCTGATTGATACTGTTTGATCATTTTCAGAATCCATTCATTAGGAAAAGTGGTCAGAAGAATATTATTATTATGGCAATTGGAATTGTTAATGAAAAGTACAAGTTTAATAAGCCTGCCTCCTGTGGATTATTAGCTAGCAAAGCATGGAATAAAAGCTTTGATTACAGATTTTCAATAAATTTGGCCCGTCGAATGAAGGAGTAGTAGCAAAGAAAGGAATACTGTAATTAACATCCACACACACTCAAGGTGACAAGATTTGGTACATGAATACGATTGTTCACCTAGGGGGACTACCTTTCTTCAGTCAATGCATAATAATGAAATTATAGTACTACTACTATTCCATGGTTTTTGATAAAATTGATGATTCAAAGTACGCAAACATTACTTTTCAATTCAATTCAATTCCAAAAAAAAAAAGAGCTAAAACCGTTGGAAGGTCTCCTCTCCTGTTCGGCCAACGTTTATAAATGGGTCAACGGGCCAGACTATTGAATATTCTAATTTCTACCTTAACAAACTTGTTGGGTTTCACAATTTGTACTACTATTACAACTCATTAATAATAATTTTAAAAAAATCGCAATCAGAGAACGCAACACTTAATTTTAATCTTTTGATTCAGAATCTGTTACGGTAAGGCTGAAAAGTGAAAACGTAACAAGACTACAATTCTAATTTTGCTTGAAACGTAAGGCTGGTAAGAAAAATTTTACAGGATCTGGAATAATTTAAAATATTTAAGCGGTGCTCTCTGGGAGACTTGTAAAAAAACAAGTCACGATGGCGCGATTATTGCGGCAAATCAGATCCAGCAAATTTGAAATTTCAATGATCATTGTCGTTTTCTTTTTCCTTTGTCCAATCTTCTCATTCTTGGTGAATCATCTCTCCTTGAAAACCATGAGAATTACTATTATGTGTACGGTGTACCCAGGTTGATTGAATCCACAAATTTAGTAGTATTTTTCTTACTTATTCTCTCGCAGAAGTTGTAATTTTTTTTACAAAAAAAAAAAACTAAAATTTTAGTGTTTTTGCGAGTCAATCCTGCCTAGTGACTGCGACAACATAGAATAAAGACTCCTTGAAAACTACATATACTAAAAAATAAAAAATGACTCAAAGATTGAACATATGAGTTCAAAGTTCAAACTCGAAATTTCTTTAACACTGTTCAGTATAGGATATGGTGAAGTAATGGACATTAGCCAATTATCATTCTTTGCATTTACCTGCTCCTTTTATTCTTTTCTTTTCTTTTTTTTTAAGATGAAAAAATGAAAGTATTGTGCCCAGTTATTACTCCTCCGGTCCTTATTATAAAGGTATTTTGATTTCGTCGTAGGTTTCACAAAGAATTTTTTTTAATTGAAAAATAACCCTTAAAAAAAAATTTTCATATTCGTTGTGTTCTCATAATTATTATAAAATACTTTTTAAGTTTTTAATTTAATTAAAAAGACATCTTAGGTAAAATATATGACAAAATTAAAAGATCTTATAATCAGAACAGGAGGAAATATAATATAGGAGTAGAAGAGATTTGTAGAAAAAGACTCCTACAGTGCACATTTTAAAATAATGTGGAATAAAATCAAGCTGTATTATTGCACATACACATGTTACTCCACCGGAGAGAGAGAGACACACAATTAATTAACAGGTTGAATTATTAAAAAGAAATAATGTTTTGATGATTGATTAACGTGATTATGGAAAAAGGACAAACAGTTCAATGGATGACGTGTTCTGAACTGTGAGCATAAGATACTGCAATTTTGTTGACGATGCAAAAGTTGTAGGTCGTGCTAACAACCAATATTAAAACTCACGCATCACAATCAATAAAGATCCATTCCATTATTTTAAACTCATCAAATTCGGGCCAGATTTTCTGTTTCAGACACCTACATTTTGTTCACACTTACCCTCGACGAAACTTCCGTCTATTGAAATAAGTAAGCATAACACGACTAATGTCTTATATGTCTTATAGATAATACTCCTTCCATTTCATAATTATTGTCCAGTTTTACTAAAATAAAAGATTTTATTTTTGGTTAAATTTAACTATATTTTACCTTAAACAACTGGATATACCCTTACATAAGTAATTGTTTAACCACTAAGATTTTATGGATAATGTTTTTTACTAAAGATAAATGTGTAACTTGATCCATAAAAAGTCAAATTAGACAATAATTTTGGGACAAAATTTTTTTTGCAAAGTGAACAATAATTATAGAACGGAGTAATAATAATGCAATAAAAGCAACGCAATTAGTACCTCTTTATATGTAGATTCTTGGGACTCCACGTTTCTTAGTTCATCCTTTCTAAGTTGACGTCAATGTTACTTTTATATGTAAATTTATTACATCCATTATAGATATATTTACAATTTAGTACTAAAAGAATTAGTGAGTGGTGAGTGGGTGACCGTGAGCGCGAATACATGGATACGTACAAACTAAATAAACGAGAAGATGAGATGGAGATCACGTACATGAGTGAAAGAACAAGATTGGCAATCTACTCTTCTGCTAAATAAAGAAAATAAAAGGTGAAAGAAAACACGATTTTACCCATTTTTTGGTTTTAAGATATTGCGTTGGTTTGCAGATTTTCCTACGTCCAACTCGAAATGTCCAAAAAAATGAGAGCGAAATATGCGTCTGCGTCTAGCTGTTTGCTAATTTAACTATAACTAGATGCCTGCCTGGGCGGCCTTCTACTTTAAATTTGTGTTAATAGATAAATAAATTTTTGATTTGGAAAAAATAAAATAACTACACATTTGGTTTTTTTTTTAGCCAAAAATAAAAATAAAAATAAAAAATCATCTGCCAAAGGAAAAAAAATATTAAAAAGTACAACGATGCAGAAATCATACAAAAGAATGTGGAGTAATAAAGGGTATAAGTTTATGGACAAATTTAAATGCTATTTTAATTTGATTGATAAATGTTAGGAGTTAAAATTGTGTAGCTATTTTTGTAAAGTAACTTTTGTTTCTCCAGATAAGAATTTTTTTTCTTTTAAAAAGGGGATGACACGTGGCAGAATGGTCAATGCAATATGGTACATGCGGAGCCAAAAAGTTTTAATAAAAAGTTGCCACATCAACATTTGTATTTTGCTTTAATAGGGTAAAAGGGATATCGTTACGTATGCTCTGCTCTCAGTTATCCCACTTCCCAATCGACAAAAATATAACTACGTACACATACTGCTCTGTATTTAATACTTCCTCCAGTTTTTAATATAAGTCATTTTGATTTTATCTTAGGTTTCACCTCGTACGTATTTTTAAGTGGCGAAAAAATCTTTAAAATATATTTTTACATTTGTTTTATTCTCTTGATTGTTATAACATATTTTTAAGGATTTTATGCCAATTAAAAATATGTGCTAAGTTAAACTAATGATAAATTAAAATGTCTTATATTAAAGACCGGATGGTGTATTTATAAATGATCCGGGAAGGATGACCATGTCTTATAATTAATGCTTTGCCATGCCGCTTCATCATATACAGGTAAAAATTTTGTTTAACGTCAGAGTTAAAAATGACAAAATTCACGAGGCGTTTAAAAACGCCAAAAAGTGGGGATTAAGATTAAGAACTATGAATATCACTATACTTATTTTTCTAATATATTCCTACATTGTTTTGGGTTCATTATGTAGTGACGGAGCCAGTAAGAGACATACAAATATGATCGCACCCTTATGTTTTTTTCCCCCCTATTTGTTAGAGAATAGAGACATACTGTACTATATTAAAAATCTAACTCGTTACATGTTTCCAAAATATTATTTTATTTTGTCTAAAAAGAATAGTTTACATTAAATTTTATTGAATTTTTAAATCTCACATTACCTTTCTCAAATTTGTGGCTCTATTACTTTCAGCTCTATGGATAGGACCTAACTCGCATAATTTGAATCGACATATTTCAATTTCCTTTCCCCCGAAAAGGCGAAAACAAAGATAGCCATCCCAAGTAATCTAGTCAGGAAATGGAAAATTCAATATATCTATATGAAACACTTGAATGCGCTCCCCTACCAGAGTACGTATCTTCGAATGTCGAATGAGTTAGCCTTGCAGTCTCCCACAAGAGGAGCACCCCGACCCTGGTTCTTCGTGATTGATGAATTTCACGGTGATTTTGGGAACCCTGACCCTTAAGGCCTTAGCATTACAGTAATAACCTACTTTTTGTTTTTTTTTCGGTTTTTTCTCCTTCCATAGGTTTTGGGTGATCGATCATTGCGTTGAATGAAAAATCAATTACAGATGTGTGAATATGAATGAATCAGTAGCAATATGACACGAATCACCATCATGCCTTGCTATTCTAAGATCGTGATATGGTGGTCCCCATCCCCCCAACATACTTGTCGTCCGATATTTTTGTGGGGATGGTCTCGTCCAATATCCGATAAAAACGTTATTAACCTATTGGTCATTTGCAAAAAACAAATAAATAAATAATATTAATTATTTCATTTGTCTCAAAATATATTTAAATTTTGCTGTGTGAAAACAGTATAAGTAAATATACATGCTTCAGGAATATAACGGGATTGTGTAATATTCTTTAACCACTGCGTTTGATGTTTTCGAAAAGGAAATAACAATTTATGATTTTTCTGTTCAGTCATAGACTCATAGTAATGTACGTTCAAGATATGAACGTTCACAACCGGTCAATTTCACATTATCATAATCAAAGCGTACCCATTAAGTTGAATAGTATAGGGGCTGCTTCTACCTTCGATTGAAAGAAAAAAAAAAAACAAAAAAAACCCCACTAGTTTGAGTTTGACTGCACACGGAAAAAATAACAAGGAAATTCTTTAATCATTATTGATTTTCTCATGCAGATAAGATACCGGACTAGTGATTTTTATTTTACCCTCTTTGTTGTAAGTAAGAAACAATTATAATTAACAGAATTTCATTGAGAAAAGAATACTTGACCAAATTTTTTAATTACTTCTGTGCTACCACCAAAAAACAAATTAAATAAATAAAGTAAAAAACAAGAGAAAGAAAGAGAACACAAACTGAAATTATAGATCCGAAATCATGAAATAAGGATGGGGCCAAAACGGAACCCATATCCCGGAAATTTGTTGAGTCCGAGTTGGTTAATCAACGGAGTTTTATTGGTGCCAGAAAAGTCAACGGTCAACAATGTAATTCTCCTTAATATTTTTTTCACCTCCGTTGCGTGTATATGTAGTTGGCTAGCACCGCCTACTGGATCACACACACACACACACACTCACTCTCACATACTCACTTCCCTTGCCTTTCTCCCTGTTTTCCTTCTCTAGTTTCTGTGCATTTTTCCATCATCATGGCCGGAAAATCCCCCGAAGAACAGCATCCCGTCAAGGCTTATGGATGGGCTGCCCGTGACCCTTCAGGAATTCTTGCCCCCTTCAAGTTCTCCAGGAGGTATGCCGGTGTCTCTTTTGCTTACTGTCTTGTGATTTTGACTTTATCCTTTTCTGTTGTGGTTAGATGATCAGATCTCTTTTGATTATGCTGTTTGTCCCCCTTTTTGGCTTTTTCTTTGTCTAATTAATGAGTTTTGTGAATGTGGTAATTTTTTAATTTGTTTTGATTTGTTTTTGCCTATTAGCAGTCATGGCTAATTAACAGAGATCACCCGTTTTTGATGATTTTACCAAAGTTGCATTTAGCAAGGCCGATTCTCCTCATAAATCCCATAGATCAAGTCAGATGGTTCATAACGTTGTTTCTGACTGATTACTTTTTGAGTGATTTCTGCCCCCTCCGAATTGGAAGATGTGATCTCTTCATTTTCTGGGAACTGACGAGTGAAAGTATTATTTGTTATTTGTAATTATTTTTAATTTTCTGTTTCTGTGGGGACGGAAGGGTTTTACAGAACAACCCTGATCTAATCAGCTATTATTATGTTCATTTCATAGTGAAAGCTTTATTTGATCTCTTGATCTGTTGTTATTCAAGGACATCTCATTCAGTAGTACTATTAATCTTCAATTTTTATTCGGTCTGGTACCCTTTACTGTTGTCGGTCCAACCTTAAATTATGTAGTTACGTAAATCGAACGCATTCGTGTTATTGTTCTTAGACTTTAGTGTCTGCCGCTCACTACAGATCCAGTAATGTCTATCGATTCATTATTAAACATATAAAAGCACTGAATAATTCTTAATTTTGTTTCCTTAATGTCGCTTTTTCTTCAATTCTTTTACTTGAACGGAGAAGATTGCTGAACTGAAAGGATTCTTTGTGTTTTTGCAGGGCAACCCGCGACGTCGATGTCAGATTTAAGGTCCTATACTGTGGTATCTGCCACACCGATCTTCACTTCATCAAGAATGATTGGGGATTTACTACATACCCACTTGTACCTGGGTAAGTTACATGGCCGTTCTTTAATATTGGTTTACTGTTCATGTATGAAGCAGAATTGAATTAAATCTGGCTATAGTTTTTGTAATAATTCTAATTCTCTTTCAATTGAGCTTTGTTGCAGGCATGAGATGGTTGGTGAAGTTACAGAGGTAGGAAAAAGTGTGACAAAAGTCAAAGTTGGAGATAAAGTGGGAGTTGGGTGCTTGATTGGATCATGCAGGTCTTGCGATAGTTGTGCTCAAGACCTTGAGAATTATTGTCCTAAGCAAATTCTTTCTTATGGTTCCCCTGACTTTGATGGAACCCCAACTTATGGAGGCTACTCTAACGAGATGGTCTGCGACGAGCACTTTATCATCAAGTTCCCCGAGAGCCTGCCACTTGCTGGTGGTGCACCATTGCTCTGTGCTGGTGTCACTGTTTACAGTCCAATGAAGTACTACGACATTGCCAAACCAGGAAATCACATTGGAATTAATGGGCTTGGTGGGCTTGGTCACGTGGCTGTTAAGTTTGCCAAGGCTTTGGGTGCCAAAGTCACTGTTATCAGTACTTCTGATAGAAAGAAGGATGAAGCTCTTAACCATCTGGGAGCTGATAACTTTTTGGTCAGCCGAAATCCTGAAGAGATGCAGGTAACAGCTTTTTTGGCTAACCCCTTTAAGACTGTAAATGTTTCATTTTCCAAAATGCCAAATTGTTGATAATGGATTTGATTTCCTATTTAATTGTAATTGATCAGGCTGCTGTTGGAACATTGGACGGTATTCTTGATTGTGTCTCTGCTAAGCATGCATTGCTGCCGTTGCTTGGTTTACTCAAGACTCATGGAAAGCTCATTACTGTTGGAGCACCAGCTGAGCCACTCGAGCTTGTACTTTCTCCACTGAATATGGGTATGTGTGCTTTTGTACAATGTTATGGAGCTCCTCAGCTCTTAGTATTTGGTATCTTTGAATGGTATAATAAATCCTAACAAGAATGAATTGCAAAACTTACAGGAAGGAAGATGATTGGTGGAAGTTACATTGGAGGAATTGCCCAGACTCAAGAAATGATTGATCTTGCTGCAAAACACAACATCACTGCTGATATTGAGATTGTAGCAATGGATCAAGTGAACACTGCAATGGAGCGACTTCACAAGGGTGATGTCAGATATCGCTTTGTGATTGACGTCGCCAACACCTTGAAAGCTCCTTAAATGAATCCGGTGATTAGACATGTTGTTTAGTCTGCTTGTGAATTTGCTTGCATAGCTTTGGGAGTAGTATGTGGTTTTTATATTCCCCAAGGTCCTGTCTCTGTTTGTTATTACCAGTGAGTGTTGTTCTTTCTTTCTCTTTTTTTTTTTTTTTTTTTTTTGAAGTTTCCAGAAATAAGTGGAGGCAAATGCCATATTCTGTAGTTGGAAATTGGCCATTGCTTTAAACGCAGTTGAGATATGATCATATTCAGCATTTTCTGTTCTTTGTGTTTTTTTGTTTGGTTATTCCTTTTTGTCACCTCCATGTTAACCTTTGCACTCATAGTTGTAATACTAATAATGGTGTTCTTTCAGTTTTGGCTTTCGCTCTCTCACTGATTGATTTCCAAGTCATTCAGTGTTTCTTTTGATTGTATCGGGATCAATCGAATGAAACAGCAAATTAGTTAAGGATAGAAAGGCCCACAAGAATAAAAGGGCCAATCATGATAGGCTAAAGTCTACTACTCCCATGATGATTCAGAAGGAAATCAACAAAAAACTGACAAGTTGTGAAAAACGTGTGAAGATCCTTACTATGTGTATTAGATGCCACTCAAGAGGTCCAGTGTTCAGACAACTTTTTCTGGCTATCATTTTCTTAAAGGCAAGACAAAAGTACCAGTTGTGGGATGTTTTGAATTCTCGATTATTCAAATTTTTCTTTTGAGTTCAAACGAATATATATTATTCATAAAAAATTAAAACGGCATCCATTGGACAAATATATTTTTCATTTGGGGTGACATGGTCTTGTTCCTCTTTGTTCAATGGGCTAGAAAGCAAAAGCATGAATTCTTTAAGGGGTTTTTCTAGCTCCAACCTTTAGTTCTTTCAGCCACTAGTTTTCAATTTTAACTATTTTGTCCATGTCATTTGACCAAACCAAATTGAAGGAGAGAGAGAGAGGAAGAGGGAGAGAGAGAGAGAGAGAGAGAGAGAGAGAGAGAGAGATGATAAGCCACTCGGACCGAATCGGACAAGTCATCCGGTCCGATTCACGTGAGAACGCACAAATTATTAATTTTTATTTTAATGCTAGTTTATTCGCAGTATCGCTTAATATTGAATACCTCGTACTTTAAATATTATTAACAATATTTATACTTTAGTGTTTAAACTCTCAACTTTATATTTACTTGAAAATAAAAAGTAATTAGTTTTTATTTGAAAATAAATTTAAGATTATTCGTTAAGTTAATTTATTTAAATTGATATTAAAATATAAAATTTTGCTTCAATCATTATTTTTTAAGATAATTTTTAGTTAAAAATAATAATTATACATTTATAATAAAAAAATAATTGTACGACAAATATTGTGACAAATAAGTGCAAACAAATTAATTATTTTTTGTACTATAAAGATTGGTGATACTTAATATAACTCAAATAATAAATTATTCATAAATTTAATGAATAAAGATTTTAATGACCTAAAAACTAGATTAACTAATTACAAAAAAAAACAAAAAATCTAAAAATTAAAAAAATTAGTAATTAATCTGATTGCTATTTTTTTTAGTTTTTAGACTTTTTTAAATAACAAATATTGTTGTTTTTTTTAACTATTAAAAAATAACAAAAAATCTAAAAATTAAAAAAATAGCAATGAATCCGATTGATATTTCTTTTAATTTTATATTTTTTAAATAACAAATATTTTTATTTTTTAATTACGATAAAAAAATAACAAAAAATCTAAAAATTAAAAAAGGGCCTAACCGAACCGATTCACTATATCAGACCGAACCGGGACTGACCGTGCAATGAATCCATCCCAAGTTAACTCGGGATGAGTGGATAGCCCGAATGAGCAATGAACCCGTTCGGGCAAACAAAGGGCGGGCGGTCTATACGTCCTAGATTAACTTGAGACGGTTTCATTTCGGTCGGTCGTTTTTTTTCATTTTTTTTAGTTTTTATTTTTTTTTTTAGTTTTCTCTCTGGTCAAGTTATTCGATTTAAAAAATGACAGGGGTAAAATTTTCAAAACTAAAAATTTGTAGTTAAAAGAATTAAAGTTAATAGCTTGAAAAAGTAACAGACTTTTTTAACTCGGATGACCTAAGTGATGATCTCATGGGTGATGAGACCAGAAAAGTAAAAAATGTGATTGTGATGGAATAGTATATAGACTTTATCTGTCCTTTCCCTCAATCATGTATAGTGCATTTACAAATATTAATCTTTTCTGACTATTATATGGAATTTTACAGTTCCCTATTCTTCAAATGGTTTGTAATTGCAATTATTGGAGTGCATTATTTTCCTTCTAAAACAAACGTCATTATTGTTTTAGAACAGCGAATGTATCAATTTAAAAAATGTACGATAGGCACTTTTAGAGCTTCGTTTGCACACGAGAGTACTACTATCGGATTACAGCATAAAAGACTAAAATGGAAAAGCCACTGAATGGATGATCCCTGCTGTTTTTATTTTCGTTATTTTTTTCTAAAGAAAAAAACTAATGAGAAATTCATATCCGATGAGCTGTGCCATTTATCATTTATGCGGCGGCCATCATCGGGTTCCTTTTCCTTTTTCTGTTTCTGTTTTTTTGATCATGGAGTTTTTCCTCTTTTCTTTTTTCTTTTTTTTTTTTTTTAAAAAAATTGATCCTGGAGTTAACTTTCCTAGTCTGAAATCTCAAGTGGACCATGGCACAAAATGAGGAAGAATCTCTTTACCCACTCCATCGTTATTACTAGGTGTGTCGGCATTCTCTGACACCTCACAGCTGTACAGAATCAACTATCCCCTTTTATTGGTTGCAGTTGCACTGCTAGTTTTTAACCATTCCCATCGACCTATATAATTCATAGTTTTTAATCTTTACATTGTCATGTCAATATTCCATTACACTTTCACTTTACATACTTTTTTCTATAATAATATTATATTTATCAGCCGTATAATTTTGGACTCATAATACTTTTTTCTACAATAATATTATATTTATCAGCCGTATAATTTTGGACCCATAACTAACCTACTATTATTACTCTACAATTATTTTACTATTAATACTTTATCTTTTAAAAAAATAATTACATTTATATGAAATTTTATTATTTTTAGATAAATATAAAAAACATAATTAAATATTATAAGAATATAAAAAAAGCTATAGTGAAAAAAGAATAATCAAATGGCTAAATTATTCATATTTCCTCAATAGTCATATAAAATGACTAATGGTAGGACGGGAAATTTTTTTTTATCTATTCTGAAATTAAAAAAACAGAATTAACCAAAAAAAATTAAAAAAATAAATAAATAAACAGAAACAGGAAAAAAACCGCTGCGAAACACAAATGCAAAAAAGAAAAAAGGAAAAAAAAAAAAGAAGGAATGCCGCAATGTGATGGGCCCTCCAGTAACCCACTTGTTTGTCAGATTCACCGGTTGAAAATTTCTTTACACTCCTGACAGTTTTTACACTCCTGACAGTTTTATACCGCAATTCAACCATTTGCCAATAAAACAGAGTAAACTTCAGATATATTACTATTTGCCAATATCCCTCGATATCAGCTGATTACTGAAAGCCGAAGCTACACCAACCTACCACCTCAAGCTACAGATAAACTAAAAGAACCGAGTGGGAGCCATGGGTTTATAATTATAACCATGTGACTTTTGCAAAACAACTCATCACACAACATATCCAACAAGTAAATTGTTTAGATTCAACATGTATCAACAACTTTGACATCCCGGGCACAAAATTGCTAACCTTCTAATGTAAAATATGAGATGCTATCAATTGCCGCGTTCAACATGTTTAGTACATGGGAAATTTGGGGTCCACATCATCGGCCCAAGACTGGAGGCCTCCGATGATATCCTTGGCCGAGTTGAATCCCATTTTGTTTAGGTATTGAACCGCCCTTTGCGAATCATTACCTCTTCTGCAAACAACATACAGAGCCCTCCCAGAATCAGCGGTTACTTCCTTGGTCTCTACCTCCTTATTGCCCAACGCATCTGATATTTCCGGCAGCCTCCCCTCCAAACTTGACAAGGGAATGTTAATGGAATTGGGAAGTGAAACAATCTTATAGTGATGAGCTGGTCTTACATCTACTAACACATGCGGCTCTCCCCCTACAACTCTCTGGTAGTATTCCTTGCTGGTAATTCTGGCCTCCAATGGAAGCAGGTTTAATTTCAAAGGTGCCTGCGATTGGTTCAATTCAGAGCAGTGAGCAGTTTTCGTTACACCCAAAATCATCAGCAAATTAGACCATGATAATGAAAACAAACCGTCGAGAATGGAGTCTGAGTAAAGATTTCATATTCAATCTCTTGAAACTGCCTTTCGTTAAGAGCTGCTTTGTCACCACAAGCTTCACACTGAGCTGACTTTCCCCTAATCTTCACCTGGCAATCAAACATATTAATGCATAAAGATATAGAGACCAGAGAATCCAGGAATATCTCACCTGTTTCCAAGATTTAAGACAAGGCTTTCTCTGTCACATTTTGGGTAACACTCAAACATCATTTTTGTAGACGTGTCCTTTTATTAATACTAAAACTTTATCAAAACAGTAAGTGATCATAAATGTCCAATGGTAAATGATTTTCACACAAAAAAGTAATACAGAAGTGAAAATCTTTCGGTTTCACTAGCTAATCCCTAAAGAATCTGGGATGAAATGGTAGTCCAATATTCCTGGACACAACAATTCTGAGCATTTTGACAAAACAGCATTCAACATCATACTTCTGTCATCCCTGAAAATCTAATAGCACTTGGAACACATGAATAGAAACTTGCGTACCATTGAGCTCAAACATCATGAAATTGACAAGTTCCGAGAAGCAAAAAACACATATAGATAGCAATAATTTCCAAACTATATCTAATAAAAACAGTAAATAGATCAAACACATATTCCCGAAAGTTCAGTAAGACGAAAAATATCTGGAACATACAATTCGCATCCGGGCAGAAAGCGCATCAAATAGAAGCATCCGCCCGGAGAGTGGATCACCAACCGCACTCGCAATCTTTACCGCCTCCAGGGCCTGAAGACACCCAATAACACCAGGGACTGCACATAAATCATAAAAACCACATTTTAATCAAGTCTTTAATATGTTGGTAAGGCAAAAATCATAGTTACGTCATAACATCGAACACTCACCAACTCCTAAAACTCCACTATCAGAACAACGTTGACATGCTGTTGTAGGCGGTGGAGTTGGAAATAAGCATCGATAGCAAGGACCACCATTGTAATTGTAGACTGTGAGCTATAGTAAGCATTTAGAATGTAAATATTAAGCATTTGCACGAAAGTTGGCAAATTGCAGCGAGCAGAATTCTTTATAATCACAAAATATTGCACCCATTTGTACCTGTCCTTCAAGTCCAAGTGCCGCTCCAGAAACAAGAGGCTGTGACGAGACGAAATATCAGGATTCACAATAAAAGTCCATGGAAAATTATATACAACAGAAAAAGCATAATCTAAAAGACATGCATAGTCGAATTTGAATCTTCTAGCTCACAACCAAATTTTGGTTGAGTAAGCTCCAACTGTACATTTCTTTTTCTTTCTTTGTTTTAATTTTTTGAAAAGGTACCTGTTAATTTTATTATTAAGTACCTAGTCTATTAAAAGTCATCAAAGCATATACTACATTATGTATCTCCTCTATTGCATCTCTAGATACAATTATGCGTACATTAAAGATCATACTTCAGTAATAAATTTTCAGAAAAATCATCCATCCATACAATGTGATCCATGAAATACACAGATGGAGAAACGGAGAAAGCATATGATTTTCAATTGCGAAACCGATCATGCAGAGAAACTAGGTATATGTACTGGTAAACTAGGTACATGATCTTGACTTGCACAACATATCATGAAAAAGAACTAGGTCTCTAAACAAACATTTGACTCACAACAACTCTTGCTAGGAACACAGTTTATCTGCAAAATAAACCTGCATAGGGAAACAAAATTTCTAACCTTTCCCAATACGACGCAACAATCGTTGATCATGTATCGACTTGGAACATTGTCAGTTGCATCTATGACTATATCATATCTAATATTCATCAAAAGTCACAGAATAAACTTCATCTCAAGGATATACGCATGTTTTTGTGTGTGGATGTGTGTGTTTGTGTGTGCAATAGGCACCATAGGAAACGCTGTAGTTAAGAGTAATTCAACCGAATTTTTAATAAATTTCGCATACAAGTTTGTATGCATGGAATGAAGGATACTTTCGAACGATGTCTAACGCATTTGTAGTTCGGAAGGCTTCTCTATGCTCCACAATCTCAACATTTGAGTTAATCCTGAAACATAAGAGTTAAGAGCAATAAGTAACAATCTCATCCAAGGAAGAAGCTCACAAACATCTACAGAGAGGATGGGCATATAAACATACGCTCGACAAGCAGCCGCAGCTGACTCCACCTTGGACTTTCCAATGTATGCTTCCGTATGAATGATCTATATCATGATGTCATTAAAATCCAGAAGTTCAGTCAATGACACGCGATACAAAATTCTATGTCAAAATAACTGTATGCCGAGAAATTGATGAAGTGTTCACCTGCCTATGAAGATTGTTAAGTTCAACAACATCATGATCAACAATGCCTATTCGACCTGCAGATTCAAAGGCAAGTAAGTTATAGCTAACTACTATGCAAGAACAAAGGTTGAGACTCGCCAGTGAGGACACCAGAAGAAGCATCTTACCAACACCACAAGCGGCCAGGTACAAAAGTGCGGGTGACCCGAGCCCTCCAGCTCCAATAACTAAAACTGACGATTTCAAGAGATTCGCCTGCCCTACAAACACCAGAAAACAGGCAAAAACAATCAACACCAATAAATGCGATACTATAAAATCTTTTATTTGGAATGGTGTATTGATAAACTGAAAAACATGCCAGACCTTGAACTCCAAATGAAGGGAGTAAGAGCTGGCGGCTGTATCTATAAATCATGTCCGGAGCCAATCCATGGCCAGTAGCAGGACCCAAGCTGGAGACTAAAGGACAAGTTGAACCATTTGAAGTGATTTCTCCGTTTGAGCTTTGAGTAATCCTTCCGTAATCATTACAGTTTAGTTTCTCAAGCTGAGCTTCCAAAGCGGATATTTGGCGCTCTATATCATTCTTGGAGGATTTTAGAGACTCAATTTTGCGAATAATTTCAGCAGGGCTGACTGAGTTAGACTCCATATAGTTGCAGAAAGTATGGAAGCTCTAATACGAAGAACAAACAGAAAAACTTCCGCCGGGGAATTAGAGAAGTAGAACCACTATTGACACAACGACGGCGGTGCCGGAGGGAATGGGAAGTCGAAGTGGGAATCGACGAACGGAGTGATTGGTATTAATGTAAAAGGGCCGAGTGATTAAGAAGGAGGCCCAATTGAATCCGAATCATTCAGGCCCAAAATTAAGTAACTCCTTTTTATTTTCCCTTTTCTTCCCACGTAAAAATGTAATATTACTACTAGTAAATACAGTCCAATCATCAATTATATCAAACTCATATGGTCAACCTCCGAAAGCAATATATTAGTTGTCGGCAGAAACCTTAAAGAAATTCTCACATGTTTGATTGTAATCCGAATCTTAAGGTATTCTTGCTCACCGGCCCACAGCCACTACGACCCCGCGCACTTGACTCAATTATTGTACTCGTCATTCCATTTTCTGAATTCTCCTCCTTAATCATTCCAAAATATCATCTCTGATCAGTGATTTTTCCTTTCCTCCTCTTCCAACTTCTGCAAAATTCCACATATATATATATATACCAAAAAGAAATAGAAATCTTTGACTCAGAAATGGCGACAGAGCACCCAGTGAAAGCCTTTGGATGGGCTGCTAGAGACCCTTCTGGCCATCTCTCCCCGTTCAACTTCTCAAGAAGGTACACTTCTCATACTGCTTTTTCTCTTGTTGTCTGAATTATGGATTTTAATAATGCGAGTATTATTTCATTTGAAAGGGCCACTGGTGAGAAGGATGTGCAATTTAAGGTGTTGTATTGTGGGATTTGTCATTCAGATCTTGCCATGATTAAGAACGAATGGGGGTCGACTCCTTATCCGATCGTGCCAGGGTAAACTCCATACAACTAGTTACATACAATTAAACCTTTCCTGAGTACTTAATTGCTGAAATTAATATTATTACCAATTGTTGTGATTGACGACCCACAGCCATGAATTTGTGGGAGTGGTAACTGAAGTTGGGAGCAAGGTGACCAAAGTGAAGGTGGGTGACAAAGTGGGTGTTGGTTGCTTAGTAGAGTCATGTCGCAGCTGCGAGATGTGTACCGAAGATCTTGAAAACTACTGCCCAAAAATGGTGTTGACATACGGCAACAAACACCCAGATGGGAGCATCACTTATGGAGGCTACTCTGATATAATGGTTGCCGATGAGCATTTCGTGCTTAGCTGGCCGGAGAAGCTGCCACTTGATGCTGGTGCTCCTCTCTTATGTGCTGGGATTACTACTTACAGCCCATTGAGACATTTTGGATTGGATAAACCTGGAACCCATGTTGGTGTTGTTGGCCTTGGTGGGCTCGGTCATGTGGCTGTCAAATTTGCTAAGGCATTTGGGGCTAAAGTGACGGTGATCAGTACTTCTGAGAGTAAAAAGAAGGAAGCCATTGAAAAGCTCGGTGCAGATGCTTTCTTGGTCAGCAGAGATCCCGAGCAGATGCAGGTAAAATAGGACTAATCAATTGTATAACTGGTTGACCAGACTTTTAGACAATTTAGTTTTGATTTCAGCTTTGATCTGTACAAACAGGCTGCAGCTGGTACAATGGATGGGATTATTGATACAGTTTCTGCAGTGCACGCTATTATGCCTTTGATCAATTTAATCAAGTCCCAAGGGAAGCTTATATGTGTTGGTGCCCCTGATAAACCTGTTGAGCTGCACACGGTTGCTCTTCTGACGGGTAAGTTACTTTAATCATGTACCTTCTAGGCTGTCTGTTAAATTTATAAACTCCTCCAGTGTGATTTTTTTGAAATAAACATGATTTGGAAACAATAAATTTTTGTTTTTACAGGAAGGAAAACAGTATCTGGAAGCTGTATCGGAGGCCTGAAGGAAACTCAGGAGATGTTAGATTTTGCGGCAGAGCACAACATAGCGGCAGATATTGAGCTCATCCAGATGGACTATGTCAACACTGCAATGGAACGCCTGGCGAAAGCAGATGTCAGATATCGTTTTGTGATCGATGTTGGCAATACATTATCAAAATCCGCTTGAGTTGAAGACTGGATAAAGGATTGCATTAACAGGCGGGATTGATCTCGTAATGGAAAAACCAACGTTTTTCATCTTGAAGCTTTTAGAATAATGTCAGTACTTTAGCATCATCATTTTGGTGTATCTCTTCCCTGAAATCTCTTGGAGAAGATTGTTAAAATGCTTTAAAGGCATGGAGAAGCGTTATCAATCTATATTCCGATAGGCGATAGGATCAGGGGGAGAATGATGTACTTCTCTGTCTTTGTAACTTAAATTTGTTTTCTTTTCTTTTCTCCTTGTAGCTACAGCAAAATTGCTAATGCATGATACTTCTTGGCTGCTTCCCACTGGCGTTTTTTTGACGCGAAAGTTACTGATGCGCTGATGCGTTGTACCCAATAACACAAGAGAAAAAGAACTACTGATGTTGGGGGTTTATTCTGGTTACAGATTTACAATTTCAGGAGTTTCATTACTGTCTTAGATACCAGTCAAAACATATCAAAAATTTCCACTTTACTCACTCTAATTCATTAATACATACACACAGCAGTTTGTTAAGTACTCGTAATATTTGGTAAACCTCATCGTCCAAAACTAAAACACAAAAAGATGAAAGAAAGAAAACAGGAAACAAAATCAATCCTCACACCAAGTAACACAACACAGCCAAGGCTCGCCTGGCCTCTGATCCCCAAATTACAAAGAACTATACTACCAATTTTCTCCGTGACAGTATATAGTAATTCTGACAATTCCATTATCCCTTCCTTCCAAGGCCCGAAAAAAAAAGAAAGAAAATCAAACGTGCTTATTTGTTGGCGAGTTGTTCAGACAGAGGTGATCACTTGCACATGCGCCTGTGATCGCAATGGCTTTTCCAGGGTTTGAATCTTCAAGTGGATTTAGAGAATGAATTCGCAATGTCAATTACAAAACGATATCTGACATCGCTCCTTGCGAGGCGCTCCATGGCAGTGTTGACATAATCCATCTTGATGAGCTCAACATCAGGCACTACATTGTGCTCCGCTGCAAAATCCAACATCTCTTGAGTTTCCTTGATGCCTCCAATATAGCTCCCAGATACAGTCTTCCTTCCTGCTATAATCCCAAAAGAGTGCAGCTCAAGTGGTTTTTCAGGTACACCAATCAATATAACCTTCCCTTGTGTCTTCACCAAATTGATCAATGGCATGATTGGGTGGGGTGCAGACACAGTGTCAATAATCCCATCCATGGTACCAGCTGCACCCTGTTTATACAGTTCAAACCTTAAAATCAAAAACTAAATTGTCTAAAAGTCTGGCCAACAAGTCATAATTAATTAATTACCACACCCTCCGGTCCTAATTTTACCTGCATCTGCTCGGGATCTTTGCTGACCAAGAAAGCATCAGCACCAAGCTTTTCAATGGCTTCCTCCTTTTTGCTCTCGGAAGTACTGATCACTGTCACTTTAGCCCCAAATGCCTTGGCAAATTTGACAGCCACATGGCCGAGCCCACCAAGGCCAACCACACCAACATGAGTTCCTGGTTTATCCAATCCAAAATGTCTGAGAGGACTGTAAGTAGTAATTCCAGCACATAAGAGTGGAGCACCAGCATCAATTGGCAACTTTTCAGGCCAGCGAAGCACGAAGTGCTCATCGCAAACCATGATATCGGAGTAACCACCGTAGGTTAGTGTGCCGTCAGATTGAGGGCTGCCATAAGAAAATGTAGGGCTGGGGCAGTAGTTTTCAAGGTCTTGGGCACACATGTCGCAGCTGCGACATGAATCCGCAAGGCAACCAACGCCGACTTTGTCACCAACCTTGACTTTGGTCACCTTGCTCCCAACTTCAGTTACCACTCCCACTAATTCATGGCCAGGGACAAGAGGGTATTGAGCAAATCCCCATTCGTTCTTAATCATGGCAAGATCCGAATGACAAATCCCACAATACAACACCTTAAATTGGACATCCTTCTCACCAGTGGCCCTGTAATATGTAAAATTAACCCCTAAGTACTCAGCATTGACTTTCATGATCTAACCAAGGGAAAAAAAAGAAAAAGAAAAAGAAAACAGTTAAAAGAGAAGTACTCACCTCCTGGAGAAGTTGAATGGAGAGAGATGGCCTGATGAGTCTCTAGCTGCCCATCCAAATGCTTCGACTGGTAATTTCTCTGTCGCCATTTCAACCAAAAACAAAAAAAAAAAAGGAAGAAGCGTCTCTGTTTTGGTACTTTGTAATTTGTGTGTGAATTGAGTGATCGATCAGAGATGAAATACATTCATATTATATAGAGTGGAGTGAGTATATTGTTTATTATTTGTGCTTCTTCCGGGGGGTCACATGGCGGAAAGGAGTATTATTTCTATTTTTTTTTCAAGGCCGAAGCCGCTTGCCGACAATGGCAGCCGAGCTTTCCGAGATTGGCCATGTGAGTTCATACCCTAACAAAATTAGCACGAGTCGTGATTGGCTGGCTAACATGCTTAATAAAATGACGATTGTAATCGCTTCAACCATAAGTCTCAACAATCGTGGTTGTACTGTTTTGATTTTATTAATATAACTAGTTAAATCGAACGCACTTCTCAGTGCGCTATTTTGAATTAAGAATCTAAAGTGGAAATTCATAAAAACAAAATCACGATATGTATTTCAGCAGAAGAAGCCATGGTATAATAAATGCGGAAAAGTCCCGTAAATAAAATATTTACATTGTCGCAATCATCCAAGAAGTAAAATTGAAAGCTGTTGGCCGAATTCAAGAGTCAATGGAGCAGAAAATCTACAGATTTTGAACCAGCCTAAAGCCCCCCATTTACCAAAACAACACCCTAAAACTTGGTGCAAATAACACTGCGAAATGTTTGAGCACTAAACATGTGTATCATCCATATATGTTTGTGGGTTATTTCAGTTTTAATTAATTGTTACAAAACACATTGATTTCTTTTCATTTCTCTTTTTTTGTTATTAATAGAGGAGGTCGAAGGCTTAGAGTCTTACATTTCGGGAGTATGCAACCTCTATTATATCATGTTGTAGCCATGGCCTAACGCCTGACGGCAGTACACATATGAATGACTGCACTTAACATCCAACATTCTATCAAGACTATAAATTGTGAGGACTGCCAGTTGGGCTCCCCTCACTCCATCAGTCCTAGTTCTTCTAATGTTCGGTTGTATCCTTAGATTCGAGGCTTAATAGGAAGAAGAAATATAAGTAATTCTGTTATCAAATGAAACTCCAGAACTACATTGCCCGAGGAAGAACCAGAAATTCCCTCCGACTGGTAGATTGTTATGGCTAGGATCAAGGGGTGGAAGAATGAAATGCTTATTGTAAAACAAAGGGAGAGTATGTACCTTGAGGATGTCAAACCACTGGCTGTCCTTATCCAGAAATCACAAAAGGCATGCAAATCAAGGGGTGACGTCTGGAAGCCAGGAGTGAACACTGCCAACAATGGTGATAGACCTGCCTACATGGCTTGGCTGATTGAACATTGTTTTGAAGTTCTTCATCAAGGCCATCAATATTTTAGCACTAACGAAGGAGATGTCATGATAAGTACTGGGGCAGTTGCTTTTTTTGCCCTATGTGATGTTTCTTGTTGGATTATAAATTGGAAACTCATTGTGCAGATTCCCCAGATTTATGAAGGCTGATAGTAAGTAGATGTACATGTTAAAGATTAACTTAGGTCAGTTGCTATAGTTTGAAGTAAAGACCAAACGAGATAGGTCTGGCAAGATCCTTTGGAGGTTTGCAACTACTCTTTTGCTTTGTTGTAGCTGAGCTAAATTTCTATTCTTGTCTTAGTTTTGAGCATGCTTTGTTCTGTGATGATCTAGTGTCAAGTAGAAAGATACATGTAGCTGAATGCAAAAGAATTTGTGCTGTTATGAAAAGGAGACTATGCTAAATTCATGAGATTATCTTTAGCTACATGAAAAATCACTGTGTAGATGATCCCTGGAATCTGAAGTATATAATCTGACACTGAACAGTACTATCTGCAGTTGTTCTTCATCCTTGAGTTGAATGCAACTGACAAAGTGATCCTGATCCCTGGAGCCCATTTCTAAAAGTTTCAATTCGATTAACCTTCTTAAATTGGGATAACACAGCTTTCTCATTTTACCTATGATTGGAAATCTTGAAAACCTCATCCTAAGTTTGTGTCTTTAGTAAATGGGTAAAATATCATTTAGTGTACTAGGAATCATAACTGGTATTGCCTAGCTAACCTTGCTTAATCTTTGATCTAGACCAAGAAGTGGCAGAACTTGGACCCAAATAGTTCAAAAGATTATACTTCTTTTTTTACAACAAAAAGGCAATCATTTCGGGAGTACTTCCCTAGATAACAATTCCCTTAACAGCACTCAATCATTCATTACAAGAGACCAACAAAGTCCTCTAAAACACAGAATGACATGTAACACTATTGACTCTGCTATGAAATTCCAACCCTTTCAAGCTGTGACCATAGTGAGCCATCAGAAAGAGATCAATGGCGCCTGTAAACGCATTGTCTCTTGATTGTCGAAGCTCAACTTGATTTCAAAGACGAATTCCCAACGTCGATTACAAAACGGTATCGGACATCCCCTTTGGAGAGACGTTCCATTGCAGTATTAAGATAGTCCATCTTGATGACCTCAACATCTGCAACAATATTGTGTTCTGCAGCAAAATCTAACATCTCTTGAGTTTCCTTCAGACCTCCAATCCCACTTCCAGTGACACTCTTCCTTCCTGTGTAGTAAACCAGACATAATCCTTATCATAGATGAAAAGCTGTTCATATCAATGAACAGCTTCAAAGAAGGTACAGGAAAGAAACTCTTACCCATTAGAAGTGCAACGGTATGCAACTCAACTGGTTTATTAGGCGCACCGAGCATAATAACCTTCCCTTGGGACTTCACTAAATTAATCAATGGCATAATAGGATGCACTGCAGAAACAGTATCAAGTATTCCATTCATTGTACCAGCTGCAGCCTGCTCACAGATTTAAACAGGAATCAACAATGGATGTTAATGTTGATATTGATATAAACATTTTGCCCTTTGAACTAATTATTACCTGCATTTGCTCAGGATCAGTGCTAACCAAGAAAGCATCTGCACCAAGCTTTTCAAGGGCTTCCTTCTTTTTACTCTCAGATGTACTGATCACCGTCACTTTAGCCCCAAATGCCTTGGCAAATTTGACAGCAACATGGCCAAGCCCACCAAGGCCAACCACACCAACATGGGTTCCAGGTTTGTCCAATCCAAAATGTCTCAGTGGACTGTACGTAGTGATCCCAGCACACAAAAGCGGAGCACCGGCATCAAGTGGCAAGTTCTCCGGCCACCGGAGCACATAATGCTCATCGCAGACCATGAGATCGGAGTAACCTCCATATGTGATGCTGCCATCTGGGTGTTTGCTGTTGAATGTCATAGTGAAATTTGAACAGTAATTTTCAAGGTCTTGGGTACACATCTCACAGCTGCGACACGATTCTACTACACAACCCACACCTACTTTATCTCCCACCTTCACTTTGGTCACCTTGCTCCCAACTTCAGTCGCCACTCCCACGATTTCATGTCTGCGAAGTGCCAATAATCAATACAGTTTCTCAAATCAATCACAATTACCGAAAATTAAGTAGAGCTTGTAGGTGGGATAAAATTTTGGGTTTACCCTGGCACCATAGGATATTGAGAATAGCCAAATTCATTCTTGATCATGTGAAGATCTGAATGACAAATCCCACAATACAACACTTTGAATTGTACATCATGTTCCCCAGTAGCCCTGAAAACCCAAATTGTTGTAATCTGTATAAGCTCTAGGATCCAGCCCCAGAAATATAAATAATACAAATTGGAACAAAAACCAACCAACAAACAATATGAAAAGTACCTTCTTGAGAAGTTGAATGGGGAGAGATGCCCGGACGGGTCTCTTGCAGCCCATCCGAAGGCCTTCACTGGATGCTCTGCTGCCATTTTGAATCCAAAATTTCTGTGTAGATGCCCTTTTCCTTTTGAAAACTGTGTGTTCGAGATGAAGAATAGCGGAAAAATGATCAATGAGCACTCTTTTATTTTTTTCCGCGGAATATATAAATCCTGTATAATGTATTCCCCGGTGCCATTCGGTTGCAGGAGTCACAGCTAACGTCACACCGGAGAGGAAACTTGCTAACGTCATAGTCAACAATTTTGGTCCATGGCGCCAGTAAACTTACGAGGTCAGGCCCAAATCAATTGGTATTGGACGGCGTCACAATGGATTTATTTTTTTAATCAATAACTCAAAAGCCCCAAAATAAAGGCCCCCTTCTCTAACAAAATTGGAAAATTCGAATGAAATATTTTAAAGAAGTCCCAATCCCAAACTCCACAGTCCCACAACTGAGATTGCCCGGGAAAAGAAACGCTTTCAGAAGTCGCCGGAATTCTCCAATTGCCGCCCAACGAATGCTGGAAGCAAGTGCACCGAAGAAGTCACTGGCACCGTACATCCTCAAAGAATCCAGCTTGTGTTCCCCCAGTAGTTGGTTAGAACAGACTCAACCAGTGTTACTTCTTCTAGTCTAGTTAAGTAAACATGGTTAAATTTTACTGCGGTTAAGTTGTGTATTCCCCCGACGGATATTTTTATCTGCATCGATGCAATTTTGTACCGAATTTAATCAATACACAGCATTTCTGATGTTTTCCTTCTTAAAATCCTTGCGTTCTTGCTGGGTACCACCTATTCAACCCTTTCAGTTTTGGGTCGGGTTTGGCAAACGGTTACTTTTCCTCTCTTTCTTTTTCCTTCGTTACGTCGGGAATTTCGGAATTCCGACCTATCAAGGTTGATCCTAAAGCAGAGCCCTCCTTAGCATGCTTTATTTCATAGCATAAAACCCTTTCTTGGATAGTTTCATTCAATTTTGCTTTGTAATAAATGGGTATATTGAAAACTATGAGAAGAAATTCTAGTTTAGAGCTGTAATTGCATAATGGTTGATTTTCTTTTTATTGTAACATTATGATCTGACGTGATTTTCGTGGATAACAATTCTGTTGAAGTACTCTTCTGCTTTTGTTGATTCTTGAAGTGTGTTTCATCAAGCATGAAAGAATAGAACTTCTTTTGACAGGATTTTTGTTTTTCTGCTGAACTGTTGTTACTTCTTTCCCCCAAATTATTTGTGGAAACGTCTATCTTCTATGAAATAATATTGTTTTTATATGTGTAATAATGTCAGCAAGAGCTGTTTATCAATGTGTAGGAGTTTCAGTACGAAAATATGATTGAATTCTCTTGATTCAGTTACTTGTTTTGTAATACCCTTTTAACTTGCAACTTGCGATGCGATTTCACCTTTATGCTGTGTTAGATATGAATATTAATGCTATTGCTTCTTTGCTACATGACAATGATGACATTTGGAAGAAAAGTTTTGTGCTATGCTGTGTAAATTACGGTCACAATTTAACAGTTCACTTGATCGTGCAGTCATAAATTGTACGGGTGTGTAAAAAAATTTGTCTGATCTTCTTTCTTTCTGTTGTTGCATTCAGAATGGCTGAGGTTGCAGATGTACGCCTAGCAATGGAGACACTCTTTGTGACTTTGGAGATAAGAAAATTGAGGTTGATGTCTGATAAAGGGAAACTTAGGGGTGGAGCAGGCGAATTACTCATTGGATTTGCCAGGAATTTGAATTTGGTAAACATGGTTGTCTTGTCTGTTTTGCAGCTGGGGATGAATTTTGTTTCAAATCCTCTCCCTTTGATGTCTGGTGCACTGCTGATTCTTGTGATTGCATCGTGGGGTTGTCTGGTCTTTGCTAGGATCGCAGATAGAAGACTGAGATGCTCTTTGGAAGATTTAAAGAAAAGGGAGAGTACATTCCTTGAGAATGTCAATGAATTCGCTGTCCTTATCCAGAAATCACAAAAAGTATGCCAATCGAAGGTGGCACCTGTAAGCCAGCAGGACTTGCCTGTCAACAGCGGTGATGGACCTCCCGATATGTCTTGGCTGATTAAATTAGAGACACTCGAATGTCGATTTGAGCTGCTTCGTTCTCATACTCCAGATTCCGGCATCCTTAAAGGAAATCGCGTTGAAGGCATCATAAGGTTTCTAGCAGTCTCCTTTGTACTTCTAGGCTTCTGTATGATGATTGTGATATACAGAAACCAGGGTAAGTGAATTTCGGATCAACATCCTCTTGTTGTTCAGTATAAGTTGTTTCCTTATTAAATGATTTAATATTTGTTGGAATTTTCTTGAGTGCAGATTCCACAGATTTATGAAGGCTAATTGTGAGTGGATGTGCAGATAAAAGATTAACTTGATTCCAGCTACTCACCATTAACATAGGTCTGTGAGGTTTGACAAGATATGGAGTTTGCACTTATGCTTTTGCCTTGTTGCAGTTGCTACACTTGATGCTTCTGTGCATAATGATCACCTTTTTGTTGTTGTTGTTGTGTGCGTCTCTCTCTCTCTCTCTCTCTCTCTCTATATATATATATATATATAATATATATATATATATAATATATATATATATACAGAGGTTTTAGGTTATGTTCCTTTTGTTTGCTATATAACCTAAATAGCTACATGAAGAGCCGAAACAGCTTCCATGTGGATGGTTCTGGAAATGTTAGTTACCACTTACAACTTGCACTATGAAATCCATCTTATGAGTGTTTCTATAAGAGATATCTTTAGAAACGGAATGAAGTGTGAGCATTGTAAAGCAATTGCACGTTAGCAAACCATTATTACTGCTTAGTATCATAAGTGTAAACAGAGTGAATTTCAAAATAGCAAGCCTTGACTAGCATCTGATTCTCGTAGGTATCAGTACATTGGTATATTTCCCAGCATCAGTCGATCATTCATTACAAATTCCCACTATTTTCTCTAAGAGACACAATAACAAGCTAGCATCGACTCCGGTTTAGTATTCGAGCCAATGAAGATATGATGAAGATAGAGTCCCATTGCAAAGAGATCAACCGCCCCTGTAAATCCATTGCCTGTTGACTTTATCAATGATGAATTCCCAGCGTCTATTGCAGAAAAGTATAGAACTAAACATTATTTCAGAACTAAGAATTGCATTGAGAGAAAATGAGGGTAACCTAATGTTATAAAAAGGTAGTTATTGCTCCTTAAACTTTGTGAAAATCCCTCAAATGACTCATATTATAGAATGTATGGGTGGAGTATTATTATTTGTCAGCTACAGACTGGAGTCATTAGTGTATAGCAAATTTGGAAATCTTACTTGTAGAGTACAAGAAATTCCTACGAACCAAAACCAGTACAAGGGAGGGCCTTCAATGGCATCTATCTAATCCAGAACAACAGGCAATACTCGGAATCATAGAATTTACTCAAGACACACAATAAGCCCGTTGACTCTGCTGCTTCTAACATTTCAAACACCCTCAGGGATACGATGAACATGCATGGTTACTTGACTCAGGAGGCTTTCAATGATGAATTCCCAACGTCTATCACGAAACGGTATCTGACATCTCCTTTGGCAAGCCGTTCCATTGCAGTGTTGACATAGTCCATCTTGATAACCTCAACATCTGCAACTATGTTGTGCTCTGCTGCAAAATCTAACATTTCTTGAGTTTCCTTCATGCCTCCAATCCCGCTACCAGATACAGTCTTCCTTCCTGTGTTTTGTACACCAGAGACAATTAATACCCAATATCAGAGGAGGATTCCAGGACCATTTAACAACAAAGACTGGTATGCGAAAGAAATTCTTACCCATCAGAAGTGCAACTGTGCTCAACTCAACTGGTTTATTAGGTGCACCGACCATGATAACCTTCCCTTGGGACTTCACTAAATTGATCAACGGCATTATGGGGTGTACAGCGGAAACCGTATCAATAATCCCGTGCATTGTACCAGCTGCAGCCTGCTCAAATTTGTATTCATGAATCAGTACTGAACTGTCGGGATTGCCATAAGTACAGTACTTGTGAAGCTTCTGAATATATCCACAACGAAACTAGAGGATTATGAATCATTTACCTGCATCTGCTCAGGATCAGTGCTGACTAAGAATGCATCTGCACCAAACTTTTCGATGGCTTCCTTCTTCTTACTCGCAGATGTACTAATCACTGTCACCTTAGCCCCAAAAGCCTTGGCAAATTTGACAGCTACATGGCCAAGCCCACCAAGGCCAACAACACCAACATGGGTTCCAGGTTTATCCAATCCAAAATGTCTCAGTGGGCTGTAAGTAGTAATCCCGGCACATAGAAGTGGAGCACCAGCATCAAGGGGCAACTTTTCCGGCCACCGCAGCACGAAGTGCTCATCCACAACCATCAGATCAGAGTAACCCCCATATGTGACGGTCCCATCGGGGTGAATGCTGCTGTAAGTCATTGTCATTTTTGGGCAGTAATTTTCAAGATCTTCGGTACACATTTCACAGCTGCGACATGATTCCACTATGCAACCCACGCCTACTTTGTCACCCACCTTTACTTTCTTCACCTTACTCCCAACTTCAGTTGCCACTCCCACAATCTCGTGCCTTGGGGCAATTAATTTCACTTTGTCAAAACCAATCATAAATGTAATTCAATGGCATATAAGCAGAGTAACTAGTGTTGGGAGGTTAATTTTGGGCGTTACCCGGGCACGATAGGATAGTGAGAAAAGCCCCAGTCATTCTTGATCATGTGAAGATCCGTATGACAAATCCCACAGTACAAAACTTTGAATTGCACATCATTCTCACCAGTGGACCTGCAACCAAATTGTTCATGATTTTACTCGAATGGAACCTCCTAAACATAGAAACAAAGAGGGGGAAATGAAATCAGAAAAGTACCTTCTGGAGAAGTCGAATGGGGAGAGATGGCCTGATGTGTCTCTTGCAGCCCATCCAGAGGTCTTCACTGGGTGCTCGATCGCCATTACTTTCAACCCCGAGTTTTTATGTTTCTTCAAAAATTTCTCTAAAAGTGACAACAGAGCTGGAATAGAGGAATGAAGGAGATAGAAATAAAGATTCCGGAATGAAATGAAGCAGGAGGCTAACTTATGTAAAGGGAGATATATAGCGGCAAATTTGGGTGCCAGCTGCCTAGTGCTTTCGTAGTCGGTGATGCTGGAGATCATATTCTTAGTTCTAACGTCACAGCTGACCGTGCCGAGGGGCCCGCCATGAAATTGGGAAAGCCGAAGGGGAAGATACAAGGCTATGAGATGGAAGAATGTAATTGGTGGAACAGTAGAATAAATGAGTGGGTGCTGACTTTTTCAAGCATTATTGAGTTTGAGCCTTCTAATTCTTCACTTTTATATTTACATACTCTTTTGGAGTTTTTTGGTCGATGAACGGATCTCTTTAAAGACTTGGTGTCCAGAATTTCTGGCGAAAAAAAAAAGGTTACTCAATTCATGTCCCATTGAAGATTTGAAGAAAGCTACTGAAAAGACGTCTTGGACTAGTTTGAATTATATAGATTATTATGCCAGACTAAACGCATTTAGTGCAAACAAACTTGCAGCTCCGTTGTTTGTAAAGAATGAACAAGAGCTTCAGCCTTTTGGGTCACTACACAGAATGAAGTCAATGAACAGAGCTTCTGAGTTCAGGGTCACTAGACACATCTAGTGTGACGAATACAAAATTCTAGAGAAACAAAAGTTGGAGACAGGAAAGTAAACAGAACTATGCAAGCAAGTAGATTAACCGGATTGATTTTACCAGAATACAATTAGACCACCTTCTGCTAAGGAGATCAAAGCAAACTTTCCCAGCCAAATAATTGGACCCTTGAATCATTACCCACCCATAGCACCACCAAAGGGGGAGGGGGAGTTCCAATATTACTTAATATGATATGAAACATATGTACTCTGTAACCATCAAGCGTATACAGATAGTTTAAGTTAGAGAAGAAAAGTTCTGCTAAGGATCACATTGTGCCCAAGGAAACAACATAACCGGATCCAATTTAAAGACAAAATTCCTCACTAATATAAATCCTGGTCAAATAGATGAGCAGAAGCAAAGCCAACAACCAAACCAATCCCCAGATCATTCTTGATTCTCCACTACCATTCACGAACAAACTACAGATATCCTGCATGAAAATGAAAATTTCCAGTCAGCACCTTCTGTCAATGGAGAAGCATCTCAGTGGAGCTTTGTAATTTTTTTTAAAAAAAAAAAACAATCCAGAGAGCACAATACACAAGACTTTGAAGGTATACAAATATTTTTGTGGCTTGTAAAACACCAATGGCCCTAGGACAGTCATCCAAAACTGTATAAAAACAATGACGCTTGAAGTAAACAGGTGTCTATGGTATCATAAAAATCAGGCTATGGACTTCTCACTGTAATCCATCAGTTAATACTACAGTGGCACAAGGAAAAGAAAAGACCTAAGACCACCAGATAACTCCTCATATCCCCACTCCCTACTTCATTCATTCTTAGAATAAGCAAATGAGGTAGCTGCTGGAAGCACAACAGCTCACAAACAAAGCCAAATACATTTATCTGTAGGTCTTAGATTGTTTAATACGCCATACGGTGTGGTTCCTACTTCCCCCTCTTACTACAAATAGACCCTATCCTATAAGATTACCCTAGAATCACATCCAAACAGACAGGCAGACTACGAAAGGCTAAGAGTTAAACTGCTCATAACAGTTGATGCATATTTTTGGAAAAATCACTTAAATGCTTTCATTAGCAGTTCTGATGTACCATTCAGTCTACTTTACAACCTAAAGCCACTTCCAAACAGAATGCAGACTACGAAAGGCTAAGAGTTAAACTGCTCATAACAGTTGATGCATAGTTTTGGAAAAAATCAGTTAAATGCTTTCATTAGCAGTTCTGATGTACCATTCAGTCTACTTTACAACCTAAAGCCACTTCATCCACAAACAAGAATAACACGATACATATGCATATCAACAAAATTAAAAGAGCGCCGATGTGCATACTATAAGAATGTAAATTTGCAGCAAGGAAACATAAGGCCTATGTATTAAGCCATATAACATCCGTTTTGACAACTACGTCAAGACAGAAATAATCCTCAACTACTTCATGGTTCCTGGATACAAATTTTTTTTTCCTTGTATCTTCAAAAGTGTGAAATTTATACTGAAACAAAAAGCAGTCCAAGCAGAACGTAAGGATCCAAAGAATTGGAGGGGTTGTGTTCAAGTTAACAAATCCTATAATATATACACAGGTAACTGAGGCCCGAATAGATATAGTATTAAAATTCACCAGGGAAAAATAGGCCTGGTGAAAGGTGAAATAGCGCACAACCTACAGTAAACTGTATAAGACAGCTATTAATAATAACTCTACAACAATCTCTAGTCAACAGGTCTTGAAAACAAAGGGTTGAATAACCTAGAAAGTATAGATCCCAGAATTTTTCCCAACAAGCTTGGGTGATTCATAGCCATGACAATTAGCTTTCCTTCATGATGACAAAAGGCCTAGAACGTAACAACAATAGAGCAGAAATATAACGAAAAAAGGCACAAGAAAGTCTGTTCATGACTGCCTAAAGCAAAAATCAGGACTCCAGGTTTGCCTTAAGAAAAAAACATGAGTTATCTCAAGACTTGTAAACATACAAAATCTAACATAGGGAACACCTTATAAAACAATAACCAAAAAACCAGAAAAGAACTTCCCCACATTAAATGGCAAACATTTCCAAGCTCAATAGCTAACTATCACTTAAGAACAAATGAAACCTACAGTACATTACACTAAATATTTTCAAGCTCAATAGCTTACTATCATGAAAGAACATATGAAACTTCAATGACATTACACCAATTAGTAATTAGTAAGATACAATTCCCTTTATTTAATTTAAAAACCATCAATAGCTATCCTATTTCACTGGAAAAACAGTAAAACATGATTAAAAACAAACATATTTTTCCACCAAAATTCCATACCTGACAATTCATTTAATTGCTTTACTGTTGGTTCTGTGGGGGGCCATTGGGAGGCATTCCAGGGCGAGGAGGAGCATACATTCCAGGCGCGGGTGGCATGCCAGGACGTGGAGGCTGAGGAGGAGGAGGTCCAGGCATTCCAGGCCTGGGTGGGCCGGGTGGTGGAGGAACCCCTGGTCGGAACTGAGATGGAGGACCCAGGGGCCTCTGTCCAAACTGAGGCGGGAAAGGAGCAGGCGCAGGTGGACCACCAGGCCTAAAATGGGGTGGGGGGATAGGAACAGGCCCTCTGGCCATCTGGGGCATAGGTTGTGGTGGCATTGGCCCCGGAGGTCTGACCACCGGTGGCTGTTGCTGGGGAGGCGGATAAGACATGGGAGGCGCAGAGACCTGCGGCATCGGTGGCCGGGAAATCTGAGGCTGCATCATACCGGCAGCTGGACCACCAACACCGCGAACGGGGCCGGCAAGACCAGGCTGTGCCTGGACAAGAGGGCCAGTGGGAACACCACGACCAGCAGCACGACCAATCCCAGGTCCAGGAGGAGCGGCGGCGCCGGAGGTAGTCTTAATCCGGGACTCATCAGGAGGAGGTGGCCCCTCTACGGTCATGGAGATAACCTCTTCGCCCCTGAGCAGAACTAGGCCGAGAGTGCGCCGGTCTTCGCGTTCCTCTTTAGTTTTGGAACCCTTGGTCGGAGGCAATTTGCGAAACTCTTCGCAGTCGCCGAGAACGAGATTCATGTGTCGATCGAAAGCCATGAATTTGCCGACCAGTTGACGGCCGTCTTGGATGTGAACCCTCATCCGATAGTTGATGTATTGGAGCATCTTCGAACTCTTAGACATCGACATTGTGGTGGCGGAATTCGGGAAGCGTTCCCGGCGAGGGTTTTTGGGTGGGGGGAGGAGAGAGTGACGGACGACGTCTAGGGTTTTTGATTAAGGCGCGTTCTATAAATTGTTGTGATGTCTAATTTGGGAACAACATATAGTATATATAAAAAATATTTTTAAGAAGCTCTTTCCACTTCCAAAAAAATAAAAATTGTTTTTTTTTTTAATTTCCCCCCTCCTTTTCTGTTAAATAAATTGTGGACAAGATCTTTACTAATAATGCAATCAGGTCTTCTTCTTCTTTTTTTATTTTTTCGGTTTCACCATTTAGTACTCCCTCCAATACTACTACTTATTATAAAGGCATTTTAATTTCTCTATATTTTATTTATTATTATATTTTCAATTAAAAGAATATTTAAAAATATATTTTCACACTTATTGTGTACTCCTAATTGTTCTAAAGCATTTTTAATTAGAAAAACATAAAAGATAAAATTTATGATAAATCAAAATACCTTATAATAAAACACAATATTTTTGTCTCTCGTATTAATAAAAGAAAATTTCAAGATATTGGGAAAAAAAAAGCAGGGGGTTTGAAACATAGAGTATTTTTTCGAGGAAAAAAAAAACATGTTTTATAAATTAAAGATGATCTTTCGAGTTTTTAATTGAAAGTTTACAGGTTTATGTTAGTGATTCAATATAAATACTACTCCCTTTGTCCCTAAATATATAAACAAAATTTATCAACACTCTATGTGACTGTGACGGAGGGAGTATTTAATTGACTTCAAATTTTGATATTTATAAAATAAGTTAGCAATTTATTGTTCTCACTTCAAACTATTTGCCTAGTTAACCACTTTGTTTGGAGAATGATCACAGATTATATATAGGGCTATCCAAACCAAAGTATACACAAATTAATTAAACACATAATTAGAACATATACAAGAAGTATTTGTTTCTTTTTTTCTCATGATTTTTTCATAATAATATAATAATATATGTCTCATCCCAGCATAACTTTTTACATTTCCAATACATATTTTTACATTCCCAAAGTATACATATTTTTACATTTCCAATACATATTTTTACATTCCCAATACAAAAAACACGTAAAAACACACACTAAAAAACCAAACAAACATATTAAGAGAATACAATGAAAGTGTATGGTGTAGTTTTATTTTTTTATTTTTTAATTGAAAAAAAAATACTAGTTGAAATTCAGGACAAATAATGCCTTAGAATAAGGAAAATCTTGACTAATCAATTCGGGAGGGAGAGATTAGTGGACCTATGAGCTAACTTAAGAAGACTCATGGATGGAAATAGTCAAAGTAGTCAGGTTTTCTTGTGATCCACTTCACAGCTTCACCAATTAAAATCTTCATCTAAGCTTTCGAAGCTACAATGGCGCCATGGACGCAAACTGTCAGCTGTGACGACACCACAATCCAAAAATTCACTCTATATATATATGCCCCGCCAAAACATTTCTTGTCACTTATCTCCCGTAGCTCGATCATCCTGAGTTAATTAAACTCTGTTTTCTCAGACAAAAAAGAAAGAAGTGCAGGTAAAGAAATCTGGGTTTGGACTAATGGCCTCTGATGAGTACCCAGTGAAGGCTGTTGGATGGGCTGAGAAAACAGAGTACTTCTCCAGAAGGTACTTTTTCTACTTCTTCGTACTGATTGTTTCATTGTTTTTCATTTGATAATGGAGTTAATTTAACCTGAGGACACAAATTTGGTTTTTTTGGTAGGGCGACTGGGGAGCATGATGTGCAATTCAAAATGTTGTATTGTGGGATATGTCATGGAGATCTTCACATGATCAAGAATGACTTAGGCATGTCTCGTTACCCTGTGGTGCCGGGGTAAAAGCCCATATCCAATCCTCTGTTTCCGCACTATATATAAATTTCATATCTGATTGATGGAGAAATTGAATTAACAATGATGATTGACGCAGGCATGAAATTGTGGGAGTGGCAACTGAAGTTGGGAGCAAAGTGAAGAAGATCAATGTGGGTGATAAAGTCGGCGCTGGATTCTTGCAGGAGTCCTGCCGCAGCTGTGAAATGTGCACCCAAAATACTGAAAACCACTGCCCCAATTTGACATTGACATTTGGTAGCACTCTTCCCGACGGCAGCATCACCTATGGAGGTTTCTCTGATATCATGGTTCTCCATGAGCACTTCCTTCTCAGGTGGCCGGACAACTTGCCGTTTGATGCCGGCGCTCCGCTTTTATGTGCCCGGATTACTACTTACAGAAGAAAATTGATATTGAATCTAAAAAAAAAAAAAATACACGAGAAAAGAAGGACTAAATTTTTGTTACCCTTACAATCAAATACACGATGCTCTTCTTTTTTTAGACTTAGTCTACAAACTTGATAAGTATTGTAAACTAACTAATTATCTAATACAATAGTAATATCTAAGACTCCTACTTTATCTGAATAGTAAAAGATAATGACCTCTGAAACTCCTTGTTGACTGTTATCACTATTGTGATATATTTTAACACTTACAGCCCATTGAGAAATCTTGGATTGGATAAACCTGGAATTCATGTTGGTGGTTGGTCTTGGTGGGCTTGGCCATGTAGCTGTGAAGTTTGCCAAGGCATTTGGGGCTAAGGTGACAGTGATCGGTACATCTGAGAGTAAAAAGAAGGAAGCCATTGAGAAGCTCGGTGCGGATGGTTTCTTAATCAGCGCTGATCCTGAGCAGATGCAGGTAATGTATACTATCAAATTTTTATAAAGGGCTAAACATTGACATTGGTTATATTCATTTAGTACTAATTTCGGTCATGATTAATATGTGAGCAGGCTGCAGCTGGTACAATGAATGGGATAATTGATACAGTTTCTGCGGCGCATCCTCTCATGCCTTTGATCAATTTATTGAAGACGAAAGGGAATATTATAATGGTTGGTGCACCTGATAAACCACTTGAGCTCAACACAGTTGCACTTCTTCTGGGTAATAATAATTGCTAAATTGACTTCCTTTTTACCTTCTTTGAAACTGTGTAATTAAAGGGTCCCTGAATTCTGCTACATTGACATGAATTGTGTGTCTGATTTACTTGGCAGGTGGGAAGAGTGTGATTGGGAGTGGGAACGGAGGCATCAAGGAAACTCAAGAGATGTTGGATTTTGCAGCAGAGCACAATGTTGTTGCAGATGTTGAGGTCATCAGAATGGACTAGGTTAACACTGCAATGGAACGCCTCGATGTCAGATACCGTTTTGTGATTGACGTTGAGAATTCATCATTGATGTCTACCTAAGCATCAGCAGCCATATGCATTTTTAAAAGTTACAGGCGCCACCGGCGATCTCTTTTGAATAAGACTATATTTTCACATGTTTAGTGTTGGAATGACATAGCAGAGTCAACATATATACTTACATGTCATTGTGATTTGTATCTTTTTGAGGGACCTTTGAGATTATTGTAATGAATGATTGCGTGTGTAAGAGGAGGGAAATATGTTGTGTTCTTCTTGATGTGGATTAGAGGCTAGACACAACATCTCCCTTGTAGTACCCCTTGCAGTGAGGATTTTGTTTGTGTTTCTTTGTACTAGGTGTTTGGCCTCCTCTATTGTACCAAAAAAATGAAATAAACAAGTCAAGGTTTTTGTTACATATATACTCTCTCTCCGTCCTATAATTATTGTCCAGTTTAAGTCTTCATTTTTAGTTAAAATTGTACTAAAAGTGAAATCTCAAACTGGACAATAATTTTGAGGCAGGGGGAGTATTAATTATGAAGAGGAAAATTAAAAGAAGGTGGAAATATCCTTCTCATTACTGCTCAATTAAGATTGAAGGAATAAGAAATGAAAAAGCCAAATATAAATCATAATACTACTTTTCAAATTAGGTAACTAGGGGATTGTTTCCTTTCTCCGAATGTTGGATTTGCTAAATCAAATGTTTTGCATCTATCTCGGATGATTAGATCCTTTAAAGTGGGGAAATATTTACAGTTGTAGACTACTGTCACGTTTTTTTCCCTCTTTTCTTTTCTTGATAGGAGTTACTTGTGAATAAGGAAACATAATAATCATCATTCATCAGTACAAGGAACAACATTCCATATGTACTAAGTGTACAACAGAGGCAAAGAGTGGAGCTTCTGATTTTGTTGGGAGATCAAATAAGTGACTGAATTGCCTCCAGCCTGTTGGCAAAACAGTCTAAATTTATTCAGGTGAAAATACGTTTATTTCCATAATGAAATGATTTTCTAAATCTTCAACAATTTGTTTCCTAATGCTTTTTGATCATGTGTGTATAGTACATCATTACTCATGTGCCCAACCCCCTATACTTATTTATCTATATATAGATTTTATGTGTGCCTACTCACTTCACTCGCTGTTTTTAAGGTTCATAAAAGAAATGGAGTTGCCAAGAATCATATTATTAGTTTCCTTGTTGATTACCACTTTCGTGGGAAGTGCCATGGCTAATTCCTACAACGTTGGTGGACAATATGGTTGGAGCCCCCGTATCAGAGGCTGGGCTTCTGGCAGATCATATCAAGTAGGCGACCTTCTGAGTAAGTTTTCCTCCAAGTTTTTCATGCTTTAGCAGTAGTAGCTACAATAACTAGTATCAATGAATAAAATAACCTCACATTATGTATTATAGTGCTATAATTAAATAGCTATTCGGTTTACAAATGCAATTTATTTGATTTTTACTGTGATGGAAAATGTTGGTGCAGTTTTCATCTACGATACCAACGTAGACAGCGTGTTGCAAGTGACCCTAGAGGACTACAATTTGTGCTTTTCACTAGATCCAGTGGCCACATATAAAACTGGAAAAGACGCCATCACTCTGAATAGTCCTGGAGATGTATACTTCATTAGTGGGAATCCACAAAATTGTATTGCCGGCGAGAAACTGTACGTCCGAGTGAATGACGATGCAGGTCGTCCCTTCCAACCATACAGCCCTTACGATCCAAACGGATATCCGCCCCGCACCAGCGCCGCTTCAACAAGCCGCCTCCTCCACAGCACCACTTCTTCTTCTTTCAAGTGTTTCGCAATCACCATCTTCGGGATGATGCTTTCTTATTCGTTACTCTATCTTCCATAATATTAATTAATAATCATCTCTCTCTCTTGAGGAGGCTTAGCAGGAAGTAGAATTGACAAACTAATCAACTGGCAGTTGATCTGTGGAAATTTGTTGCGTAATTTTTCTAATCCCTCCTCCCTTGGGCCCTTGTCCATCCACGGATCTTCCATGCTCTAATAATTTCATTGAATTTTGTATCTATTTTAGTATTAAGATTATTGATGTTTATTTTCAATCTTGTAAAGTTTTAGTTGCGCATATGTGTGGTTTTACTTCTACTCTTTTCCAATTTGGGCTTTTAAGTTTCCATAGCTGCTGCATCTATGGTATGTTAAGGAAGTACCCCGTGTAAATATGAAACAGAGACTACAGTATGTATTTAACAAAAAAGAAAAAAAAAGAAGAAATAAGAAAAGTAATTAGGTTTTGAAATGGTACAAAATGCAGAATATTTTTCCAAAAAATGGTTAGACATACTTTCTGAAAGATTATTACAATACATTTGCAATAAAGATTTGAAAGATGAAACAGTTAGTATATATATATAAAAAAAATAGAAACAGAATCACACACAAAACAAAAACAAAACATTTGGTGAGATGAATGTGAGAACTAGGTTGGTTGCAAATGGGTCTCAAAAATCTTTTGGTTTTTCTTTTCCCCGGTACTGGTGGATGTTGCTTCTACCGGCCACCAGGTAAGAGAGGCAGATGGTCAGTAAGTCCGCAACTGATAATTCTAATAAAAGTGTGATTTACAGACAACTTAAATACATTTTCCACCCTCAAACTTCCTCTCGATTTCTTCGGCTATTGCCTCTTTCTACAGCTCATGAATGCATAGAAAGGCAAGTGATATACCAAATTTGCCTAGAACTTGCTAGAGGTACACACTACACAATATACTCGGGTCATGCATCAAAACTAATTGAGCTAAAAATATGGTGCTCATCAAAGTCGGCTAGAAGTCGAGGGCACCTGTTTTGGATGATGCAGAACAACTACTAGAAGTACCATAAGAACTGCCACTTGAGCCGTCTACTGGGGCTCGATTTAGACATTCTAATACTAATGATCTCCGCTTGTGAAGTTTCATTGAATATGTGGTTGCCTCCAAAATAACAGGAACCTGTGTTACATTTTCACATCTCAGCATGGAAGGAAAGAAAAATTAAATGGAAGAAAATGAAAAAACAAAACAAATACAGAGGCATCATCCAGTTTTGGCAATAGGATACCAGTTTACGTGAGAGGCTGCTTTCCCAACTGATGAAACAAGAGGAGATGGTGCAATCAGAATGATGCAATACCTGTGTGTTAAAACGTGCAACTTTATGGACATTGAGAAGACCAAGCATGTCCTGGTAGCCAGTGAGAAGCTTTGCTAGCTCCTTGTCCTCATCTGACCCAAGGAGAAATCAGAAACATGCTTCACAACAGGAGGAACTACAAAGTAACTCTAATTGATGGCCAGGAACAACGCACCTGGAACTGCTTTGACAGAAAGCAGAGTGTCAGCCAAGTGCTGCCATCTCTTCAGCACAGTTGGTGAAAGAAGGGAGGGGGGAAAGGTCACCACTGCAACAGCATTTGAATACCTCAATAAGCTTTTCAATGACCTGATGAAGCGAAGCAGATGCCACTCCTAAAAGAACAGGTGAGAAACAAAATTCATGGATTGACCAGGATGTAATTCAAAAAGTTAGCAATGAAGCCAATAACTTCTCATTCCTACTGTTATGATTTTCTTTTTAACCATCAATTATCCAGTGATCATGTCAGAGTAGCGTAGGTACCGACCTTGTCAGAATAGTCACACTGTGGAGCACAAAGTGACTGAATGGATATACGTCCAGCAGAAATGATTTCACCTTCGTGTCTGTTCCAGAAAAAAAAGAACAAAAAAAAATTGGCGATGATGAGGATACAAATATTTATACACTACAACACAGGAATCTTCATGCAGACTTTTATACAAACCCAACGAGTGGTAGATTACACATATATCCGGAACCTAACACAAGTTCTATTATTTTGTTATCATCCTTGTTACGCCAAGATCAAGATGTCAAACAAAAAAACTACAAATGCACTAGCACAAATCTACCAAGGTTGTAGCAAGAGATTTGAAACAATCAGACCCTTTAGGAACCATTTATTGTGTAAAAGCTATAGGGACCCATAACGGGAATACCTCGGAAACTGAGCCAAAAGTTTCGAGCAATGGTCATGAAGAGTAGCAAGATCAGAAGATTCTTGAAGGCTCACACAGCTGATGTTCTGTCCACTAAGTGTTTGTCTGTCCAAGGGTTTCCTCAGGTCAAAGTCATTGCAGTATTCTGCGGCTTTTTCATCTGAAAGCAAAGTGATCGAACTGCTTCTTAAATCAAAATTTAGAATATCCTTCCAAAAGCCATTAGTTAGCTTCAGACTGAAACTTAGCCAGAGGATAGAAGACTGAATCAGAAGCCTTACCTTTCTGGCTTTCTTGATTTTGCTCACCAAAATACTTCTTGTACTGCCAGGCAATTCTCAAATTCTTCTCCTGTATAATTAGACTATTTTTACTCAGTACCAAAAAATAACAGTGATATTGCTAAAAGAAAAGCACATGCTCAGTTCAAAACAGACCTGTTCTGCATCACGTTCGCGAGATTTCTCATCTCTAGAGGTCACTGGATTCGGCAAAGTTCCAAGGAAACCTCTAGGCTCCTTAGCTGGACTAGCATAAAGAAGAGGTTGTTTGTGCACCAGCCCTTGAGACATGAAATTCCTCAACAAAAGCATATGATGGGGTGCTTCCGGGTCTTCCATTATCATAACTAAACTTCCCAACGAAAAGCCACCTCCTAAGATCTCTATTTGTCACCCAAAACCAAAATGAATAAAAAGGATCAGAAGCGAATATGGCACAAAAATGATGCTATTCAAACGAAGCACGAATTGAAAAGTAAATAATGGGAGAGAGTAATTTACTGTCAAGGTCTGCAATGCCAGATGAAAGGAAAGTTGTGCCATTGGGCCCATGCTTAAGTCCAGGAACATTAGTCTTTGAAACAGTAGAAACATTGCGTGAGAAGCTACTTGTTCGAGACTTAATTGCAGCCATAACCACGAACCTATTGCCCTCCTCCCTTCTGGTACAGAAATTAAAAGATTAGTATGGCGTTCAACTTCAATAATATCGTCTCAACATGATCACAGAATTGTTAACTCCCACAGTTCTTTAAGCATAAGAATCTCATAAGCCGTCAGTTCAGAAATCATGATCTCATGCATAAGTAGATCACAGTTATGTGAATGGAAAACAAAATTCATAATCAAAACAAGAGGTTCCACTTCTAACAGGCATTTTGTCGAGCACTTGGTTGACAAAAAATTCTGAAAATCCGCTTTTGCTTATGCTAAGAGCAAAATGCAAACAAATCGTCAGAGTCGCGAACCTTTATCTTAATAAATAGCTATGACAGAATTATTTGACTCTGACTTTGATTCTTAAACCCTCGGACAAGAAGCGGTAAAGGAGTTGGACGGAGGGGATTGTTTGTCTGCTGTGAGAGGAGGAGGGTGGAGGAGGAGCGCGGGCAAGTACGATGTTTGGGTCCTTTGGGAGATGGGGACACAAGTGTAATTTAGACATTGAAATTAACAGATGGAACTAACTTCGGAGTTAAGTTCAAATCGAGGCCAACTAGCCCAGCTTGAATTAAATTTGACCGGCTAAGCCCATTGAGCCCAATTAATTCTAGTCCACCAGTTTTAACCAAAACCATTAAAAATATATATATAAAGTAAAATTTGTAGCTCACTTCACTGATGACGTAAGCTTTCCTGCAGGACGTTCACTTTATAGCTGATATTTCACTGAAGTGCTTGAAGAACAATTTCACAATTCCCTCGTGCTGTAATCTCGTCTCTGCAAGAGAAAAGTACGGTGCCATGGCGCAAGCCAAATCCCCGGAGGAAGAACATCCAGTAAAGGCCTTTGGATGGGCTGCTGTGGATTCATCTGGGATTCTTTCCCCTTTCAATTTCTCCAGAAGGTATTAATGCTGATCCCACTTCTTTCGGACAAAGCTTGATCTCTGTCATTTATCATTTTATCCTTTTTTTTGTAATTGATTCACGAGATTGCCTAGTCTTGTTCTGGGTTCGTTTAACTGATATGGAATGGCTACAGGGAAACAGGAGAACACGATGTGAAAGTGAAGATTTTGTTTTGTGGAATCTGCCACTCGGATCTTCATCAGGCTAGAAATGAAAGGGGCATTACCAAGTACCCCATTGTCCCGGGGTTAGATTTTCTCCCTTTTTTCCCTGTGCCCATACTACATCTATTTTGGATGATCATGGATAGAACTGAAACGAGTCCAGAACAATAGTATTGTTTTTGCTTTTATAGAAAACAAATTGGGACTTTCTTTAGTTAATTCTGGTTTTTATCTGAGTTCCCGTTAATTGACTGCAATTTTCAACTAAGGATACCTAGCTGACTTTGTACTAGTTAGATTCGCTAGAGACATATTTATGGATAGATTTTCTGTATGATAGAACAGGTGTATGATCCTTTGCTGTTACATCTTAAGATTGTCGTGTGTGGAGTAGATGATAAGATTTTCCTGATGAATAGAACAAGCTATGTTTATTTGCATCGTAGTCTACGCTAATGAAGCCTTAAGAGTAGCTCAGTTGCCTTGTGCATTTCCGATCACATAGACCAATGATATGGATTCCTCACAAAGATTTGGTTAAGTCTCAAACTTCCTGTTCTGTAGTTGTTTTGAAGGGTGACACGATTTCCATTAGTACGGGAAGAAAATGATAATTTGGATTCTAACATCCAAATGATCCATTTTGATGAATACTATCATTGGCATTAGTACATCATTGTACTTAAAACGGGTTTCCTGCCTTTCTGTGCCTCCAGTTTCAAATGGTGGGGCAAGTTGTGTTCTAGTATTACCAAGTTGATGAAGCAAATAATATTAATATAAATTTTGTTTGGCTGATTTTGAAATTTTGTTTGACGAACAGACATGAGATCACGGGTCTAGTAGCAGAGGTTGGGAGCAAGGTCACTAAATTCAAAGTGGGTGACAAGATTGGTGTTGGAGTGATGGTTGGATCATGCACCTCATGCGAGAGATGTAACAGTAATGAAGAGCAACAATGTTCAAAGGGATTCGTACCCACCTATAATGGTACTTACTTGGACGGAACACGTACATATGGAGGGTACTCTGACACCATCGTTGTGAATGAACGTTTCACTATCCGCTGGCCAGAAAGTCTTCCACTGGATTCTGGAGCTCCGTTACTCTGTGCCGGGATTACAACTTACAGTCCCCTTAGGCATTTTGGTCTTGACAAGCCAGGCATGCATATTGGTGTTGTGGGGTTAGGTGGGCTCGGCCATGTAGGCGTGAAAATAGCAAAAGCATTCGGGGCAAAAGTGACAGTGATTAGTACATCTGCTGCTAAGCGAGACGAAGCTATTACAAATCTCGGTGCTGACTCATTCTTGCTCAGCAATGATCAAGATCAATTGCAGGTGCTTGACCATCTTCAGTAATGTCCAATATAGGTATCTTGGGTGATTTTCCAGATTCTAACTCTCTTTGTTGATTAAAATACAGGCTGCTGCACAAACTATGGATGGTATTATAGATACTGTATCTGCAACTCATCCTATCTTACCATTGATTAGTCTATTGAAGTATGATGGGAAGCTTGTCCTGCTTGGTGCCGTTAAATCCCTTGAGTTGCCTGCTGCTGCATTACTTATAGGTAAGATATCGGAAAATCTTTGTCTGAAACTACAAGAAATAAAGGAGCTACCCTTGTGAATAACTAAAGAAACAGCCCTGGTCATGGTTGATTATGTTGTATTAATGTTTGCACAGAATGATTAAGCTTCATATTATTAAATTTCTATTGCAGGGAGGAAGATGGTGTGTGGGAGTGGCATTGGTGGGATGAAAGAGACACAAGAGATGATTGATTTTTGTGCTAAGAACAACATAACATCTGATGTGGAAGTTGTTCCCATGGATTATGTAAACACTGCCATGGATCGTCTCGCTAAGGCTGATGTTAGATACCGATTTGTTATTGATGTTGGTAACACATTGAATGCTGCCTAATCTCAGTTGTCTAAGATGCAGTTTCTGGCTTTTCTTGAGTGTGATTTTCTCAGCTCCTTTTCTCTGTTCTCCAGTTGGATGAAACTGTTATTTATATCTAGGCATATGATCCGTATACATGGGGAATCCAATAAAGTACAGCTATGAATAAATCAGCTGTCTCGTTTTTTTTTTTTCCTTCTTGAGCATTGCCTTCGAGGCTGTAAAAGGAGCTTGTATATTGTAAAATTACATTTCGATCATGCTTGTCTCATAGAAGTCCTAATCAATTTTCTGAAGTTCCAGTTGAAAAGTTTAACTTTGTGTGCATTTTGAATATAGTCGCAACACTGACTTTACAAAAACAGAAAAAAAGGGAAGAAAATAAAAACATTAAAAGAGGGCCTGTTGTTGGGCTAAAGCTCTTATTGGGCTACAGCCTGCAACTTGTGATATTTGATAGAGAAACTCTATTTCCTTAGGTCTCCAAATTGATGAGGTAAAATATAATTTCAACTCTCGATGAGAAAAATTAAAAATAAAACAAAAAAAAGGAAAGACAAAAATTCTAAATAATAATTTTTGCTCCAAATAGTACTAATAATATACTCCTTTTTCGTAAAATGATTTTGCAATTTAGAAATTCATTTTTAGTAATCTAATTTAAACGATTATTTTAGGACAGAAAGAGTGAGTAAGAGTGACTTTCAATTTCTTTGTTATCGGAGAGGTTTAGGAATTAGGCCTAGTTCTCCTCTCCGGCTCTCCCTAGATATTTTTACTATTTTTATCATTAATTAAAAATTGGAAATGAACGAACTGTCACTTCGTTTTCTATTCAGTCAATGTCTTATAGTACTTTTTTTTCAAGGAAAAATTAAAAGAAAAGATCATTAACTATAGCCTATAGGTGCTGGAATTTTTCCTGAAACCATATAGATGCAATTTATATACTAATTAGAAGTTCTGAACTCATTTTAAAATTATTTTTAAAAAAATGATATTGTGACTTACTTCGAAAAACCCTAGAATTGACAGACATAATCTGGTATGAAAGTAGGGCGTAGCTGAAGCACAGCCCAGGTACTGTCAACCCTTTCTTTGTTGGTTCAGGATCGGGCAGCCCAAAATGAATAGCAATCCTAAGAGGTAGGCAGCGATTAGTAATACAACTATGAACTACTGGGTAGACCCGTGTGATGGACGGGAAAGGCATACACATTTAGACATTTTTACATAAATTTTATATTTTTATAAAATATGTAATGAATTCAGTTTTAAACATGATTAATTCTGGATTTACAGGAATTTGTTTTTTTACATGACATTTTAAATTCACTGGTGATAAGGTTTATGCTGATCTCTCTAAAATTTGTTAGGATTTGGTACTCTCTCCAATCAATCTTTGTGTTAGGATTTGGTTCATGAAAATAAAGGTTCAGTTTTTATTATTTTATTTTTAAAAAATTATTTTAGTCGATTTTTTTTGGTTTATTATTTTGTTTTGTGCATTTTTAAGTCTAGGAAATTAAGAAAATGCCACATATGATTAAATCTTATGTGGCATGTGCTCCATGCCTTTAATTTTCTCTCTGATTTTTTTGCCTTAGTATAATATATAGATAGATAGATAGATAGATACTCGAGCGATGAATAATAATGATTTTCAAAGGCACACCAAATAAAACTCTAATGTAACAGAGATTTTGGGATGAAATATCAATAAATATCATACTCCAACCATATTATTTCACCCGTCGGCGCATTTCCTAGATGCTGTAAACCCCAAAATTTTGGGCCACAAAAAAAATATCAAATAATTTACAACAAAATAAAAATATACTTCATCCGTTCCATAATTATTGTCTAGTTTGGGTTTTTATTTCTAGTTCAAATTCTACTAAAAGTGAAATATCAAATTGGACAATAATTTTGGAACGTAGGGAGTACTATATATATATATATTGATGAAAATTGAACTAAGATTGATTTAAATTGATTAATGGGATTTCAGGACACATTGGTAAATTATGTTAATTATGACGTATTTGATGATTTTATGCAGTAGACTAATAGTATACTCCTCAAGTAAGAAGGCATGCAAACTCGGGTGGTTTCGAAGTAGGAAATAATCTACTCATCCGTTTTCCTTCTCTTCTCGTTTATAAACGGGCGTCTAATTAATTAATCTTATCTTCCTATAAGAATTAAATTAAGTACCTACCTAGGCCATTATGCAATATATATATATATATATATATATATATATATACAGTGCAATGAACTTGTATGGGCAAACCACATACAGTAGAGCATTCTTATCAGTATCTGATGACATTTACTAGATCTAAAGTACGTACCAACTGAATATGCATTACCCACTAATTCAAATAGAAGCATAACTGAGGGGTGTTTGATAAATTTAGTGTTTACTTATGAATGTTGGATGATAAAACGGAAATAGTATTGAATTCATTTTTGAATTCAACTTTCATGTAAAAAAATACTACTTCCTCCGTCCACAAAAATAGTCCACATTGAATTTTGAGTTTTGTATTGTTTTTAGCACAAATTTAAAAATTTAATGTGGACTATTTTTTTTTTTTTTGAGACGGAGATGGTAATATTATTTATAAGCGGGTTTGGTGTGTTTTTATTTGTGTTGTAGCATGTTTTAATCTTGTAAAGAGGTTCATTTCATCGACATCAAATATATTGGAAAAAAGACCTGTGATCAAACAAATTAAAGTATCGATTTTGTGATGTGATGCTATCACATAGCAATCTAAGTACTAGATTTTGAGTCGGTCAAAATATATGCATGGCGGTTGGTGGTGTTTTTTTTTTTTTTTGGTTGTGTTTTCCATATCCTAAAAAAGCTTCTAATCGAGTCATGACATCAAGCAAATAATTGAGAAAAATGAGACGTATGCAGAAATAGAAACCAGCCGAAAGGCCCCAAGAGAGAGAGAGAAAAAAACAGAGAGGGGTGCAGGACAAATGTCGTCGTCGGGGAAGGGATGATGACAGCTTAATTTCCATAGTTGCACCGAAATAAAGGAAGCATATATATATATATATATACATATATATATATATATATATCCTACTATATTAGAAGTAAAAATCCTTCTTCCAAACAAAGCTCCTATGATTGCCACGTGACATGAAGAAAGTACTAAATTGCCCTTTTATCTAACCATTACTAAATTACTAAATTCCCTTTTGCACTCTACGTGACACGGTTTTTTTTTTAATTTTTTTCTTTATGTTTCATTCAATTAGAATGATTTTCTTTTCTTAATTATGTAGTCTAAATTGAATTGATCAATTAGATTTTTGTTACAAAATGTCAATTTTGTTTTAAGCGTATACCCTTCGGATGAAACTTATTACAAAGCTATTAAAAATTTCTAAAACTAAATATTGATTTGGTACGACCAATGGAGAACATCAATAAATCATCTTACTAATATTTAAACTTATTAGGATACTTTTATATTTGTCTAACATTTATTTCAACACACATATTCGATTAAGTCTATTTATATTTAATAAGTTATACTTATAAAACATTTCTAAAACATACATGGCGAAATATAATTTCTTTTTTTGTGAAATACAAATATTTCTATGATCACATTTATAAAACATTTCTAAATCCTTCAAACACTTCTAAAATATATCGCTCTAAATATAAAATTTTATTTTTTTTCAAATATAAACATTTCTAAGATTTACAGATAGATTGGGCCACCAGACATCACTAGTGTGTATAAATATATATATATATATATATGTATATGTATATAAGTTGAAGTGATGATTATAGTTGGAAACAAATTGGCATAACGGATGCATAAAAGCCGGAGAATTTGTCTCCCCAAAGTAACAAGATAAAACCTACGATATTCCACGAGAAGGAAAAAACCAAAAAACAAAAAAACGAAACTAACATGCATATATGGAATGGAACCGGTAAAGAGTAACCCCTGGCCCCTGGGGGAAAATAAGAAAAAAAAGGCCCGTGAGAAATAAGATGTAACGTTTGATGATGATGAGTGACACAGATTCAGAGAGAGAAGATTATAATTATGTGAATTGGGTGAAGATGATGATTAGGTGATGGCGTTTGCATGAGGGGATTCAGTTCAGTTTTTTTTTTTCTTTGCTTTTGGTGGGTTTCTTCCTCACGGGATTCATCCCAACCCCCCTCTTCTCTCTCACGAGATCCTCCCTTGGGCTTTCCTTCCTTCCTTCTTCCGTCTTCCCAAAACACACACTCACACACTAGCATGCATATACGTTCACCAATTAATAATAATAATATACTCCTCTTCCTATATATATACAGGGAGTAATAAAATCAATGACCATATTTTTGATATATTACATGTGTTACTAATAGATATGTAGACCACAAATTTCACGGCGCTAACACGTTTATTTTCCCTCCTCCAGCTAGCTAGCTAAGCGCATCCACTTATCTCGGTGTGTGTTTGAGAAGCTAAAAGTGCTGTGTTTGAGAAAATGGGCGGTTGTGTGCCATGTCATATACGGGATGTCCAGCTATGCAAATTTCATCAACATATATAATATGGATCACCCCATATGATACTAATAATTTGCATTTTATATTCATCACTACCGTAGCTTTTTGTAACATTATTAATATTTACACTATCCATCAATGATATTCGGTTTCTCCTATGTATAATTTAATAATGCCAACGAAGATCCTGGAATGTCTCATGAATTCTTACATTTATTTATTTTTTTTATTTTTTCCAAAAATGGAGGGAATAAGAAAAAAAATTGAAGGTGTGTGGTTCGATTTTTGTAAGGAGTAGAATGCCTGCTACATATGGTGGCAGAAATAATTCTTTGCGCCTTTTGGTCGCATTTGGGTTCAGAATGAACAGAATAAGGCAGAATGATAATTGAGTCTGGTTACTTGAAAAAATCGTGACCATTCACATGTTAAGTTGAGTTCCTTCCTTGTTTACTAAACAGCTTAAGGACTTTTGGTCACGCTAAAGTTGATGTATACATTACGGCCGTAGGTAATGTTATTACTACGTATGATTTTGACTAGCCATTTAATTGATTAAATGGATTTCTCCATCCGTTAATTCAATTCCACAAGTTTCCAGTTTATTTAAAGGATGCAACTGGAAGGATCTCCATGATTCCAAAAAGTTTCCCTGTATATACATGTCTATATGTGTGGCGAATGTTACTTTTCTCCTTTTAATTAATTCCATCACTTCCATATACATAGGTTATGATAAAAGTTGACGATGATCTCCTTTTTTAAAAAAAATTATTACTATTTTTTTCTTTTTTATGGTTGTGTTGCACCAAGTATTATTCCAACAAATTATTAACATATAGAACCAAAAGGATCAATATAATTCTCATCAATATATAGAAATCACATAGCCATAACAATGACGTAAAGTAAGTGAATTCAAATGTTTGTTCCTAAAAAGTACCTCCCCATTGTTTTGGAAAAATAAAATTAAAAAAAAAAATTGTTTTACATTTTAACATTATCATGCAATTTAAGCAATGGAATTTGTCTACAGTGTTGCAAATAAATTAAGACCACCACAAAGTTCAGTTTCCAGCAGCTGATAATTAAATTTCAGACCATATATAATAATTGATTTGTTCTCCTTTTTTTTTTTTTTGCGTGTGTGTGTGTGTGTGATCAAATTAAGGTGGTCAATATATATATATATATATATATATATATGTATGTATGTGTACAAGGAGTAAATAGAAGCAGTTGACGATTTGTTTCAGAAATGTGCATCGAGTAATTACAATAGTTGCAGCAGAAATGGACTAGGACTAAATATGTGCATGCCAGCCGGCCATGGAGAGATTACAAATGTGTATAGTAGTAATATACATAGTACACAAAGCAAATTAATAATCCCATGTCCTCAACCCCAAGCTACAACTACCCCATCAGATCACATGCAGCCAAAAAAGAGAAACCAGGAAACGGAACAAGTTATGGGGGCCGGAGGGAAGACGAAACACAGTTAGATTTCATTCTTCCATCAATGTCTCCCCAGTCATACCCAGTGTTTATTTATGTTAAGAATCTCACAAGAGGGGAAAAAAAAGGAGGACCAGAGGAAGCTAGACCGTCTGGTTTCACTTTAAACAAACAGTGAAAAGGCATCTTTGTACAGTTAATTTTTTGCTGCAAGATTTCAAAAAAAAAAAAGAAGAAGGTGTGAATCCAAAAATGTACTTTCGTTGTGCCTTTTTTTTTTTTTTTTCTTTGTTCTGACTGCTGCTTAATAAGTGATGGATGCGTTGCTGTGTTTGTTAGTGATGTGAGATGGATAGTAGTAATATTGAGAGGTCCAAGTATGGAAGTAACTAGCATGTACTTCTCTGAAGCTTCATTCTAAGGTTTGAAATTGTGTTACATTTTATTTCTTTGGATGAACCTAAGCTACTACGTCTAGGTCCTCCTATACAAAGCTTATATATATAGGCTGCTGACACATCTACAAAACTACACTATTTTTATACTACATCCTTACTCCTTCATAATTCAGAGGAAAAAAAAGTTGTGATGGTCACTATAGAAATGTCATCTTAACAAGCAATACATATTCTAAGGTAATTTACATTTCTATTCCGAAACTATATGCAGTTGCACACTTACAAATTTCGTACTAACGCATCTCTTTTTAGAATGTAGAAAATATATCATTCGAGTTTATGTATTGTATAAATAACACTTTTTAAGTAATTAGTTTTTTTATCCAATATAAGAAATCGTAGCGCTAAACGTTCTCAGTACTAATGTAAAAAAGAAAAATATATACTATATATAACAAATTATTCTGTATTAAACAATTATTTTAGAATAGATAGAGTACGAGAAAACATGAGATGCGAGGATTCTTTGGCCATGGGAAGAACTGAGGGTGGGAAGGAGAGGGCCGGGGAGAGTGATGGAGTTAGAAAAGGGACATTACATGGGAAGGAAGAGACAGGATGCTGTGGGTTGGCAGCGTTGTTTCCTGACTATATTATGCGATTTTCAAACCTTCAACAACAAATTGGTTCCCTGCTGTTGCTGCTGCTGCTTTCTACTTTGGCCTCCCATTATGTATTGACACTGCTATATATTGTTTGTAGTACTGCAACTAGATCTACACTTTTGTTTCTCTTCCCAACTACATCCTACGATCATATATCTTGTCAATGTTCTTCATCCCATCATCCATCATCCCCCATTGATCATCACTTTCCACTTCCAACAATATCCATCAGCCCTTCTTTTGTTTTCGTTCAACGAATTCATCTTTTTTTCTCTTTTTTTTTTCTCACTAAGAAAACATCCATCATTCATCATTGACATTGATAAACTATTTAGGCAGCTTTGCCGACAATTAAACGTAGTACTTTGGGTACGATCGAGTATGATGACCCTAAAAAAAAAGAATTTTTTTCCCAACCTTCATCAATTTATTACGTTTCAGAAAAACATGCAAATTAAAGATCATATACCTTCAAGGAATATAACCAACATCAATTTATCTCATGGAAAGCAAACCTAGCTAGCATTGATCCTGAAGTTGTTACAATTTTGAGTACTTTTTGGGTCTCCTACAAATTTGAGTTGTAGCAATAGTCATATATGAGCGAACTATAAACGTATATAAGATTAATTTTGAGAACCTGCTAAGATGAGTGTTAATTAGCTAAACATGTTACCCTAATATTAATTAAGATGGCGCTGGATAATAATGCTTCAAGAATTATAACCAAGAAAATGAATGATTATATGTGTGATTTCATAAAATTCCGCCAGTAATTTCTCCATATTCGGATTCAATTGAACAATTTGGTGTTTTCCATTTCTTTTTTTTGCATTATAAGAAAATATTTATAAAAGTAAACTACTTATTTTGTCCATTTTTATCCTTCTCTCTCTAAATGGACAATATCTCTCTAACTCGACCAGCTTTCCCCCCTTAGGCCTATATATATATTGCTGAAGTCCTTTTTAGTTTTTATAGTCACTTAAAAAAGCAAAAAAGAAAAGTTGGTTTAGGAAAAAAAAAATAAAAATGATAGCATCATTTTGTTCTTCTTCTCTGCCTTTGGGCAAAAAGCACATACTCCTCCTCATTCACCATACTTAAAAAGAGCTAGCTTTATTTTGTTTCCATATATCATCAGATCTAAAAGCTTGATGAAGATCACAAGACCCACCCCACCACCAACAACATCCCTTCTTCTTCTTCTTCTTCAACCTTTAATCTTCTTCTTCTTCATGCACTGATCAAACATCTCTCTCTCTCTCTCTCTCTTTGCCGCAACCAACAAGTAGTCATAATTTTTCCCCTATTCCCTCCACCTCCTTCTTTTCTCAACCATACATATATTGTTATATATTATTATGCTTAATAATTAATATATATGTTATATGTAGGCTAGCTATGGCACCCGTTTTGAATTCCATGGCGGCAGCGAAACATCAATCATCAGCGAACAAAGATGAACAAAACCACCACCACCACAACTCAGGCGGCAGTAAAAGTAAAGCAGGATCATCAGCAGCAGCCGCAGCAAGGCCAACCCCACAAGAACAAGCAGCAGCAGCAGCACTCAAGTGCCCAAGATGTGATTCTCAGAACACCAAATTCTGTTACTACAACAACTACAGCCTCACCCAACCCAGGCACTTCTGCAAGACTTGCCGGCGGTACTGGACTAAAGGCGGCGCCCTCCGCAACGTCCCCATCGGCGGCGGTTGCCGCAAGAACAAGAAGACCTCCACCAAGTCTGCTGCTGCTTCAAGGCTTATTAGCAATCTTGAATCCAACAACAAAGACAACCATCATCATATTCTGTCATCTGCAACAACAGATATGGGTGGTGGGCTCAAGTTCTTTCATGGGCTTACACCAGCCATGGATTTTCAGCTTGGTGGGCTGAGAGGAGGAGGAGGAGGACTTCACTCTTCTTCTTCTCCAACCACCACCACAACTATGTATTCTCATCAATTCACTCCTTTTGGGGACATGGCGGCTTTAACAACTCCAACTACTTCTTCTCCTTCTGGTGGTGTCTCCAGTTTGATGGGCTTCAATAATATTTTCCCTTTCTCAAATTCCGTGCTTCCCAAACTACAACAACAAGGTGATCATCATCATCAAAACACTAGTAGTATTCCACCACCCGGAGGAGGAGGAGTTGCAGAAGTTCATCAAGAGATGGGTTCTCATCATACTTCTCTGGCTTCATCCATTGAATCTTTGAGTTCCATAAACCAAGACCTTCACTGGAAACTCCAACAGCAAAGGTTGGCCATGTTGTTTGGTTCTGAAAACAATCATCCTCACAAAGAAGCCAATATCCCTCTTGTCGGAAATGAAGTTCAACCTCAACCTCAGCATCAACAACAAAAACCTCAGCCCATTTTATTTCACAACTTGGAACTCATGACTGCTACTCCAAAAATTGCACTTGGTCAGGAGGATAACAGTTCAAGAAGGGAAGGGAGTACAAGTACTGCAAGCGCAGGAGCAGGGAATTTAAATCTGTCAACTGAGTGGTTCTTTGATAATTCATATGCACCAGTTACTCCAACTCCAACCAACAGCAGCAGCAATGGCAATGGGAATGGGAATGGGAATCATGATAATCATCACACCAGCATCAACAACTGGAATGGGATTCAAGCTTGGAGCAACATGAGTCATTTCAATGAACTGTAGGTGTGCTTGCCGGAAGACCAAGAATTTCAAAGATTATAATATATGTTATTTACTGGTACCCTTAATTACCCTAGGTTGATCATCATCGTCATTATATAAAACAACAGAAGAAAGGACATTAGTATTCCAACAGTACTAATACTATAGGATGTTGTTGTCTGTCTCTTTTTTGGCTTTCAGAAATTGTCTAGCTCCTCTATCTATATTGTTAGATGCTTCCCCGTTCTCCCCCACCCCACCCCCCCTCCCCCCCCGATTTCAGTTTGTCCCTTACATATATGAGGATGGAAAAAAGGTAAAATAGTTTAATTTGTAGTGTTTCTGTAATTTATTATCATCCATTTCCAATATTTCAGTAAGGTGTTAAATTTTATCAATGAATACATATCTTTTGTAGCTTCTTCCATACGTATCCTAATGTCTTTGTACAATATTTCGCAATTTTGCTTTACAAGCAGGACTAAAAAAAGGTTGGTTCATGCATGTCACAACATATTTTCCAGCAGTAATTATATATACTGTGGATGTTGTTTTCTGAGGTTGTTCAAGTTGTCGAAGCTAAGCGCATGTGGGTGCATTTGATGATGATCAGGTGTTTTGGTCATGAAGGGGTTTTCCGTTTCACCCTCTTTAATTTGGCTTCTTCAATTTTCCTTAATTTGTTCCTCCGATCATAAAACGTATGTATGTATGTATATGTATATATATACATGTATAGACATTCCTGGTTTTTAATTTCATTATGCTAGAAAATGAAAATGAAGGAGGGAAAACAGATTATTTAAAAAGGGGATCGATGGAATTTGCGTTACGTATCGCTGGGGAAAACAAAAATGAATCAACATGCATGTATACAGAGCAGATGATGAGAATCGATCAAGAAACCCGATGGATGGATGGATGGATATAATATGGCTTTGGGATTGGTGGGGGTCATTAAATGGAAAGGGGGAATTAAATGAGTTGATATGTTGGATTTGTTTTTTAAGTAGAGAGAGTCAGAGATCAGAAAAGAGGGCAGTGTCCTAATGTCTCTCTGAATCAGGTAATTGTGGGTAACTGAGTCTCAGACTTTCTTCTGATCATCACCACCTCAGTACTGACAACATTTCTCTCCCACCAGCAACCAGAACATGCATAAATATTATATATATGTTACCCTACTATACTTCATGTAGTTAAGACTTAAGACTGACGACATTTTTTTTTTTTTTTTGGTAAACATAATCTATCTATTGCCTTTTAGCCTGCTTCTGCTTCTGCTTCTGCTGCTTCTGGCCTTGTTCTTAGATATATAGCCATTAAGCCTGCAGCCCTCATGCATTCTGCTACTTATTACAACACACATTGCCTTGGGTTATTCGTAATAATTAGTTAGCAGCTTGAGGTGTGATTTGGTGGGTGTCTGCCAAAGAAAAGAAGAAGAAAAGTGAATTGAATGAGAGCCCACTGTGTCAGTGTCAGCATTTGAATCAATGTGTGAGGGAGATATCTAAGCAGCCCTTTGGTTCCTTCTGTTTACATGCACCATTTTTAATGCTAGCTAGGTAGCTACTACTACTATAACAATATGTCTCATCCAGTTTAGCTTTTGTGGGACTTGATTTTACTCTTGATGTTAATTTGCACAAAATAAAATAGTAACGATTTCATATACAAACAATTAGGGTGAGGCTATTTTCGTTTGACACCTGAAATCGATAAGTAATCAAGTAGATTAAAGTTTACCTGCACCATTAAATTTGTATGAACATAAATGTAATTAATTGTTACATATTGCCACGCTTCGGCTCCCTCTAAAAAGTTGGTACAAAATACTTGCGATTGAGACAAAATAATTTCGTACTAAAATATTGAGTTCCTCAATCAAAAGACATCTTTGCCTTTTTGTATCTTCACTTTTGGCCTACAAATTCAATTTTCACTTTATACTTTTATTAACTCGAAAAGCCAAACACAAAAAATAAAAAAAAAGGCCCACAATCTCAAAAAAAAGATCATTTAAGTTGATTACCAACTTTCTTTTCCTCACATGATGATATAACTACTATTAGTTTAAGTACCCATTGTCCCCCCCCTCTATATATATTTTTTTTGACGTCCATTTTGGAAAAGAGAACAAAGAATGAATTGCATGCACAAAGTTCATCATTTTCCTCGTTGGTCGCCTCGGTTTTCTATTAATTTTCGGAAATACTCTTCACCTTTTATCTTCTCTTTTTTTCAATAAAAAAATTTGTTATTCCAATGTCAAATATTTTTTAAAAAATTCACTGTGTAGTCAACTATAGAAATTAAACATGTTCTAAATTGATCATCTAAGAGGGGGACAAAAGGAAGTTTATTACAGAATGATGGGGGGCTGATGAGATAAAAAGTACGTATCATAAATATTTATAATTGGTCCATTAATTAATTCGGTCTGTTTTCAAAGTTGCAGAGAAGAGGACGAGAAGTACACATTCATTAAAAAAAAAAAAAAGGGTGTTCCTTCTCTCGTTCTTAAATTAATTCTGATTTTCCGACCTCTTTTTATCTACCATGCATCATCGATCTTACTTAGATGAATTAATAATATTGGACCATTTTTTGTTCTGAGATGTCTTCGTCAGGTGTGGTGCAACTATCGATGTCTCTTTGTCATTTGTATTTGTAACCATTCTATTCTATCTATTTTTTTTTTTTCATTTATGGTCCCTGCCGCACCAGATTTTATCATGCAATATCTCAGCAACGATGTCCCGCCCTTGACCATCTATGTTATATATCTCCCCCTTCTTAATTCAATTACTCAAAAAGAAAAAGAAAAAAGAAAATGTTGTTTATATTTCTTTTGTCACAAAATTATTATCCAGCTTACATTTTCAGTTTTAGTAAATTTGAACTAGAACTAAAAATTTAAATTTGACAATAATTTGGGGACTGAAAGAATGTAGTTTTATACTTACATTTTGATATTGTGTGACTCATATCCGTTTGTTAGAAACAAGAATAACGTCTTACAAGAGAAATTTTGTGATATAAACGTGATCCTTCGTTATAATGAATATTCTAAAGAGAAACTTTAACTGTAAGTCTTACTAATAAGCTGCAGGCGGCGTGAAAGATGAAAAAACTGGCCCGAAAACGAGAATAGTGCATTCCTTGAATCGTCGTCATCCCTTTTGGCATCCTCCTCACAAAATTTTTTTTGTGTGCTTGTGTATGTTGCTTTGCTACGTTCATGATTGTTATTTTAGCCTTATTAGCTCATCAACAATTTCACCAAAACAAAACGATAATGTATACAGTCTCGTCATCAACAAGTGGATTCCTAATGATCATGTCCCAAGTTAAGACACAATCCTCCATTCATTCCTTGGACTTATCCTCGTTTTATTCTAACAGAAATTGGAGTTTTCTTCCAAAAACCACCCGCCATCTCCTTGAGCTTATAATATCTTTGATTTGCTTCTACCGTTAGGCTTCTTATCTTTCTGACCATCCAATGATTAATATTAATTAATTTCCAGATACGAGGTGTCACACGTTTTCCATCCATTTCTTGATTGATTCCTTAAGGTAAATAATGATTGTGCTTCTATATGCGTAACGGATTTTATGCATTGGAAACATGCATGTTTTTGGAACGGTAAGGGTCTCGTGTAACACTTTTATGAATATATACCTTCTAGCTCTCTATTAAAGAGCTTGACGTATGTGTTTATTCAGTATTAGTTGGATTTCAAATTTTTAAATAACACATAAAACTTACCATTGAATGAACCGTGAAATGAAATGTAACATAAAATATCGATGTTTCTTAATTAAACATAGGATGACACTTAGAAATGAAAGAAAAGAATTTCATCCAAAAAAAAAAAAAGATATGCAAGAAAGAAATAATTTTTTTTTTTTTTTACATATTTGCAGAGTGTCCACCGTCGGCAACAGACTAATCCCGCTCGTTAAATTGCAGGCACCTCAATGGGTGGGACAGCTGGCCTAAGCATTTAAGGTTACTTCATGCCCGTAACAAAGTTTGAACTCTCGACCTATGGTTAAAGGTGGAAAATTTCTTCCACTCTAACGCAACCACTTAGGTTAAAGAAAGAAATAAGATGATCCACTGAAATGAATGAATCACCTTTTTACAGAGAGTCCAATCCAATCAGAAAAGAAACCCAGCCCAACCATCTAAACAAATATAAGCCCAATTTGTTTTACAATTATGAGATCCAAATTAGTTTATTTTAAACGAAAATTATATAAGAGTTCCAACAAATTAATGAAATTACGAAATACGAGTACTATAGTTTATGAACTACAAAAATGGATTTTTCTTATTTCGTGTGTAATTTGTTTTACTACAATTTTATAAGATCCAAATTATTATTGCTCAAGCCAAGCCATCAAAAACACATTTTAATATTTTCGGAATACTGGGTAGAACTTATGTACTGTATCATATATAGCATAACACATAAGTCTTCTGGATATTCAAACTCAAAAGTAATCAAGTAGTTACATAACTTGAATGGATTTGGCAGTATATACTGTCCTAAACTTGAACACAATCAAATCAGATTCATCAGTCATTAAACTCATGACCAGATCCTTTTTTTGTTTTCCTTTTCCTTAACTCCATGCACTGCATCTCTGTTGGTTTTGCCTTGGACAGGCCTTCTTTGAGCATTGATCACAGGCTTTGTAGTAGTAGCTCTTGAAATCCTACAAAATGGCTTAGGCGGGTCAGATTGCCTGCTTTTCTTGTCACTTGATACAGCAGCAGCAGAAGCAGTGTTCTCCTCTCCATTTCTTGATAATCTCTTCCTTCTAACATTTTGAAGAGATGATTCAACCTTCACTGAACTGGTAGGAGGACCTTGACTCAGAGTCTGGTTGAATGTGTTCGAATTTCTAAGAATACCACGTTCTGAGTCATTCATTATTTCATCTCTGCCGAAGTACTTCCTTTCCAGAGGGGTGGATTTTGTTGAATTAACAACACTTGTGTCTGCTACAATGCTGCAACTCAGCTGTTGCTCTTGCTCCTTTATCTTGTCTTCAAGTTCCTTAATCTGCCATATCAGGAAGAAGACCACATTGCCCGGCTTGTTCAATATCAAATACTAGTCTACTAGTAACTTGATACAGCACAATATAGGACAACAATTACCTTTTGATGAAGCAAAGCAGCCTCAGGATTCTGTTCCACCCCTTTTCTTAGTCTGTTCTCAAGCTCTTCCACCTGCAAAATGTGAAAGGCATGTATTACTGTCATGGCTTCCATGTGGGAGGTTTTAGCACAGAATAAGAATGCTTCTAGTTGTTGAATCACCTTTTCCTGAAGAATGGAAGAATGCAACTCAGATTCTTCCTGTTGCTCCTTCAGCTTCATTTCAAGCTCAATTACCTGCTTTTCCGACTGAATTAGTTTTCTCAATAAATTGTCACCTAATGAAGACCACAGATTTTTCTTTTATAGAAAAATAAATTTAAATGTAGCAAAAAAACCTTTTTCTCATATGACGCAGACTGAAGCTCCCTCTGCTTTTTCTCTAGCTCGAGGACCTTCAAAAGATAAAACCAACTATTAGGATAGGCTTTCAAAATACATATCTCACAACTAAAAACCTAATTACAGGATTATGAACACAAATTTAGCTGTGCAAAAATTTAAAACATGCAAAGAAGACCTTTTCTTGAAGACTAGCACATATTTGGTCTTTTCCTTTCAGTATATCTGAGAGATGTGAAACTTGCTTCTCTGACTGCAATTGTGAGAATGACTTTGACTCCAGCTGGCTTTCCAGATCCTTGATCTTGTCTTGTAGGATCTTAAAAGTAGCATCCTTCCCCCTGGCCTTACTTTCTAGGTTTTGTAAGCTCTCATCTAACTTCTTGATTGATTCATCTTTACTTTTAGATTCCTGTTTAACTTTATCAAGCTGCAGAGGAAATTGAAAGGAAGATTGGAAAATAAGTAACCACAATGGACATACAAAAGAATACCAAATTGATCACTGCTTCAATAAGAGGCACACCATCAGTTTCATTTTCTGTAGCTCGCTGGTATCAATTTGTTTTCTAACAGGCCCCAGTTCAACCCCTCGAACACGTGTTGCAAAGTTTAATGAACTCAGAGTTTCACTCAAGTCCTTCTCTGATGGACTTATTTGCACAAACATTAAAGTCTTTGAATCGCCACCTACAAAGCAAACATATCGTAAAACAATGGTTCAACCTGTAAATTTATTGACTGCTAAAATCTTCAGATGTCAATAAAATCGTAGATTTACCTAACGAATCTTGCAGCAAATGTGTCAACTTTGAGTTCCTGATGGTAAAGCATAAAAGTAAATTGACTGTTTAATACCTAAATAGTGAAAAAGAACTCTTAGTGAAAAAAAATAAATTGAAAACCACCTGAAAGGAATGTGGCCACTTTTATTTGCTAAAGCAGATATCACATCTCCGAGGGCTGAAAGGGATTTATTTATATTTTGAGCTTCCTTGAGCCTATCACCTTGTGCATCAGTTTTACCCAGCCTCTCACTACCCGCCAAATCAACTAGCCAGAGCTTGCTCTTGGTTCTCTCTCCATTGATCAAGTTCTCAGCTTTCACGGTTACACAAAGAATGCTAAATTGAAATTTAGGAGAAAAGCACTTGATCAGAGGATTGCATCATTATTAGCAGTACAAAAATTGGCTAAGGTTCTGATAAACAGAGATTCATATTACCAGTGGGACCTGCTGCTGTGCTCATTGACGTTGTTAGATCCAACTGCCCTCGCACTACTTCCAGTCTGCAACACAGCCCACACTTGATCTATGTTCTTAACTTCAGCTTCCACTAACCCCGGTATATGATGGAAACCTTCTGGTGCTTGTTTTATCTCCAACCTAGTGTTGGCCCAAAGATGGTAAGTAAGTTGTAGAATTTCAGATATACCACATAATTATTTGAATGTCAGTAAAGTAAGTTTACTTCTTTGATGATGAAGATGTATCCAACAAGTCTCTGATTTGCTCATTGTAGACTTCTAGTACACTGACTGATATGTTGTACTTAGAAGTCTCACTCCTTTCCCTCGATATTTTAAACAACTCTTCTAAGGTCCTATAGTTGACCCCTCTTTCCGCGACAGTGCCCTCCATTGTAAAAGTCTTTCCAGTTCCAGTTTGGCCATAAGCGAATATACAAACATTGTATCCATCCAAAACTGAAGTGACCATTGGTGAAGTATCCGCAAAGACATCCACTGTTAAGAAAATGTAATCGAACTTGGTAAAAAAGTAGCATGATGTATGGAAATAAATGATACAGGTGCACAGAAAAGTACCTTGATCATCTTTCGGGGTGTAGACACGGTCAAACTTAAAAGTTTTTTTTGTGGAGCCACTATTCTGAATTCCAAGTTCACCGTCTTTAGCGGTATCAAAATCTACAACCATAGAGCACCCAGCCAAGGTTTCGGCCTTGCTTAATGGACGACAACGACAGAATACCCTAATATTTCCTAGTATAGGACGCAGAAAATACATAATCAGCAAAAGTAAGAAAATTGTTCAAAAACTGTAAACTATAAATAGAACTCATAACAGGTACAAAGGAGAATTAGGTAGCACCTTTTGCTTCCTGAACTTGGTTGAATAATTTTCTTCTCTTCACTTGCTCGTCGTTGTACTTCACTTTCAGATCCTCACATTGTTCAACTAGAAAATACCATTAACAAAGATATTACTCTATTTGGCAGATTAATTCATCACAAGAAACAATCTTAAAATGATAAACGGTATCTTACCCAGTGCCTGTACGGCGAAGACCATTTTATTCAATTCTGGAATTCCATCAACACATTCATGAGCTTCACGAGAAAGTTTAATTTGCTCCTCTTTCATTTTCTGTATTTGTAACCAATAAAACGATACCTGAGAAACATTCCATAAGGAGCAAAGAGCTTCTTAACAATTAGCTAAAGTAAAATGCTAACTACCTGAACTTTTTGATCCAGTTCATGGATGGCAGAAGTCCAGAACTTCCTCTTATGCTCGTATTTGTTTGAGACATTATTCAGCCTCTCAGTTTGCTTCTCTAAGCTTTGATCTGTAGCCGAAGTATTTTCTTTAATTAGAGAGATTCCAAGAAACATTATATATAAAGGTATGATGTTGACATATGAACAACAAAAATGAAAGAACAAGCTTGCTTTTCGTAAATTACCTAGGGAATAAGTTTTATAAGTTTTATTATCTAGTTCCATCCTAACTCTCTCCAGCTGCTCATTGGAAGATGTCCATGACATCCATGACTGATAGCATTCTTCCGTCTTGCGCTGCAATGACTCAGTGAGCTCTTTAATCTTCTCCTCATACTTAGCAGTTGATTTCATGTGCCTTACTTTTTCCTAAATGCTCCGAAAGAAGAAAACAGAGAATTAGATTATAGGAAGTATGAAATCTAACATATTAACATGCGTAACTCTTGACATAAGTCAAGTTTTGTACCTGCTCTGATGGAACCTCAATCTCAGAGCAACAATTGCTACATGTAAGATATTTTCTTTTTCCTCTGGAACCTGAAAAGTGAATAACAAAGAATTATAGTGAATTCTCGTGAATCGTATAAAAATATTAGTCTTTTGGCAGTGCAAGCTGACCTGAAATAGACGCCTTTCGTACACAGATCCCACTGAGTATAGGACTTCCAATGACCCCCTCAAACCTGATTATCAAAGGCTCATCCTCCTTGATAGAAACATTTGCATCGACTAGCTGCAAGGGCTTATTGGCTCCAACAATTGAAAATATATCAAAATCAGATAGAACCTGCATTTTATGAAAGGATGATGGGAAAACAGATGAGATGTGAAACCAATATCTAACATAAAGAGAAGGAGAAACATCAATCTACATCTGAATGTTAAGGGACTTGCCTTCTCGTCTTGCATGAATACATTGAAAACCCTCATTCCTTTGGGCCCAGATACATTTATAATCTCCACAAAGTGAAGATCAATGCAGTAATCTCCGGGAGGAAGATTATTGATGCAGTAACTGAAGTTTCCTAATCTTGCTGACTGGTAAATGAATGGGTAGTCACCCCCCTCATTTATGTAGTCCTCTGTTTGAAATGTATCTCCCCCTTGGAAGTAGCCATCAGCTAAAAGGTTTACATTGGAATCCAACTCAGCTGAAGCCTCAGCACCCGCACTAATGAAAATCACTATTTGCTCTAATTAAAGAAAGAAAAAAAAAATCAGTCAGAAAGATCAAGCAGGATTCGCTCTAATCAAGCTTAGCATGTAACAGGCTATATCACCACATAAAATCAGTTTCAACCCGTTTGGAAATTGATCAATTTGAACAATAATTTTCTCATAACTATCACAAAGATCCTAACTTATGCAATCAATCAACCTCAACACCTTGTCAATGAAAGGAAGTACAATACTAATCAATACAGGAAACTGAGAGAGGGAAAAAAGAAACCCTGTCAAGTTCATGAGAAAATTAAACTTCCCAAGAACCCTATTAAAAAAGGGCTAGCGAAAATTTACTGGAAAAAAAAAAAGAAAAATAACAGAAACGGGGAATTCATACACCAACCTGTACAATTGGGTTTCGTGAACCCTTTTGGGACCAATCTTGAACCCTCGTCACAAACCATTGAATCGGCTAAAGCTTCTTTGGTTGAAACCTCTTCCGTTTCTTGATTTTGGGGATTATCGCAGTACACCCCCCAACTGTGTGTGTCAGGAAGCAACATTTCTGGGGTTTGCTCAAATGAATTCAACTCAAGTTTTTCCATGAAGATGGGAATCGGACACTGACGTAATGAAACTTTACGAAATTCTTTCTCTCTGTTCGGATAACGGAAATCTACAACTTTGGACAATAAAGTGGGTTTGATTGTGTTTGAAAAAATTGAAACGATTCAAATTTGTGTTTCCGGAAGACGCTTTTGCTTTCAGCAAATGACCGTTACTTTTGATTTGAGGGCCTTTTATTGGGCGAATATTATGGGCCAATCTTTGGTGGTAAAAATTGGACTTTTCATGTCAGATGGGCTTGGCCGCTTGGGTGATTTTTATTGTGGGCCATCTGTATACACACTTAAAAAAAACACACAATAAATGTAAATTCCCTAGTTTATTCTATTTTTTCAGTTTATTTAATAATTACAGGAAATTAATGTCTTACTCCCTCCTGTCCTTAATATAAGGCATTAGAAATACTGAATTCATTAAGCATTTACGAAATAAGTAATAAGCTAATTTTTATTGCTTATATTTTGTACCGCATATTCAGCACCAATTAATTCATTAAGTGATTCATTTACTGTTATCAAACATGCTGAAATGAAAAAATGTTTAATCCATTAATTTTAAGTATTAAGTGGCTTTATCAAACAGGCCCCTAATATACATTTTTAAGTGACAAAAAATCTTAAAAATATATTTTCACATTCGTTGTGTTCTGTTGATCGTTAAAAAATATTTTTAAAGTTTTTTCGTCAATTAAAAATGCGTAATAGGTGAAAATTCATGATAAATCAAAATTCTTTATATTAAGGACCAAAGGGAGTATTTAACCATGAGAAGAGAAATGAAAACAAATTCTTAATAATAAAAATTAGTATTATTATTATTTTAAAACCAAATGCATACTGGTCAGTATATTACTGTACTTGGTGGCTGAGAGCCTGAGATCCATGTTTGTCCACCAATTTTACTTGGTAGCTGAGTCTCACATAATAATCTCCCTAAAGCTACATATCAAATCAATTAATTACTTAATCATTGAATCTGCTGTTATAGTTTTAAAGATTTGGATTAAGTAAAAGAACAATGATAGCCATAGTGACAAAATATAGTGAATTTAGATAGTGACTAATAAAAAGACATTTACATCACATTTACTATACATGTGTATTTATTAATTAAGGATAAAATAATAATTTAACGGGAAAGATAAATTTTTTACGGGAAAGTGACAAAAAAAAAGAGTCATAATTACTCCACAACAGTCACGTTTTTTTGTCACTATTTTTTTTTTTCACTATGCATATCATTTTCCTAAGTAAAAACATATTCCAAAACTTTATGGTAAGGAGACATTTTACTTTGTATGCATTTGGTAAGGAGACATTTTATGGTCACTAGTTTAGTCCCCATCAATTATTGTTATTATTATTTTTAATTAGTGAAAGAAGTGTACACTACAGTTCCAAAAAAGAAATGCCATTGTACCAAAAAACAGATGCGAAAACAAAATTTACGGTAGCCAACAAAGCAAAATAAATAGGAACGAAAATTGCATTTCTGATTCTCCTTGGATAGTGTCATTTTGCCATTTTGATATCTTAGTTTTAAAACTTAGGTTTTTTTTTTTTTTTTGGTTTAAAATGTAATATGATAGTAGCATTGTATACAATATTCATCTAAAACTTCATACCAACAAATAAACTCTTTATCTGCTAAATAAAAATCATACAATCAGTAAACTATTACGCGCTCTTTCGAGGATGCATCTTTTTAGACAAACTCAAAAAGTATATACAATTCATTCAATTTCAATTATAAGTAATTATAAATGAATTGACTTAAGGTATTTAGGTATTTTGACTTGGTTCTGATATCATCAATTACACATTACTGTACTTAACTTTATTGAGATAGAAGAACAACAAGATTCTAGATATAAGAGATTGGCAATTAGTATGATTTTTTTAAAAAAATAAAAAATAAAAAATGTCGATTGACAAATGCGCCAAAAGTGTCGATTCCTACAGATCACGGAGCGAAAGTTATGATAAATAAATTATGAGGGAGCAAAGGTGGAATTTCTCTTAAAGCAAACGTAAGAGAATTAGAGAACCACACTAAGCACACGCGCTTAGAAAGCACGTGGAGAAACACTCATCATCTTTGTCTGCGAAAGTAATGGTGCTCTCTCGTCCCGCTGCAATCGTTTTCACTGCCATTGTTGTCGATTCCAAATATCTCAGTATTTCCGACCCTTAAAAATTTCCCTCACTTTCCTCACTTCCCTTCTTCTGGGCCCTACCCCTGCCCCCCTCCCCCCCTCAACAACCTCTGCTCCCTCCCACCACACTGTAAAAGAGCTTCTTCTTCTCTGGCTCATCATTTCCTTCTGTCTTTGTGTGTGAACTGTGAAGTATAATTTGTGGTGTAGTACAGCAGGTTGAAGGAGATTCTGAATTCACTGAATTATTGATGTTTGGCTTATTTCAGCTAAATTAAAGAAGTCCATTTGATAGAAAAATTTCATCTTCGCTGAGAAGGAGCAAGAAAGAGGTCAGTCTCTTGTTTGTTCTTTGTGCTCCCGTCTTCGTTATTTTTATTCTGACATGACTGCATTTTATGTTTCTTCGAATAAAAACGCAATCAATCACTTGTTCAATTAATTTTTCCGATGTCTTTGCTGCATTTTACTGGCCATGTGTCTTAGAATTTGGTTGTGATGTTTTTGCTTTCCTTCAACCGCTAAATTTTAGGAAAATGTTTCCTATATCGGTGAAGAATTAATTGATGAATTTTCTGGAAATCCTTGTAAAACTTGAGAAGATGTAGACAGGAAAATTTTCTTTAACCACTCGCCAAAAGAGAGAATAACCTGCAGAGCTAAAGGAACCAACCTGGCTAGCCATATTAACAGCACCAGCTATAGCCTGCTCCTGCTCTACAAACTAACGCGACCAGTAAATTGACATAAGCAATGTTTGCTAATGTTTCGGTTGTCAATGTATATTTTGGGAATATAACATTCCTTGACAAATTAACATCATCAGTTGGTTGCCCAAACAAATCTTTCTTGCTGCATTTAGCTAGTAAGCCAGCAAAAAACCCATGTAAGTTAATATCTAACTCATGCTGCGGAGTCTTGTGGTGCCTATTGAATGTGAAGAAGGTTTGGGTTGCTACCCTTGCGAGCCCTGCCAACCAATTCGGTTTGTGACTCTGGTCAAACTTGTGAAGATGGTCCTGCAATCATCTTGGGATTGAAGGACAAGCTAGGGACTGGAGAGCAAACATTTATCATTTTCTACTAACCTTGGGCAACGCGGGTGCTTTGTGGGCTGCTCTTAAGTTGTTCTCATTTCTTTACCTTCTGAATGCATGAATCAAATATTTTAATAAATTATGTTAGTTTGTTTGGTTTGATATTTTAGTCTGATATAAGATATCTCTATCATTTTTGCGTGGATATTGATGTTGCTTTACTTACTTCGGTTTATGTTTGTGGTTGTTAGCTATATACTGCTTATTGGTGGAATGGAAAGTCAGAGTCAGTCAGAGATCTTGGAGGAAAAGTTAATGCTGCCACCACCACCTGGGACGTTTCAAGATCGTGAAGAGCTTATAAAACATGTTCGTGAGTTTGGAGCATGCCAAGGATATGTAGTAACTATCAAAAAGTCAAGGAAGGATAGAAGAGTTATTCTTGGTTGTGATAGAGGAGGTGTATATCGCAATAGAAGGAAGATGGAGGAAAGCAAGCGCAAAAGGAAGGCTTCCTCACGTCTTATAAATTGTCCGTTTGAAGCTATTGGCAAGAAAGATGACGATGTTTGGGTGCTTACAATAAGAAATGGAGAGCACAACCATGAACCTTTGAGGGACATGTCAGATCATCCTTACAGTCGTCGTTTCACTGAGGATGAGGTCAAACAAATTAAGCAAATGACTGAAGCTGGTGTAAAGCCACGCCAAGTTCTTAAGGCTCTCAAGCAAAGTAATCCAGAGCTTCAATCGACGCCGAGGCATCTGTACAACCTCAAAGCTAAGATACGTCAAGGGAAATTATCAGGTCATTGTTTTAATACTTTATTAAGATGTTTGCAGATCCATTCCACAATTATATCGTGGTAAATCATGTAAAATTCTGCGATTCTTCAACTTTTGGTGAGGCGCAGCACTCAGATGAGGGAACATTTCATTCTGATGGAGTCATCTTTGCAAGAAAAATTTCAATTGTTGTAAAGAAAACAATTTGGTTCTGCAGATAACAGTTTTAAATCATGGAGACCTAACAGATCCATTCCATTAACTATATCAGTTGAAGAGTCGACATTGCATGCCTGCCCTGTAAGTTTTATTGAATGTGAAGAAACTTCTGTAGCACTCCACAGCTTATTTATCTGCTGCTGCTTATGAATATGAAAACATATGTATTTCCTTATATGTTGTTTAGGTAAAAGTTGCCAACTATATCGGTGGGAAATTTGTGGAGTCACAGGCGTGTCAGTACCTTGATGTATTAAATCCGGTGAGTTGAAATGTATTTTGGACATGAAAATATCTTTTGGGGGGTTGACACCTATTAACCCTTGCAAGTTTATATATGTAGACCTAAACCTTTTCACTAATAAAACTGTCAGGCTACTCAAGAAGTGGTTTCCCAAGTTCCTGTCACTACCTATGAAGAGTTCAAAGCGGCTGTGGCTGCTGCGAAACAAGCATTTCCTGCATGGCGAAATACGCCTGTGACCATTCGTCAGCGCATTATGTTTAAGTTCCAAGAGCTTATTCGCAGGGATATTGTACGTGAAACGTGATTCTTTATCATCTTCATCTACTTCCTATCATTTTTCCAAAAATTGATGAACTTTGCTAAACATGTAGGATAAGATTGTCATGAACATTGCAATAGAGCAGGGAAAGACGTTGAATGGAGCCAAAGGTGATGTTCTTCGGGGTTTAGGTGAGTACTGGCCATGTAATTCTTATTTGAATTGTCATATTTGGCTTGTGGCTTCTGTTTAAGTAGTTAACTTAAGATTTGTGCTTGAGCGTTGTGGAATCCTGAATTATGTTTTTGGTTGACTGTTTTTGTAGAGGTTGTAGAACAATCATGCGGTATGGCAACTCTGCAGATGGGGGAATTCATTCCGAATGCCACCAATGGAGTTGATACATTTTGTATCAGAGAACCTCTTGGTGTTTGTGCTGGTATATGCCCCTTAAACCTACCGGCTATGATTTCTTTATGGGTATGTCATGAAGGGAACTTTTCCCATATTTGATTTCTCCTGTTCCTTTTTTTTTTTTGGGGGGTATCAGAATGAGTTTTCATTTTTGGGTGCCGTTGTGCAGATGTTTCCTATTGCAGTTACCTGTGGCAACACATTTGTTCTGAAGCCATCTGTGAAAAATCCAGGTGACTGGAAACTTCTATCGATCTTCAAGACTCCGGTTATCCTTTATACGCTTATTCATGCTACAATGTAGTCAGTGAAAGGAGAGATGGTCATTTTAGAGAAATTCGTTTCATTGGTCTTCACCTCTGTGCTAAATAGCAAGTTCTTATTAGTGACTTCCTGTCAATGTAGGAGCTTCGATGATACTAGCAGCATTGGCAGCAGAAGCTGGTCTACCTGATGGTGTTTTAAATGTTGTTCATGGCACCCATGTAAGCCTTAAGTTTCCCTGCATCATAGTTGCTTCTCAAATGGCCCACGTACTGAATGGTGGACACATTTATAATGCAGAACTTTATGGGTTTGCCTTTGGTTCTTTTCTGAAAATCCCATCTTCAAAACTCATTTCCTTCGGCAGTTTTACTTAAGCAGTTTATTGATTTTGCTGCAGTATTGGTTGTGAATCATTTTTCTCTACTACCAGTTACAAATATCTTTTGATTTTGTATTGTGCAGGATATTGTCAACTACATCTGTGACGATGATGATATAAAAGCTATATCCTTGGTTGGTTCAAATACAGTAAGTTGCTAATCTGAATTGGCTCAAGTGGCTTTATGTTGCATAGACCACATCGGATTCAGTTTGATAGTCATAGATGTACGTCAATAGTCCTATAGTTTCTTTTGCTTCATCAGTTACATCACTGTTCAGTACTGCTATGGTGAAGAAGTGTTGAAATGGCCGTCATATATGTCATTACCGCGCCACTGATTTCCTTGGTTTCAACTCAGGACTTTGAGGCTGAGGCCTGTTTGGGCATGCAATTACACTTATCCAGTTTAATCTCTAGTTAATATATTCATGGACAGTTTTTTGGTAGCTTTCAGTTGAATTTTATTTAATATGTTCGAATTTAAAATTTCTATAGGCGGGTATGCACACATATGCTAGGGCAGCAACAAGAGGCAAACGTGTTCAGGTGTGTATATTTGTTTGCTTCTTTACCTAACGAGCTTGATATTTAATCCTCGATCTTCTCTTCAGTCCAACATGGGAGCCAAAAATCATGCTATAATAATGCCCGATGCAAGTGCTGATCCAACTTTGGATTCTATAATTGCTGCTGGTTTTGGTGCTGCTGGACAGAGGTGTATGACTCTGAGCACCCTTATCTTTGTGGGTGGCTCTGCACCGTGGTATGATGATTCACCCCACCCCACCCCTGCCCGGCTGCCTCTTTTGTTAGGCTGTATAAGGTTTCTAGAAAGTTTTGGTTTATTAGGGTCACTTGGGTCCTAAAAGAACGACAATGTCATTCCTTATGGATGCAGTTTCTCTTTACGTTATTTATGGGATCGTTTTGGTCCTTTATTGGAGGTTAGGTATAAGCTATCCTCGATTGATTTCCTGTACATTCCCAGTGCTCAACTTAGATTGTTGAAGCAAGTAGTCATGCCACTCAGCTTATATGGGATTCTATTATACTTTACCAGGATCTTAGAACATTTCTCTCAACTAGAGTAGTGGTTAGTGGTACGTAAATATGTTATGTTGGACTCGCACCATAAATACAGGTTTTGCAGCAGAATAACCACATTTTTCTGTCCTTTCGGTACTTTCATCTTGTTCCACATTCCGGTTGTATTTGAAGTTCCAGGGCAGAATGGTGATACTTAAATAGTTGTAATTGAACGATACTTTATAATTGAACGATACTTGAACAATTGGAGTTATGTCTTGTGCTTCAGGGTATGACTTTAAGAGTTATAATTTATTTCTCACTGAGGCTCTTGTTTTTTTATTCTTTGGGTTGCCAGGGAGAAGGAGCTTGTGGATCGTGCAAATGCTTTAAAAGTCAACGCGGGAACTGAAGTTGGGGCCGACCTTGGACCAGTTATTAGTAGAGAGGTGATGGCGTGATCTTTTATCTTTCTGCTCTACTTATCAGTTCTCAGATTGGCAGCCTTTGTGGAAAATAAAGTAAACATATATTCCCAACTAAGTTGGGGTCTGGGGGATCAAGGGATAAAAGTAAACAAGCACATACATATTACTTTATTTGGAAAACATGTTGATATTTAACTTGTAAATCATGGATGTATGAACATTTTGCGCTCGTGATCAGGCAAAGGATCACATATGCAGATTAGTTCAAAATGGTGTTGAAAGAGGTGCCAGACTTCTCATTGATGGGAGAAATATTGTGGTATGGGTTCTTTTCCAGGATCTTTCTAAAGATGAAATTTTTGTGAAGTTTCTGCTGGTTTTTTTTTTTTTTTTTTTTGGGTGTGAAAAGAATCTCGGGTCGTACTACTTAAACAGCCTCTCTGTATTGAAATACAGGGGTAAGGCTGCGTACATCTTGACCCCCCAGGACCCCAGCCGAGTTGGAAATATACTGGATATGTTGTTGTTAGGTGTGAAAAGAATACCTGTATATTAATAATAAGTGTCAGGATTAATACAACGCATCCTATCATATGCTATATTATGTAATTCCGAAACTGCAGTTCTAGGCGATTTAATCAGTACACACGATTCAAAAGATGAAATAGTTAAATTTAGACGAGAGATGATCTCTTGGGCCTCCGAGGGAAGGAGACTTATTTCTCGATCACCTACCAAGGTCTCACAGTCCGTATGAACTCGAACATGTGTGATTCCTGGTTACTTGATCAATGAAATGATTTTTTATTTTATTTTTTTGGTTGTATAGTCTTCATATAAGGATGTTTACCCTTATGCTACATAGACGTTGAGTGTTATCATGTTATGTACGTTCATGTTAAATGTGGTGTTTGTGTATACGTTTATTATATTGGATATAGTGACGCTGAGAAACATTGCTCAGGGATCTTGCTCAAGGGACTTTCTTTTGTCACGTTCTTTCTTCTTTTATTTTTGATATGTGAAATTCTTGGTCTCTTTAGTGACCTACAACAGCTAAACTTGATTCGTTAGGTTCCAAGGTACGAGAATGGTAACTTCTTGGGCCCTACTATATTATGTGATGTCTCCCCAGACATGGATTGCTACAAGGTTTGTTTTGGATCTAACAGTTGGTGACATTTTTATTAACTCAAAAATCACAGCCTTATGTATTCCTCGTGTAATTCTGTGTTGACAGGAGGAAATGTTTGGACCTGTTCTTCTTTGTATGCAGGTAATTTTGATTTGATGATAGTCCATATCATTTCATTGTGATCCAGTTTCCAAGGATAATTGCCTTGTAATATTATTTAAACCATATTACGTCCTTTGTGAGTACCAGGCTGACAGTTTGGAGGAAGCCATTACTATCGTCAATAAAAACAGGTGAAACTCTTCAATTCTGGTTTACACTTGTGATTTGCAGATTTCATTGCATTTTTTGTCTCTCTAGTTCTTCCCAGAAAGGGTCATTGTAATCTAAAAAGATAATAAGACTTGTCCCAATTCAGGAGAAGGTACCAAGGATCATCGTTCAGAAGCTATGTAATGCCTCTCTATTTTGTTACATAGGATATAATGTCTCTATTTTTATACAAAAGCACATATTTGAGGGTAATTGTCTCGATGTTGGAAGCCAGTGCCAAGTTAAGACTTTATGCTTGTTTCATTGAAGGACATTTCCTTTGATGATGAATGTCTATGGATATTAAGGATGTGAAATTCAATTCATATTCTGAATAACTGTTGGGCATAGAATTAACTTGATGTTGGGGTTTCGTAGACTTCATTTCTTGACATAGAGAAGTATTTTCTGTACAGAGCTACATTGATGTTGGATTTTTGTAGACCTTCTTTTCTCAGATTATAGTTTCCCACACATTTTTTTTGATAAAATTCTTTAGGTATGGGAATGGAGCTGCAATATTTACCACTTCTGGGGTTGCTGCTAGGAAGTTCCAGAATGATGTTGAGTCTGGGCTGGTGAGTTGGTTCTTCATTGTGTTTAGCATGTAGAATCGAGTGTTGCTTTAGTGTTTGTGTGTCAAGCTTCTATAGTTTTCTTCAACTTGAATCGGGTTAGCCTGAAATTTTTCATCTTAATTGACTGCATTTAAGAATATGTATATCTGGTGAAGCAAGGTGTTGCTCTCATTATACTTAAATATATTCCAAATTGTCTATGCACTCCTGCATCAGGTCCTTAGTGAAAGAAAATCCCTGATTTATATCTGCTTGACAACATTTTTGTGGAAGTTAGTCATGATTGAAACTGGTACATCAAATGTGAGATACAAAAGATAGTGATAGTTCATGGATGGGCCACATTCAGTGGTCTTTATATTTGTTTTCAACCTGGGATTGATGAAAATTTTCGTCAACCATCTGTTTTGACTGGCTTGGAGTTGATGTGGTCAAGCTCTGAACTTATAAGAGATTTGTAACAACAGTTTGGGATTCTCTTAGGTTGGAATAAATGTTGCTGTTCCAATACCTCTGCCATTTTCAACCGTCAATGGTTCAAAAGCATCTTTTTCTGGGGATCTCAATTTCTGTGGTATGTCTGAGGGTTATACTTACTCTTTTGTTGTACTTTTTCTCTTCCTTTATCGGGATTTGGGTGTATTCATGTCATTTTTGTACAACCTGGGAAAGCAAAAATGTGTGGAAACATATGTATACATCTATCTCTATAACCTCAGGAAAGGCTGGGGTCCAGTTTTATACTCAGATAAAAACAGTTGCACAACAATGGAGGGACTTACCAACCAGAAAGGTGTCATCATTACATCATCCTCCACCCTCTGAGACAGAAATGAGTTCTCGTGGGGCATCCTTAACGCGGCCTCTTTCTTCTGAAAGTGATTTGCACAGCAGGGAAGTATCACGAGCGATTCCCTCAGTAGCTTCACAGAAGGATTTTTCCAGTGGCAGTTTTTACGTGCCTTTGCTCCCGAGTGAGAAGGAAGATTTACCAAACTCCGAAGTCTTGCCTTCTACTCCACCAACCCGAGAACCTGAGTTACCTAGACAAGACGGTTCATCATTCTTGGCTTCAACATCGGAAAGGGATTCTATTGAACAGAAAGTATTGCTGTCCGTCCCTCAAGCTGCAGCAGTTCACAGAAGTTCTACAGAACCGAGTGGACCCATTTCTTGGCATCCATATTCCGAGAGAACGTATCTCCCTCAGACATCTGGATGGGGTGAATCTCTTCCTTTGATTTCACCAAGGGCAGAAATTTATGGTGGCCCAGATTCTCAGAGAATCGATAAATTAGCTCCTGTAATTCTAAGGGAAGATGCGATGGAGGATTCAAATTCTGAGAGGTTATACTTTCCTCTGCCTTACACCAATGATGTGGCTCCAATTTTCCTTTCTAATGAGAATGCTAGTCCGACCACTCAGCTGACAGACATGAATTCAAATCCATCTGCTGATACAGTTTACACGCCGATGATAGCTCAGAGAACTGAAAATGCGGGCTCGACATCACGAGGGAGGGATGATACTCTCTTGCAGTTGAAACCAGATAAGATTTATCTGGAATCATCATTGTCAGGGAGAGAAAGCGTTGGTCTGATACCTTTAATGAGCGACTCAACGGTTCCCGCATTATCATCTCGGAGTGTGTACTTGTCCAATACTTGCAGAGACGGAATAATGCCTCCTAAATCTGATGATGGTTGTCTAACTTCAGACATTGAGTGTGAAGTTCTGTCGGTATCATCTGAATCAGAGAGGCTGTTCACGCCTGCAAGCTCTCAGAGCATGTACATGCAGAACTCGGTGTTGTCAACGCATGATTATAGTGGTCAGGAATTTACTGCTAATCAAGCTTCTTCCTCTCGGACATCATAAGTAGTAAACTTACATAATCCTACTAGTATAATCTAATTTCGTGACACTGTTCTTTTAGAAGCAGTGCTCACTTCTGTATATTCTATGAACAAGGATGGATTGATTGTATTGAATTTACTGCAAAAAGAAAGAGAACTCATCAGCTCCAAAAAGAAATCATCACTGTCCGAATTATTAAGGAGATTGTTACTGCAAGAAGATTGCATCCTGTTTATTTTACACCCAAAATCCAAGATCAGTCTTTCTGGGTTGTCATGTTCTGAGCCTTCCAAGATCAAGCTTTGATTTCCGAGCCTTCCAAGTAAACACCATTGAAATTAACAATGAACCCCATGCTGCTGCATTATTCACTTTCTCAAAACTTATTCTAGGGGAATTTTAGTAATTTTCTGAAATTACAAGGTCTATTAACTGAAAATAAACGTAATTTACCAAATCAAATAAACACGGAAGGAAGGAAGGTAGCTGAAAAACTGTTGGCAGAGGAAAACAACGGGAAAAAGCAAAAAAGGGGGGACACACAAGAATGCAATGCATGGACATCCTTCACTTGTCAATCGTCAATCCTTCTTCTTCACAGCTAAGTTTGAAACACAATCACCCTTCAAAATTTTATCCCAGAACTCGACTTCTGTGTTGCTCAAGATCCTATCATGATGAAGATGGGGGGAATTCTATAAAGACTCTGTCTTTATTGCCCAGTCATGTGAAAACAATCACAAGTACATCAAACCCATTTGTGAAACACTGTGTCAAGCTTCGAGAGAGCTCCTCATATCGTCATTCTCACGGTTCAGTTCTTCTCGTGGGTTCTACCCCTATAAGGTTAATTTTACGCACTTCCCACTCGTTTTGAGCATCATTTGTTTTATAGTGGTTATACATAGAAGAAACTCTACGATTGGGAATTTGGACTATTGAAATTTTATATGGCAGGATTTCGTTTATTCATTGTTCAGCAGCACATCTTCTTGTGAGTGTTTTGTGTCGAGGTTGTGTTCACTGCCTACTTCATATGAACCAGTACTTTTGTGCTTCTCGTGTAATTATAGAAAAATATACTATATCATGTTTTAGTTTGCAGACGGCTTAAGCGATTAATATTTTGAGGTTGATTTGTGGCATTAAGAGAGATAATTCGTGCAATTTGAAATTTGTTTGCTCGGTTTGAATCTGTATTTTTTGGGCTCTTGTGAAATCACAATGCAACTCCGCATGAAAAATTTCCAATTTCGAAGGAAGTGAAGGGTTTTGTCCAGTTCATTCTATGAGGAATGTCGTAGTGGGATGAGTACTTTTAAGGTGTAACAATTGAAGCCAGATTCAATTATTCAACTTAATGCTAGTTAAGGGCAACTGGTTGCATATTAAGGAAGTTGGCACGTTTTTTTTGTGTTTAGCTTCTGTTGTTGAATATGAATGCTCACCTTTTCTCGTGATGGACTGGATGTTGCCATTGTTTTTTTTTTTCTCTGCGTTGGTGGTTTTTAAAATTACCTGTGAGAATGAAGTATCTGTTTGCAGTTGAAGAAAACGAACTGAAGTTGATAGTAAATGTCCTTTTTCAGAGAACTATGCAGTTTTGAAGGAAATGATCGAGATCAATCTGCAACAATAGAATGCTTACTTGTGCTTGATACTACTCAAGTTTCTGAAGATTTGAGTAACCATACTATTCGCCGCGTCACTGTTAGTCCGGTGGTGATGAAGAAATTGTGTGGGCTGCAATCGACTGATTCTATTGAGATGGCTGCACTGATAAGAATTCCTTCAAGGTTTCATAAATTGGACAGCAACTCAAAAGCGAAAGATCTTCATAAATGGTTCCCAGTTCATCACCGGATCCTGGTGCTTGATGGAATCCAGGTAATTTTCTCATGCAAGAAACTCTTACTATAGATTCAAAATGCATGGTCTAATACAACTTTTTTATTTATCTTTTTTTTTTTTTTCTTTTCCTGGTATGATAACTTCTGTTTGAGAAGGGTGACCTAGCTATTAAAAACTAGTAATCAATCTTCATAGAACTTTAGGTTATAGACATTCAGTAACCATATCCATTTTATTGACATTTTGAAAGCTGAGATCCTTTTGACTGGACTGACTTCAGGGCGACTACTTATGTTGTGTAACTGGCTAGTTCATGGTGAATTCAAATTAACTGCTTTATGGTTTTCAACTTAAGAAATCAATGTTAAAAGTGCAAGAGGCTGCACTGGAAAGGTGCAAATCCCGCGACAATCTTGTAGCACCTACATGTATATGATTGTATATCATGTTGAGGTCAGTATTATTACAAGTGAATCTGTGGAGAAAATTAATAATGGACATGTCTTTAGATAGGCATTATATCAGATTGGCTTGAAACTACAGAGTCAAATTACTGAGTTGGAAGTTTCACGTGTTGATTTTGGGGGAAACAGCTATTGGGGAGGCCACCAGTAATGGCTGCTTTTAACCTATATGCTAATCTCAAGCTCGTGATTACTATTTATTGCAGGACCCTGGTAACCTTGGTACACTTCTGAGATCAGCAATTGCCTTTAGATGGGTAAGGAAGATTCTCACTGTTTTGGAACTTTCATTAATGCATTGCTCTATGATAATGTTTTTCCTTTAAGGATACATAATTTGCTTGTTACCCTTTAGGATGGTGTCTACTTGCTTTCTGACTGTTGTGATCCATTCAATGACAAAGCACTACGAGCTAGTCGTGGAGCCTCCTTTCAGCTTCCTATAGTTTCTGGTGATTGGGCTCATTTGGATATGATGAGGAAAAATTTTCACATGAAGATCTTAGCTGGGCATCTGCCCAAAGACGAGGATTCAAAACCAGTCTTTTGGCTGTCAAAAGACTATGCGGATTCTGTAGTCAATATTCCTTTATGTCTGGTCTTGGGTAGTGAAGGAAGTGGTCTTTCTGAGAGAAGTAGAGAAGAATGTGAACTTGTGAGCATTCCAATGGCAGGGGAATTCGAGTCCCTCAATGTTTCAGTAGCCGGTGGAATATTTCTATACATGTTGCAGCCTCAGAAGAGATGATTCCTAAACCGAAAATTATCAGAGAATCAGCTCCAAACAGCCATCTCTAGTTGGCCGGGTTTGAAAATGCACTCCCCTGCAAAAACTAGTCGGAAACAGACCTCAAATGTGCAAGGTGCTTCTTGCTGACCATTCAGGAGGACAATAACTGCTGTAGCTCAAAGAGTACTGCACAAATTTTAGCCTTGGGGAGACAGTTGTTCCTCAGGATTGTGAATTCATTTTATGCCGGTGCGGGGTGGAGGGAAGTTCAATGCGAGGAGTTTGGATGCATAGCCACCCACTTGGTTTTGTTCTGTATCTCAGCTCTGCATGATTGTTTTGATAATTATTCTGAGAGGATGGAATGATTTGTTTGTCTTTTAGATTCAAGAAGCTGCTTCATTTTGCGCCATATTTCAAGATTGACACCGTGAAAAGAGTTCTACGTAAAATCATTATTTCTGTTCTTTCTGCAGTTAATAATGCGTGAAATAGTAGTTATCTACTTTTTGTACTATTATTATTAGTTCAACAAACTGAAAAACAAAAAAAAAAAAACAACTTTGGGACAAATGAGGTATGGTGTACGCAAATATGACTTGTAAATTTGAAGTTACATCTCAATTCCCTTACATTCTAAACTGATCTTTGTGAAGATGATACGTTAGAAATTATTCTTTGTGGTGAAGATGGAAGTAAGTTAAAAATTCATTTATTTTATTTACAATTTAAATATTAAAATAGCCTGATTTTTAGATTTAAGCCTTTTTCTTACTTTAGAAAACAGTACATACCACTCGACAACGGACAACCGCAGATCGGAGATCACCAGGATCGAGTCACCTCCGCCTGCAACTCCACCGCCACCACAACTTCCGTCGGAGGCAGAGGTCACCAGTCACAAGTAACACGCACACTTCTCCACACTTTAACCCAATTGAGCAAGTATATACAAATCAATCCCAGCTGAATTCCTCACACGAAACCAAACTTGTGTATCATATATGTATTGATTGATTGACAAGTACCACCCACCCAACCGGCACCGCCTACCGAATCTCCGCCAATGTCGGCGGCAAAACCCTTGTCACTAATCCCACTTTCTTCCACTTCAATCTGCACTCTCCAAGGCTCCCTCCTCACCCTCGCCCTCCTCACCCTTCTCTCCTTCACTTGTCTCTCTCTCAAATCCTTTAATTCTCCTTCTCTTCCCTCTACTACCCCTCCCGCCGGACCCATTATCGAATACCCTCAGGTATTACGCTTTTTTCCTTTCAATTTCTCCCTCCATGGCATTGATGATTGAATCGAGACAGCGTTTTAATCATTGTATTCCTTTTGATGTTTTTACTAGGAAGTTGTTATAAGAACAGAAGATCCAGTTGGGCAGGAAAATGAGCGGCAAATTCTGCACTCCGATGATGTGTTTCATTCCCCGGAGGTGTTCAGGTTGAATTATGCCGAAATGGAGAGGAGGTTTAAGGTGTATATATATCCAGATGGTGATCCCAAAACGTTTTATCAGACGCCGAGAAAGCTGACGGGGAAGTATGCCAGTGAGGGCTATTTTTTCCAGAACATTAGGGAGAGTCAATTTGTAACTGATGATCCCGATCAAGCCCACTTGTTCTTCATCCCCATCTCCTGTCATAAGATGAGAGGAAAGGTAAAGTCTGTGCCTTTTAGTTTCTTAATTTCATTCAGCTTCTTTATCTATCACATTAGCTGAATTGGTAGCTAGGCATTCAGAGAAAGCTAAAGAAATAGTCGTTATGGAAGATAACAGCCAGAATTGTAACCTATTTTAATTTGTTTCAGATTAAGTGGCCTGTATTGAGTAAGAGGTTACTGTGGGAAAGAGACTTCGTTTTTCCCAATAATGTCTGTTTGCTTCTTTTAGCTATTTAGAATCATTGCTGTGCTACAGTTTATGAAATAGTATGTCATGGTGCATCAAATAGCGATTTGAGGATAAGCTTTAGGGAATTAAGGCACTGGAATGCTGGATCTAGTCAGTTAAGAGGATAGTTATCTACTTAATCCTCTACCAGTTTTGATTGAGAATCCTAAAATCTTCAGTTACTTACCAATTAGCTTAGCAATTCACTATAACTGGCCTGATGTGCTTTCGTTATTACTCGCAGGGTATATCTTATGGAAACATGACCATTATTGTTGAGAACTACGTTCAGGGTTTGTTACAGAAGTATCCTTACTGGAATAGAACCCTTGGTGCAGATCATTTCTTTGTCACTTGTCATGATGTTGGAGTGAGGGCTACTGAAGGCCTTCCTTTCCTTGTGAAGAACTCAATCCGCGCAGTCTGCTCTCCAAGCTATGATGTAGGATTTATTCCGCACAAGGATGTTGCTCTTCCCCAAGTGCTGCAGCCTTTTGCTCTTCCACGTGGAGGAAATGATGTAGAAAACAGGTATTAGTTTTCAGTTAACTCTTGGACTACCATAGTTGCTTAAATTTGATGGGAAGGATGCTTTCTGTTAACATTTTTTTGGTGGTTCTCTTCTATTATTTACAATTTTTTTTTTATTGATCTTTAGTTATTTTGACCATCAGAAGATTTTGCATCCACAGTTGGCTGACTGCCATGACTTCATGTTCTGCAGTATGAGATTGGTGGATCAGAGTTGATCTATTTTACTAGTCTACATACAACATTGTCAGTTGAAGTTTGCCTTTTTTGATCAACTGATATTAGTATTCGCTGCTGGTGCTTGATTTTTATTGCTCAGTGATCCCAACCAGTTAGTCCTTATACGAGTATCTAAAGTTAGGCGCAGCTAGTAGTAATGAAGTAGTTATTTGTTTGTTTGGCCAGGAAATTCCAATTTCCATGATCCCTTATTGTTAGGAATGGCTGGACACTTGAAAGTCATCCATTTTCTTTTTGGCGTTCAAGATCTTTCTATGCATGTTCATATACCTGGATGTTCAAACAGATTTGGTCAACTTGTGATACTTTAGGAGTTCTTTATGACGCTAATTTTCGTATTCGGAAACTGCTGAAGTTTTGAATTCACATGTTGAAGGGTAAGAATTTGAACAGTGTCTGAATAATAATGTGTTTTTTGCAGGACAATTTTGGGATATTGGGCTGGTCATAGGAACTCTAAAATTAGGGTCATTTTGGCACGAGAATGGGAGAACGACACCGAACTTTATGTTATGAACAACAGAATAAACAGAGCTACTGGAGCCTTAGTTTATCAGAAGAATTTCTACAAAACCAAATTCTGCATATGCCCTGGTGGCTCCCAGGTCAATAGTGCTCGGATAGCTGATTCCATACATTATGGATGTATTCCTGGTAAATACACCCTGTTTATTCTGTGATTGTAATTTACCACAGAATTACCATGTCCATTGTGATTGACCAAAGATCTCTCCTTGTGAGAATGGGGTCTATGGGTTGGTTGTTATAATCTAGAGTACAGTGTCACTTGGTACTACGCATGTCATTCTGGAACTTAGCCAAAACTGGGTGACTGCATGCTTTGTGCTGTATTTGTTTTTTATAACTGTGGAATTTTTCTTTGCAATATGACAACAGTTCAGTACATGATGGATCCTATAGGTGTTGGTTTAAATTCTAGATAGCACCCACCGGATTCAGCACAAGTTGTTTTGCAATCTTTTTTACGATGGTTTCTCTGCACACAATGATGAAGGATTGTGATGTTTGAATTATCTTACTGATGCTCCAAGAGGTTTTATTGCAGTGATACTCTCGGATTATTATGACTTGCCATTCAATGACATCCTTAACTGGAAGAAATTTGCTGTCGTTCTCAAGGAGAAAGATGTTTATCAGCTAAAGCAAATCCTCAAAAATATAACACAAGACGACTTTGTTGCTTTGCACAAGAACTTAGTGAAGGTAAGCTATGTTGTGGCGTAATGTTTGAACACGTGTTTCTTTAACTCTTTGGTTGACTGTGTGGTGTTGATTATTTTGTGTATATGCAGATCCAGGAGCATTTTCAATGGAACTCACCGCCTCAAAAGTATGATGCCTTTCATATGGTAATGTATGAACTCTGGTTACGCCATCACGTGATCAAGTACTGAGCATTCTGAACAAGGATATATATACATTCAGCGTAGTCACAGTCTAAGTGGGTTTGAAGATCGCTGGAGGAGCCAAGTCTTAAACATATATAGAGTAGAGTTATATTTGTTGTATGCTAGTTCTAACTTGAGGGATGAGAGGGATGAAATGTGGAAAATAGATTACATGTATCATGTACTACTAGCTGTGAAACTTCACTTGGGGGGTACAAGTCGGTGGGGGGTACGAATACGATGACTTGGTTAATGTCATTCATTTCGCTTCTATTGTTTTCATTCATTTTTTTGGGTGGTGGTTTTCTTCTTCTTTGTCAAAACTTTTGTTGAAGTTAATATCTGCCCAAGAAAAATACTACTACTACTAATTCTTGTTGAAATTGGTGTTTGTGTACACTTATGTGTTGCAGTAAGTAATGGTTTTTATTATTGGTGCTGCTCCCTCTGAAGACGGTACTGGAATGGGTTTCGTATTCTATTTGAATCATTTTTAATTTATACTGTTTTTATTGAATTAATTAATGGGCGCGTTACGAAAATTATTTAAACAAAAGGCTAAAATTTGTGCTGACAGCCCACAAATGATAATTCTGCTATAAAAAGGGAAAATTGGAAGAAATTTGACAGAAAAAAAAAAAGACATAAATAATAGGGACTTTGAAATTTTCAAAGAAAGGGAATTTCAAAATTCAAATGGAGATGGAAAAAATGAAAAAAAAAAAAAAAAAAAAAAGAGAAAGGTCAGGATAATTATTAGGCAATTACTAGTGTCACGTGCCACTCACACAGCGGAAGAAGAAAGGACAATGAGCATTCCAATGCTTTTCCCGCTCTGAAACCTATTCGCAGAAACGCAAGAGCCATAAAAAAACTCCCTGCAAAAAACCCTAAGCCGCTCATCTTCAATCCCAAATCTCCATATCAAATCTACTCTCCTCCTTTCACCACTCAAAAAAAGAAAAAATAAATAAAATCCCCACAAATATATATAACAAATAAATCGAAAACCCAGAAAAAATTTCACCAGATTACATGGCTAAGAAGAAGCTGAACAATCCCCCAAAAGAAGAAACCCCTGCCATGGATGAAATCACCGAGAAGATGGAGAGCTTGAAGTCTCTCAACGCTATGCTTCTCAAGGAGACTGTTGAGCGCCGCCAACAGGTTGACTCACTCTTGGAGTCCAAAGCCTCCTTGGAATCGCAGGTAACTCGTTCTAACTCGGAAAATGAGGCTTTGAAGTCCGAATTGGGTCGCCTGAGTGAGGGGTTTTTCTCTGTCGAAGTTGAGAGGAATGTCATGGTTGTTTTTGTTTCCCATCAGTCCGAGTTGATTGAGAAGGAGAGAGTGCAGGTTGAGATCCAAATGAAGGGTTTAGAGGGCAAAATGGAGGAGATTTTGAAGGGTAGGGATGAGCTTGAGAAATTGAAGATCCAAAGAGAGAGGGAGATTGAATCGCTTAACGAGAAGGTGAAGCAACTTGGGCTTGAAATTGCTAAGGAGAGGGATTTTTCTAATGGGCTCTGTTCCCAGAGGGACCAAATGAAGGATAAACTTGAAGTTCAAATTAGGGAGACTAACGACCTAGGTATCAGATTGATTGAAACCGAGAAAAAAGAAAGATTGGTTCAAGAAGAGGTTGAGAATCTGAGGGTTAGGTGTAGTCTAGTGGAGAAGGAGAAACTGGAGAGCGCAAAGAAGATCGAGTCTCTGAGGAGGGATAAGGAATCGCTGGAGATGAGTCTGAGGGAAACAAACGACGTGGTCAAGCATTTGAGGCAGGAGATTGTGGGAATTGGGAAGGAAAAAGAAGGGCTGGAAGAGGAAAAGAAGTTACAAATGACAAAGAGCAAAGAGCTGGAAAAAGCTGTTGCTGGACTTGAAGAAATGGTGGGGAGTTTGAGAAAGGAGGAGGAGGAGTTTCGTCAAGTTGTTGCTGAATTGGAGAAGAAGTGTGTTGACAGTGAAGAAAGTGAAAGGGAAATGAGGAGGCAGATTGATGAGATGGTAAAGGAGAAGGATGAGAAGGAGAGGAAGCTTTTGAAGGTTGTTGAAGGTAAGAGGTCTGTAGAGAAGGAACTAGATGACGCTTTGAAGCAATTAAATGAGCTGAAGCTGAAATTGAATGAACTGATTAATGAGAAAAGTGAGCTTTCGGAGTCTAAAGAGAGGAAAGAAAATGAACTGGTTGAGTCGGAAAAACAAGTGGCTGAATTGAGTAAAGCTGTTCTGGGGTTAGAAGATTCTTGTAGGGTTCAAAAGGGGGAAATTCTTGCCCTGGAATCTGAAGTGAGGAGTTATAAAGATTCACATGAGCGCGCCTCAATTGAGAGGGATCAGGCGATGAAGGGGATGGAGGAGCAGAAACAGAATGTTGTAAGCTTGTTGGAGAAGATTGAGGTAATGGAGAAAAACTTAGAGAAGAACCTCAAGACCATTGAGGAACTGAGAACTGAAAGTGCTAAAGTAAGTGAAGAAAAAGATAATCTGGAGGGGCAACATACTTTGTTGGAGCAGGAATTAGCTTCAGCTAAGAATGAAATTGTTGCAGCACGTAACGAGTTACATGCTGTGAAGCTTAAAGGCGAAACTGCTGCACTAAACTGGGATCAGGTTCTGAAAGTTTTGACTAGCACTACAATGTTGGTCTGTACCAAGGATGATCTTTCTGCAACCACTGGTGCTGGCGTGGAGATTAATGGAGATCTTGAGCCATATGCCAAATTGGAAGCAATTAAGAATGCATTCAAGAGGAAGGAGAAGACACTGGAGGACATGAAGAGGCAGCTTGTTCATTTGCACAAATCTGTGGAAGAAGCACAGCATAAGAAGGGCTTCTGGACTACTGTCTCTTCACTTACTACAATCTGTGCTGCAATTTCTCTTTCTCTTGCATATGTTGCTCGAGGAGGGCATTAGGAAAATTCTCTGTTTGCCAATGCGTAGTTAGTGCCAACCTAATTAAGTCCCCATGGGTACCAATTTTGCCTGCTTCATTTAGTACTGTTTTCTTCATAAGAACAAATTAGTGTGACTTGGAGCTGATAATTTGAATTTGAAGCAAGATTATGTTTCTGGCTGAGAAGTTAATCATGGTAATAAAAATGTTGCTATCTTTTTCGTAATTCCTTGTTTATGTGCAATTATATGATGGAATTTTCCTTGGCAATACCATTTAGCACCTTGGAATACTCTTGTATCCAGGCTTTAGAATGTACCTTCAGTTTCTAGGTGAAATTACAGAGATAGTAACTGAAAGGATGAATCCTTCGTATTTTTGCAATTGCAAAACATAAATATATCAGTTGATGACATCTCATTCAATCTTTATAGCAGATTGAAATTGAGGACGGATATGTTGTGTCTTATCCTTCCAAGTTTTAACTGGTGCAAGTTATGGTATCCATTTCGATCTCATTAAATATCTGAGCACTTATGCTCTCTGTTCTTCTCTGAACATCTTCTGCTTCAGTGATATTGTTGGATTCTACATTGGGATGTGTAGGATTCTGGTGTGAGGTTTCGGCCTTCAAAGTTAAGTAGGCCAAAGTAGCGATGTAGACCACCAATAGTGGAATAACAAAAAGTCCTGCTAGGATCCTTGTAGCTTTGGGCATGCGGTCTCTGATAATCCATTCTGATAAACTTGTGCTTAAGAAGTATATGTTGATGACAATTGAACATAATCCCAGGAACCATGTGATCAGAGACGCCTGAAATGTTGATCGATGTGCTTAGGCCCAAACTTTAAATCCTGATTTTTCTAAGGTCCTAGTGAAAGTTTAATCAACAAATAATCTGTAGCTGAGTTGAATTTCATCATGCATTGGAGATTTTTCAAATTCAAGCTGCAAGATTGAGGTTGGAAAGTTTACCATTGTAGAGTTCTTCTGTTGCCCCATTTTGGCTTCACTGCTGGTGAATTTGAGCAGGGGAATCAGGGCAAATGGCAACACAAAAGACAATATCATCTGAATTCATAAGGGTAATATTAATGATGTCTGTAGATGTCACATAGGGTTTAGTACAATTAAAGATGAAAGGGTTAGAGTTTCACTTAACAGAAGCAACTAGAATCAGCCTTGCAGCCCCAAAAGGTCCACCTATAATGCAGACCACAAGACTTGGAACAATTGCTATGCATCTAGTTAGCAAATTCCGCAACCAGAGTTTCATGTTCAGATCTAAAAATCCCTGCAAATCAAACAATTTAATTTCTGCTCTAAAGCTAGTTCTGTTCTCTGTTTAGAAGTCAACTTCGTAGTTTATATTGGTATTTCACCTGCATGATATACTGGCCAGCATAGGTTCCTGTGACAGTTGAACTCTGCCCGGATGCAAGCAAAGAGATGGCATAGAGGTAAGAGCTCCACTTACCTAATGAATCCTGCATCAATATGGTAATTTGCAATTGAATCAGGAGTCATATCCTTAAGATAAACTCTAGTTTATGGTTACGAGTTGTACAAAACCTTGAGCAATAGAGCAGCAGAGTCAAGCGTAATATGATTACAGTTGTGCTTGCTTTCTGAGGAGATGTTTGGATTTGAGCAGACACTTCCACTGACTGACACTACTGCTACGTTGATAAGGAATGCCACGAACAGAGCTAAACCACTTTCCAGCAAGAAATATCTGCTTGCACTCTGTCAAATTTTAGAACTTCAGCCTCCAAACAGGCAGTAAAGCGTGGTCAACATTTACATCAGATGGTCATGATATGGCAGATTACTTACTCGAATGCTCTGTACGGTTCGAGGTATTTTCCGGGAGATGACAAGAGCTGAATGAAGGAAAAGATTGTGCCTGCATTGAGAAACACAATTAGAAATGCTCTTAAATTGACAGGTTTTTCTTTCTTAGTGAAACATCTATGTGTTGCAAATATATTGTGGGGTTAGGTGCATTACGGCATGATGAGGGCTCCCAAGAGGGCAACAGAATCTCTGACAGCACTTCCACGGCTCAGTCTTGGGATAAACATTCCCTTGGCAATCTCTTTCGCGCTAGGTCTGGCATGCACCAAAACAGAGAAGAAGCAGCCACCCACAATCAAGATCAACGTTCCAATCACAACTTCCAGCTTCCTTATCTGTTTGTACCAAAAAGAGTTAGGCCTGGGAACTCAAAGGATTACGATTGAAAACAAATTGAATGACCTGAGTGGTACAAGTAGTTTCTCAAAGTGTACTCTAGTCAATATACGGAGTCAGTCATTCAGGAATGATAGGCTATAAAACACATGGAATGAAAGGTTATACTCACACCATAGCGCTGCAATCCGAGGAGAAGAAGCGTACTTAAACCAGCCAACAAGACTCCAGCCCATATGGGTACTTTGAGCAGTATATTGAGTGCAAAAGCTGTGCCAATCACTGCCATAAAAATATGCATAAGACCCATTAGTGGAATTCGACCGATTTTAAGATTCGTGGTGCTAACACTCTCGGCACAATTTTGATTAGGTGCAAGAAAAGACCTTCAGGGATGTCTGCAGCAATGACAGCGACTTCGGCAAACATCCAGAGGCACACAATGACTAGTTTTGGATACTCCTCCTTGCAATGCTCCGACAGATGTTTGCCTGTTGTTTCACCATGAAATTCCACCCAAAGTAAGTACCACGCAGGTTAAAGAACAGCCCGGTTTCATGCCAAAGCAGCCTTTGGATACGCAGTAACTGTTCTGGTTTTTGCATGGAACATTTCAGCTGATTAAAACCAAACAAAAAAAGAAGTATAATTACCAGTGGCCACCCCGAGGTTTGCTGAACGAGATTGAATCAAATGCGCGAAGAACAGCCCAATAAGCACAATCCACAGCAACTGCAAAGTTTCAAGAACAAAAAAATAATTAAAAAAAAAACGAAATGATATCCCGCAAATTAGACTAGTTAAGGATGTCAACAAAAAACACAGTTTTGGTTATATATGACCTCGTATTTGTGGTCGGCACCAGCTTGCAAATCCGTCTCCACTACAACAACAACAAAAAAATGAAAATGTTTATTTCACTTAAAAGAAGAACTGACATTTTTAACAAACCATTTAAAAAAAAAAAAAAAGAAAGATATTTTTAACGAAGTAAATTATTTTTATATGGAATAAAAGAAGCCAGTCTTACAGTTTCCAGGATCGAGATAAGCGACGGAAACCAAAAGACCAGGGCCAATAAAACCTAGAAACTTTCTCCATGGAGATGAAGTCTCCTCAATCTGAACTAAGGCTGACATTTTTATTATCAGCAAATGAATCCCTGAAAACCGTGGACACTTATATAATTCCTGATAGAGCTTAGTCCTGATCGATCAGGAAAAGTTCTAGGATCGTACACTAGTACTGCTCACTTCGATCGATGCATGGCTTAGTTACTTGACTGTATATTATTTATAGAGGGAATGAACCAAAGGACGTACTTGAACCCGGTTGGTTGAATGACAATAACTCCACAAAATATTTTGTCTGATGACTAACTAAATCCGCGACTACGAGTACTATTGCATGCACACATATTAATGTCTTTTTGCAAATCAATTGGGTGGATCCCATTTGTATTATCAAATATATCGCCTTGTATCTATCATATTTATTTATATATCGTAATTGATCGTCTTATGCTCTCATTTATATTTGTGACCCTTCATGCTACATATATTATCTTTTCCTTTGCCTAATCAGGGATAACCCAACTTTGACGAATATATTTTGGTGGTTGTAACTCGTAATATCACAAAATACACCATATATTATATAACTAAACAAGGGTGGAAAAAATAAAATAAAAAATCAATTGAATTCACAAAATCCCATCCCTGTTTTAAGGTAGCTGTTTTTTGTCCCATTCACAAATCGAACTTAATATCTACGCAAAAGGGCCTTTGAAGTAAGCAGATGATGGATCGATTCGGGAAATTAATTCGATTGATTCGGTAACTGAACTATCAATTTCATGGCCGCCACCTAAATTATAGATATATATGCATAATCTCTCGAGTCCTTCAAGTCTCTTTTCTTAATGCGACCACCTCTGTCTCAATATATAGGGGGAAAAAAATCACATTTTTAATACAAATTTAAAAACTTGATGTGAAAATTTATTTTTATTTTTATTTTTTTGTGACAGAAGAATTAACATTGTCCTGTCACGCCTTGGATTGTGGACAGAGATACTATTACAGTAAAAAGTTTACAAATTAATAGTATTGAACTCACAAAAATTTATTAATTTATCATAGAAATTATTACTTTATTGATAAATAAATACGTAATAATTATTTTATTGATAAATAAATAATAATTATTTTATTAATAAATTAATAGTTATTTTTTTATTAATTTAAATTTTTTTTTGCAATTCTATTACAAAACAAATATTCAACTTCAACTCCCCGTAAATATTTATAATCCTCTTATTTTTAATTATTCGTTGGAGAAAAAGTTAAAAGATAAAGTTTTCTTAGATGTAGATATCAAAAAGAAACAAAACCCAATAGCCTCTTACTTTCTTAAAATTTCTTAATTTTTTGGTATTTTTTATCATGAATAATTTATGATTTTTAAGGGACTTATATTTATATAAGAAATTTCTAAAATTTATTATCTTATTAATTTATCGATTTTGTTTAATTTTTGTGTTGGTCTTAAGTTGAAAGCAAAACAATTTAGTATTTAATAGATGTTATTAATTCATAAAATACTAATTTAAGGAGTTTTTACTGTATCTTAAAAATTATAATGTCTTTTTTTTGGTGCAAAATTTGGAGTATGAATTATTTGGGTGTGATAGTATATGATAGCAAAAGCAAATAAAACATGTTTTCAATTGTAACTTTTACTAATATAATATAGTATTGATGATAAACAACTTTTGTTTGAACGATGATGTGAAAATATAAATGATAGTGAAAATGAAAACAAAACTAATGTCCTTTGTCTATATGTTTTTAATCGCGGACTAGCGTTTTGGCTAATGTAAAGTTAGAGAAGTTAATTTTATACAATGAATAAGTCAAATAAATAAGTAAAAATTATAGTTTGACCATTTATCCCACTCATCAAAGTGTCTACCATGAGCTAGGGAATAAGACTATAAGTCAATTACCAACAAATCGTAGTTATGTTATATGACATCATGAGGATATGTGTTTTAAATTGGGTCTTTATTTGTTGGATAATCTACTATACTTCTAAGTTATGTGTTCGTCACTTCTTTCAAATCCATTACTGTCTCTGGTGGACCTCTAAGATTTAATGGATGCAAATTGCAAATACATTAAAGCCTTATGAATTATTGAGTGATTGATCCATCCATATCATGCCCAACCCCTCGCCTTGCTTAGTTGCTTTGGTCTCATTTGTTTTTTCACAAAAAAAAAAAGAAGTAAAAAACCGATATTCTTCCTTGTTTACTTAACCATTCCAACATATAGAGATGTTATAAGTATTATTACTTCTGATTCTTAAAATTAAAGTCAGGTTTATTGAATTATTCATAAATAAAAATTCTCATCATTTCATAACAAGGATAGTTTTTTTTTTTTGGTATATTCACATTAGTTAAGAAATTAATAATTCATTAATTTTTTTTTATCTTATGTGGATAAAGTTTATGCAAAGCACCCTCTTTATCCCTCTTCGGATGAATAAGATTTTCATCTGTTTCTAATTTGCCTTTGCAGTTCTGTACTTTAGCTTCAACCTGGTAATACACGTTTTAAAAATATTTTCCTTTAAAATCCAGTTTGCATCATCTACTGTACAGGTTCCTTCTTTTTACAAGTTTTTATGTGATCAAAACTTAATCCATTCAATTAAACTTCAGCAATGATGGAGAGACCAAAAATCTTGTCATTGTTGAGGAAAAGTGGAAACGCAAACGGAAGTAATGCCAGACTAGATAGGCCCAAAATAGATTTTAACGGGCTATGTGAGATGAAACGTCAAAATAAGCCCAAATAACCCACTTGGTTTTTTTTTTTTTGTGTGTGTGTTTTTAACCTATATGTACTAATTCAAAGTACCTAAATTACTGTTACATATCATCCTATCATATGTTATATTACGCATTTCTTGAACATTCATTCTACTATTAACTTTTCATAATATTACAAATACAAAATAGCTTAATTAATTAGTAGTATAATTTAAGACGTCTTGAGCCTCTAATGAAACTGTAATTATATCCAGGCTTCGAGTAAGGACTTCACCGTCGAATTTGTATCACCAAGCCATGCAAGACAGGATTTTCCATGCGCCAGCAGCAGTTTTCGGATTTTTTTATTTTTTTATTTTTGGTTTTTGTGTGTGTGTTTGTGTATTGGATTGAATGATTTGTTCATCTGATATGTTGAAATGATAACAGTCTAAAATCATAATCAAATTCTTCAATCTGTTTTTAAATTACTATAAAGACAGTTTTTTCATAAAATAAAAACACTATTTTTTTTATTAAAAATCACTAAAATAAACAACTTACAGCAATGATGAAGAGACCAAAATCTTAGTGATGGAGAGTCATGGCCATATCTTTGTTAGTCACAAAATTAAATCTTCCATCTCTTTGATAGTAACAGTGTACTTAGCTTATCTTTTCTGTGTAATAAATCGACGAAATAGTACCAATAGTTAATGGCATCAAACAATTGAATACAGGAGATTTCTTTGGACGAGTTTACATCGTAACTTCAAATTAAGACGACAGTACCGGAAAAAGAAGAGACAAACTTAATTCGTAATGTTATAGACTTAATCCAAACTATAATTAACAGTGCATCGATTACTTGGAGAAATATTCAGGATGGAATACATTCTTGTCAATAATAATTTGTAATTTCTTAGTGCGGTAGTGTCGATTACTATGTTAACTAATCTGATACGGCAAAATGTTTTTTTTTTTGGGATACTTTAACAATTTCATAATCTTGTCACACAATTGAATACACATGAAAAGGGAAAAGCGGAAAGAAGAAAAAGGAATACACAATTAACAAACTCAATATCACAAGTCCCGCGTCACATCGATCTGAAACGTTATTGCAAATATATACTCCTTCTGTCCTAAAATTATTGTCTAGTTTGAGATTTCACTTTTAGTACAATTTGAACTAGAAATGAAAACCTAAACTAGATAATAATTATGGGACGGAAGGAATAGTAGACTAAAATAACAGATATTCAAAGTCAAGTGGGAAGGCTTGACAATTTTTACAGTAAGTGGAAATGATATTTAGAGAAAAACATGTTTTGTTAATGATAAGAGTCTTAGTTGCACTGCTTCTTTCCATACATAGACATAATTTGTGACAAGAATTGGCCCCTGTTTGATCCATTGTATTTTGTTCAAGGAAAAAATAGTATATATATACAAAAGTCCAAGACGGCGAGCGAAGATTATTGCTTATCCGATTGACTACTAACCACCTCTGATATTTATTACTCAGGGGTTCCGGTCACACCAAGACCAAAATTTTTTTAATCCCGAATAATAAACCAAGATCCAATTATTGATATTTTGTTTATTCGAAAAAATAAAATAAAATAAAATCACAGATGACCTAATAAAGCCCTTCATTATTTTGGTCGTTGAGTCTCGTGTGGCATGCAACATTCAATTTTAATATTTTTTCGTCTCCCCTGAATTTCTTGTGCATGCAACAGAACACATTGCTCCTCCACAACTTACATAACTTATTTGATGTTTGTTACTCCGTTCATCTCTCATTTTAACAGTTCACCCCGCGTTTAAGGTTAAATATTGTACTACTACATCGAATCGGAGATGAATACGTGGAGGGGTAGTTATATAATTAATTTTTTCCCGCCAATTTGGGGTGTTTTATGGGTGTTATTAACGGGGATTATCAACGTTTTAACGTCCCAACGCGGCGTGGGTTTAATGAGAAAACAATGTATTAATACCGTAAGTAGTAGTAGTAGTAGTAGTAGTATTTCACTAGCACGTGCTTTCCCTTTAGTGACAGGATTGCACGTGGAACATGCTTTGCTTAAATAACTTGATCAGTGACTGGTTTTTGTTTGTCGGCGGAAAAAAACAACAACATAGAAAAATATAGTTTAAATCGGTGACAATAAACTAAATAGTTTATAGAACTATATATAGAAAAATACGAAAGAAAATTTTGTGCCGATACAAATGATAAATTGTCTAGTTTGTTGTGGCATCTTTTTTTTTTTTTTTTTTGGTATAGTGCATCCCGTATTCAAAATCATTGTT